TTTTAAAGATATTTGGCAATGCCACGTCATCGATGTAGGGGTTATATTGCGGGTAACTTTTAAAGTGGGTGGATTGACTTGCACTTTATTGAGGTGAGAATTTTTTTGCAAAAATAATTTAGTTTGAGGTTTTTTTTTGCACAAAACCCTTAAATTATATATGAGAAATGTGTTGGTCTTTTTCATAATAAGCACAATCAGTACAAGATAACTCATATACACAATATAGATGTTTACTAAAATTTATGTAAAAGGCAAAGTTTGGCCCAAAATAAAAATATACCAAGAAATGATTACTTACGAAAAATGAGTTATAATCATACGACTTACTGATTGAGGTTATACTCATAGTAATCCCCAAAAATGGTATTTATGATTGGAATGAATGTATCTCTTAAAGAAGATGGTTCCAAGGGGGAAATATGGTGATGTGTGGTTGTACATTTTTTTCCTTATCATAGTTTTTATTCTATTGAGTTTTTCATAAAAGGTTTTAACGATCAACAAATAACACATACATGAGAAACATCTAAAAACTGTTTACAGATGAAAGTATATCTACTTTTCAAAGTCCTTGTCATCCATTTATGAGATCAAGTGAAACAAAGAGAATGATTCAAGATGAATCATCAACTGCACCCATGCACTGGTGAAGAATGACAATGTTAATGCTCTAAAGATTGTTCAAGAGAAGATTTTCCAGACTTATTCACTAAAACACATCCGATTACTGTTTTCAATAAGCTAATTCGTGATATTGGATTTAAGCATCTCAAAGATCTCAAGTGATATTCTCCTGAGAGGGAGTAATTGCACATTGCACTATTTTTCCTTAACCAGGGTTTTTCCCATTGGGGTTTTCTGGTAAATGTTTTATTAACGAGGCATCATTCTATACACTCATAAGATATTTTAGATAATGGACATCCAAAATGAAGTGTTATAGCCTTATAGGTAAATATGTGGATGTCCTTTACGTCAATTTCTCCATTTATATCTTCTCTCTTAAAACCCTATATCTTTATATTATTAATTGAGAAGTACATTCTAATGTTTGGATACAAGAATTAGAGAAACATCTATTTATTCTTTATATTATTAATTGAGAAGTACATTCTAATGTTTGGATACAAGAATTAGAGAAACATCTATTTGGATAGAAGAATAAATGGAAACAAAAGTTGTTTGGATATAAGAATAAGAGAAAAATCTATTTGGATAGAAGAATAAATGGAAAAAATTGTTTGGATACAAGAATAATAACTTAAAATAAACCGATGGTTTAGAAAACTTCCGTTTTCCATCTCTTAAAAATCTGCAAAAAAAAAACTTAACATAATCTAACGATAATTCCAAATCAATAGAATATGCTTTTTGGATTTTCGGGTTTTTATAGACAAGTTCGGGTTTGGGTGAAAATCTGAGACATAATTTTATAGAGATATAGAAATTGTTCGGGTTTCTTTGAAAATTTCTGTTCGGGTTAGGTTCAATTTTTTTTTTCAGTTTAGGGTTTTCCGGATTTTTTAGATTTCTGGTTTTCGGGTTTAGATATATTAAAAAAATTGAGTATTTTAAAATTTTGATTAGGTATTGGGGTCGGGTTCCGGGTGAAAAAGTTTCCAGATTTTTTTTGTTCAGTCAGGGTTTTCGGGATTTTTTTGATTTCGGATTTTCATGTTTAGACCTATTAAAAAAGTTTGGGTTTTTAAATTTTTTGATTAGGGTTTTTTGTCGGGTTCGGATTTAGGGTTTAAATTTTCTACACAAAACAACAACGTCACACCGCACAAACGTGCGGGTACTCTACTAGTTGTACTCTTATATATAGGATCTATCACTCATGGAATAAGACAATATCATTACCTCTTTTCACATAACAAAAAAAAGAAGTTATTGGAAAGAAAAAAATGTTGTCCACATTGTGACTCATGTTGCTAAAAAGAATGAATATATATTGTGTAAGGGCTTTGTGCAAAAAAAGCTTCAAACTAAATTATTTTTGCAAGAAAAACTCTCACATAAAAAAAGTGCAAGTCAATCCAACCACCTCAAAACTCACTCGAAAATAACTGTTGCCTATATCGATATGTGACATTGCCAAATATCTTTAAAAAAAAAGATTTTGTGTAAAAAAAACCTCAAACTAAATTATTTTGCAAAAACGCCCTCATATCAAAACACTGCATTTTTTATGTTGAGAAAATCGTATTGTTTTCAAGATTATGTACTATTTTAAAAATTCTAAATTATTTTTGCAAAAAAGCCCTAATAACTATGTACTGTTTTCAAGATTTTAATTTAATTTTGAAGTAGATCCATAAAGTAACCAAACTCAAAAGAAAATTCATTATTTATGGTCCAAGACCATATATTTTGATGAATGCAACTTAGAAAAAATTGTTGATTAAATAGATAAAGTGAAAAGATCATAACTATATTTAGGCCGGGGAGTTTTTCCCCGAAACCTGAATCCAAACCCTACCCAAAAAAAACCTGAATAGAACTCGAACTGAAAATTAAAAAAAATCCGAACGGTGTTTAAATCTTAAACCCGAAAAAACTTAACAAAACCCGAAAAGCACCGAAAAACCCGAAAAACATGAACTGAATTCGAAACGAGACTTAAAAAAACTGTTTGATCCCGACGCAGATAGAGTACTCTTATTCTTAGTTTTTTTTTCGGTAAAATTCATTCCAAACTATTTCGTTTTGGAGAAATTGGTTAAATTTGGATTCACACGAACTTGTTCAAACAGATTTTACTACGATGACTTCTGAGATATGGTGATTGGCTTATATTTGTTTGACGTGAGGGTTATTATTGCAAAATAATTTCGTTTGAGGTTTTTTTTGCACAAAATCATTTTTTTAAGACATTTGGTAATGTCACAGTCATCGATATATTGTGGGTGAGTTTTGAGGTGGGTGGATTGACTTGCATTTTTTTGTTTATAATTTGAGTCGCATGGAGTATTTGTTTTACAAATTCCAAAAGACTTGAAACGAGCTCAGCTTAATTGATACTCCCTCTGTTTTATAATACAGGGGGTTTAAGGTTTTTGCATATAGATTAAGAAGCTATTTAATTCTTGTATTTTTTGAAATAAAATATATTTTATCATCAATTCCAAAACATTTCAACCAATAACAAAATAATCTAAAGAATATAAATAATAAAAAGTAGTCAAAACACATTAAACTCTAAAACTCCTTATATTATGAAAAAAAAAAACTCCAAAACCTCTTATATTATGAAAGAGAGGGAGTATATGTTAGTAGAAGTTATTTATATTACATGGACATGCCACCAAAACCAAGGGAATCAACAACATATACATAGTTTCATAGTTGTTAAAAATGTACTTTGAGCACCAAATTACAAATCGTTTCCTTAGGTAGATCACTAAAATCTTAAATGACTGGTATAATGATAATGATATATCTGCATGTAACGTGTACATATGTAGAGATATATACATGATTGGAGCGAAAGTATCTTCACCAGATTTGAACATTCCCAGCCATCCCAAGCGTGAACGCAATCAAATAGACAACAGACTGCAAGATTTCAAACAGCAAAATGAGATATACCATGGGGACTGGTGAATATAGATGATTGACTAGTTGTTGCTCAGAAGATAAAGATACTCACGGCGATAGCACAGGCAACGTAACCTGCCTTCTCGCGGTTATCAACAGATGTGCATACAACGATAATAGCACCGAGGTACCAGGGGATTCCACCAAACAAGAAGCCTATGATAAACCTGAGACCAAAAGACAAAACCTTTGAATTAGCAACAAAAACAAGAACAGGATTCAAGTCACAACATGTATGCTTTAATTACTCACAAGAACCAGCCCATGCCAAAGCCACAGCAAGGAAGCTCATGCTCTCTCATCGGTCTCACTTCAATCACTGTATATTCTAAAACAACAAAACCCTGAATCAATACCGTAACGTTGAACAATATATCACAGAAACAGAACAAAAACACAAATTGAATCCTCATTATTTATCTGGGAAATGAATAATTAAAATTGAGAATAAGATATTAAAGTACCGGGAACAACTGGGAATCCTTGAACATAATTCACAAAACCACCACCACCACCAGGACCTAACAATCTCAAACACGAAACAATCACAAAACAGAATATGTAGCAATTATCCAAATTTAGAGATTAGGAAAGAGAGAGAGAGATATTAAAACCTTGAAAATTCTGATAAACATGTCCAGGAAACAAGGGGTTCGCAGCAATCGGATGATGCGGCAGAGGTAGCAATTGCGGTGGCGGAGCGGGAGGGTGATAATTGGCTACGCCTTGAAACGTTCCGTAATAATATTGATGCTGATTTGAGGTCGAGTCTCTAGGTTTGGCTGCTTCCTCGTCCATAATCGAGATCCAATGAAATCTAGATTTCGACGCAGAGATCTGTGAATTTGTATAATTTATCCGCCGCGTTTACCGATGGCTAACGGCGGCTTTTTCGGCGGTTTAGAGACGAGACGAGACGCGTTTATGGAGAGATCGACAAGACAAGGCCCGCGTAGAAGTGGGATAACTATATGAACCGAATTAAACCAAACTAAATTCACCAATCCGAATCTAGACCGAATTATATATTAGCTCGAATAGATTTCTATTTCTAATTATACAAATTAAGTGGTACTTTGTGCTTCCGGTCTATGATAATGACACGGTTTCTGGAAAATCAATGGAGAGAAGCGGGGAAGAGAAGGATTAGGTGAAGCTAGTCTTGCATTACCCATTTTACAATACTAATTTAATCCAACAAAAATGATTGTCTTGTATATTCCCCTTCACAACTTGTGTTTTTGATGCAAATGTGAAGATTTATACCAACTTATCTGAGTTTGCAAAGAAATAGAAAATGTTGCAACTTATTACAGCGGAAGGATAAAAAAAACAACAAAGAGACGGAGCTCCAACAAAACTATCCAGAACAGGACACTACCTAAGACACTTACCTACTAGAGAAAATGTCTAACGAGTCTGTCTCTAGTAGGTAGTGTCTTAGGACAAACCAGCCAAGCTATGAATGAGCAGCGAGGGATAGACTCCTTAAACCGGATCACTTTATGCCACGACACAGGAGGATATGATTCTCTTAGGTGACACCATGTGGATTTAGAGGAGAAACTGCTCCTCAAAGAAGTCTGTTCGTCAAACCTCCACAACTTGTTACCAAGGTCAATCTGATTCTCTGCTTGAAACTGATACCTCAACTTTCTAGGCGTGCCGACATTAATTCCTTTAGCTTCTTCTCCTTGCTGATAACTGAACTTGAATGCCCATTTCTTAAAATCATCTGATTCCACTCCCTTCCAATGCTCTGAACAACCAGCTTAACTCATCCATGGTGTAACAGAAATGGATAAATCAATTCTTCTCAAAGAGCTTTTAACCAAAAAAACATGACAATCATTCCCTTTCACAAAAATCCTTCTACATATCTACCAAAACTCGAAGAATCCCTTCCAAGAGCCTACCAACATTTTGAAGGTCACCACTTATATACTTTTCAGTTTTCACCATGACCCAGCCATTAACATGAGGACGCAACTTTAGTTTTTCCAAACTAGTTCATACCATCTAACGAACACAATATTCTATAGCTCAACCTGTAATGTTTTAGCAAATTGCAACTATTCATCAATAAGAGAAACTTAAAAAGCCTAATCGATCACACAAACAGCAAAAATCTGGAGCTTAAATGAACTTGCAATAAGGACATTCATTGATAAATGCGACAGAGTCAGGCCTAGAACAAGATGTTACAGTATAACATAGAAGAACGAAATCTTTTTGGTGCGAAAATCAAAAGAGAAGCAGGGAAAAACCACAAAAAAAGAATTTGCGAAAAAAACTTATAAAGAATAAAGATGACTGAATCAGAAAGAAGCTTTGTAAAGTTGTTAAGAGAATAGTACGTATATTCCGATAACAACGGTTACAATGATGATCGGGATGGTATCTCTCCACCGCCAAGCACCGTCTCACTTGATCTGAGAATAGTTTCTCCGATCACTCTCTCTCTTTCAAAGTTTGTTACAAATATCTGGATAATCTTGTAAAGCGTAAATGCACAAGTATTTAAATGAGATTCCCTTTTACTCTAACCCTCCGGCTCCGTTAGAGTCTCTTCCTCATTTGCAACTTCTAAACCGATCTTCCTTCTTCTTCTCACGAACCGGTTAAGTGGCCTAACAATACCCCCCTCGTCAAGACGAAGCTTGTCCTCAAGTTCGGGGAATTCATGGATCAACTCCGAAGCATGAACCCACGTCTTCTCATGTTCCGGAAGATCTTTCCAACTGACCAATGCCTCCAAATGGCCACCATTATCATAACGAGTCTCGAGTACTGATTCCGGTTCAATGATGAGCTCAGGTCTCTGATCAAATGAAGCAGGAAGAACAGAAACCTGATGACTCGATCCCAAAACTGGTTTCAACTGAGAAACATGAAACACGTTATGAATCTTAGACCCTTCAGGCAACTTCAAACGATACGCCACACTCCCAATCCTTTCCATTACTTCAAATGGGCCATAGAAACGAGCTGCTAACTTCTGATACAAGCGTTTTGAAACCAATTGTTGTCGATATGGTTGCAGTTTCAAAAACACTTTATCACACGCCGCAAACACTAACTCACGTCTATGCTTATCAGCATTGTTCTTCATCCGTGCCTGCGCTTTCACCAAATGACTCTTTAAGTCCTGCAACACCTCATCACGTTCTTTTAACATCACTTCCACATCATAGTTTGCCGTAGACTTCTCCTCAAAACGCAACAAACTTGGCACAGTTCTTCCATAGACCACTTGAAAAGGAGTTGTACCAATTGCTGTGTGAAAGTTCGTGTTGTAAGACAACTCAGCCCACGCAAGAAACTTCCCCCAAGACTTCGGATGTGAAGAAGCAAAGCAACGGAGGTAGGTTTCAAGGCAACGATTCAAAACTTCCGTCTGGCCGTCAGACTGGGATGGAAAGCTGTACTGAACTTCAACGATGTACCCGCCTGGCGAAAGAGTTCGCGCCAAAAAGAACTCAAGAAAATTCGATCTCGGTCTGAGACAATTGATCGAGGAAATCCATGAAGTCTCACCACCTCTTGAATGAACTTAGTAGCCACATCAGTCGCCGTGAATGGATGTTTAAGCCTCAAGAAGTGTGCGTATTTGCTCAGTCTATCAATCACAACCAAAATCACATTCACTCCCTGTGACATTGGAAGTCCTTCAATGAAATCCATGGAAATATCTTCCCAAATCTGATTAGGGATGGGTAATGGTTGGAGCAAACCCGCTGGTTTCAGTGTTGAGTACTTATGCCTCTGACACACATCACACTCTTTCACATACTTCTGTATATCCTTCACCATCTTCCTCCAGTAGAACGTGTTCTGTATCCGCTTCATTGTTTTAAGAACTCTTGAGTGTCCACCGATGACTCCCGCGTGAAACTCTTGAAGTATAAGCAGAATGTGAGAAGAATTTCGCGGAATCACCAATCTTCCATTCTTCCTCAGTCTTCCTTCCACTACTATATATTCCTTCTTCTCTTCTGTCCCCTCCAACACACGATTCACCTGTTCCTGTATCTGTCTATCCTCCGCAATTTCTTTATAAATGTCTTGGAGTTGTAGAGTTGCAGGGATCGTGATTGCGAACAACTGAGCAGATGTGAAACCCTCTTGTTCTCGAACTATGCGAGATAATCCATCTGCTGCTTTGTTTTCTACTCCCGGCTTGTAAATGATGTCAAATTCAAACCCAAGTAACTTGATAAGCCACTTCTGATAATCCATTGAGACCTCTCTCTGCTCCAATAGAAACTTCAAACTCTTTTGATCTGTATGCACTACAAATCTTCTGCCTAAGAGATAATGCCTCCATTTTTGGATTGCCAACACTATAGCCATCAGCTCCCTTTCGTAGATTGGCTTGATCTGTTCCCTCTCAGTCAATCCCGAACTGAAATAAGCGATAGGTCATTGTTGTTGCATCAGAACTGCACCAATCCCATAACCCGATGCATCTGACTCCACCACAAATACTTCCGAAAAATTTGGCAAAGCCAACACCGGAGCCGTCATCATAGCATTCTTGAGCTCCAGAAAGGCTTTCTCTGATCGTTCTGACTAAACTGATCCTTCTTCAGGAGATCTGTTAATGGCCTCGCAATGGTACCGTACCCTCTCACAAATCTCCTGTAATAACTTGTGAGTCCCAAAAAACCTCTTAGTTCTTTCACGTTCTTTGGTGATGGCCAACCTTTCATCGCTTCAGTTTTTGATGGGTCTGTAGCCACTCCTTGATCGGATATGATGTGACCCAAGTACTCCACTTGATTTTGGCCAAAAAGACATTTCTTCTTGTTCGCAAACAATACATTCTCCACAAAGATGTCCATCACTATCCTTAATTGTTCTTCGTGTTTCTCTTGGGTCGGACTAAACACCAAAATGTCGTCAAAAAACACCAGTACAAAGTGTCCCAAGAACGGTCTGAATAGCTCGTTCATAAGTGCATGGAAAGTAGCTGGTGCATTAGTTAGGCCAAAAGGCATAACCAAGAATTCATTTTGCCCATTAGTAGTCCGGAACGCTGTTTTCTCCACGTCTTTCTCGAGCATTCGGATTTGGTGATAGCCTGCTCTCAAATCTAGCTTCGAGAAATATTTCGCACCATGAAGTTCATCGAGCAGCTGGTCTATCACCGGAATCGGAAATTTTTCCGCCACAGTCACCTTATTCAATGCCCTATAGTCAATGCAAAAACGCCAACTTCCATCCTTCTTCTTGACTAGTAAGACGGGGCTTGAAAATGGGCTCTTGCTTGGTCTGATCGTCCCAGCCTTAAGCATTTCTCCCACTAAATTTTGCCATCTCTTCCTTGTAGGCATGAGTGTAACGATAAGGCCTCACGCTTATCGGTCCGGTGCCTGCTATCAGATTGATCGCATGTTCTCGTCCCCGTACAGGAGGTAGTTGTGTTGGTTCTGAGAACACTTGAGGATAAGCATCCAACAGTAGCTGAATTTTCTCCGGCACTTCCACAATTTCTTCTAAACCATTCAATTCAAAACTGTCCTCCACATTCAGATCTGCATACTCAGCCCACTTCTGTGTCTCTAACTGTTTCAAAGACTTCCTTGAAGACTGTAATTCATGATCTCCCAACAACGTAATCTTCTCTCCTTTGTAGTTGAAAGACATTTCATGTTTTTCCCAATCGTATTCACACTTCCCCAGAGTTCGTAACCACTGCACTCCCAAGATCACTTCAGTATTTCCCAATTCCAAGACAAAGAAATCTGCTGTGAAATCGTGATTCTGTAAATTCAAGCACACATCTTTACAGATTCATGAGCCATTCACCGTGATTCCAGTTCCCAACAATATATCGAACGTTCTGTTCCTAGCTGGAGAAAGCGAGGTTTTGTTTAAAACAGACGGATCAATAAAGTTGTGGGTTGCACCACTATCAATCATCACCACCAGCTTCGTCTTCCCAATTGTATCCCACAGTTTCGTCGCACTAGGAGAATCAAATCCCAGAAATGAGAACAATGACAACTGTATAGGTTCATGCATGTCTTCCATGTCTTCTTCTAAACCCTCAATCCAATCTTCCTCCATAATCTCTACCTCTTGTTCATTCACCACCGTAAATACTTCTAGCGTCATGTTGTGGCATGTTTTCTGATGTTCTCTAGACCACTTCTCTGGGCACTTATAACACAGTCCCAATCTTCTCTTCTCAGCTATCTCTGCTGGACTCAGTTTCAACATCCCACTGTAGTTTCTTCCTCCGTTATTCTTCCAAGGCGGTTTTGCGTTTTGAGTCTGGCTCTTGCTCAATTCAGATTGCTCCGTATTTTGTATTGTTGGCTTGGGACTATCTGAACTTGAACTTGTGCTCCAATTCCTTTGAGAATTATACTGTGAACCCGAACGCAAAGAGAAAGATAATCCGCTTCTTCTGAAAGGATTTGCAACCTCCGCCATAGATTTACAAAAATGCTATCCTCCATTGATATCACTGTGCTAAACAATGCTGATAAACCCTTTGGTTTTTGCATCTTTACTACTTCCTGCATTTCTGGTTTCAATCCCAAGTAAAAGACGTGTTCCAGGTTTTCTTCCTCTACTCCAGTAACAATAGTTGTGAGTTCTTCAAATTCATTCACATACTCAGCTACAGGACCTTTCTGCTTCAACGCAAACAGCCTCATTCGTGGATTCTCCTCCATTTTCTGATTAAATCTTGCTATCAATCTCTTCTTGAACTGAACCCAATCACGAAACGGATCTCGACTCATCTCTCTGTTGAACCAATGAAGAGCCGGGCCTTGTAAGTGATAAACAACACCTCTATGCGTTCTGCGTCATTGTAATTCCCCAGGCGGAAAAACCTCTCTGCTTGATTGATCCAAGTATACGGATGAGATCCGCAAAACTGAGGTAATTCAACATATTGTTTCTATTCTCTAAGACATTGTTGATTCCCCGATAACCTACATTTCTATTTCCTCCAGGTTCAGCGGAAATGAATTTCGTACCTCACGAACTCCGCCGGACGGTGACGCGAAATCCTCTTATCGTTGCGCCACGAGCTGAGCTAGTGTCTCCGATATCCGTGACATGTTCGCATTGAGCTCGGAAAATTTGTTATCCATTGAATCCATTCGTCCGGTGAGCTCCGTGTGATGCTCCTTCACTTGATTTCGCAGATCCGCTACTTCGCCGTGAAATTCTTCCGTTAGATCGTCGATTTCCCCATTCCGATGTCGCGAATTCGCTTATGCACCGCACCAATTTGTTAAGAGAATAGTACGTATATTCCGATAACAACGGTTACAATGATGATCGGGATGGTATCTCTCCACCACCGAGCACCGTCTCACTTGATCTGAGAATAGTTTCTCCGATCACTCTCTCTCTCTCAAAGTTTGTTACAAATATCTGGATAATCTTGTAAAGCGTAAATGCACAAGTATTTAAAATTTAAATGAGATTCCCTTTTACTCTAACCCTCCGGCTCCGTTAGAGTCTCTTCCTCATTTGCAACTTCTAAACCGATCTTCCTTCTTCTTCTCACGAACCGGTTAAGTGGCCTAACAAAAAGTCACTCAGACTGAGTATACGGAAGATTTGGCATAGCTGAATCATAGCTGCACCAAGAAACATTCCAAAGGATAACACGGACTGGTCTTAAGTACCTGCTATATCTCCTCATCTTCATCATCTCATAATATTCCAGAATGAAAACAGAAAAGTAAGCCCTAATTCTATACATCATGAACCGTATATCTAAAAATCTGCAATGTTTAACAGAGAAGAATGAAGAAAACGAGGGATGCGAGTCTTTAAGTTTCAGAATCTTAGATCTACTAATGAGATCGCCAGATTAATGTTACCAGAAAAAACCGTAACTCATTCGGGATTCCAAAACAGATTTCAATGTCCAACCAAACAAAGAAATTCAGAGCTCAACTTCTGAGAATCAAGAGACGAATAGATTTTCAGAGAGGATGAACAATTGCAATTACAGAGAGAAATTTTGACGGAAGAAGATGAATTATGATACCAAGTTTTCTGCATAATTTTTTTTTTTCTTTTTCTTGACTGTACACGTGTATGACATATCAATCAAAACAATCAAGAAGTGAGACGTTGGATTAAAAAGGAGTCATCTTAGCTGTTAGATTAATAAGGAATCATCTAAAGGGTTAGATTAAGTTTTTTTTTTCTTCCCTTTAAAACTCTGCTAAAGCCTACATTATTGCCAATGTAAAAAAAACTTAAAATTTTAAATAACTAGGATTTAACGAGAAAATTACACTTAGATGGACTTTTTGAGTTTGGCTTTACACTTTGAGGGATTTTATGAAAGAGTGATTTACAGATATAGGCACTTTCCACTTTCAAACTAACAAGAAAGGCACTTTCCACTCCAAGGTGACTTTGAATTTTATTTTGGCTTCTTTTTTTCAACTTTGCCTTAATGAAATCAGAGTGAAAAAAACAGAATATGGGTTAAAAATTTGTTGGTTGGTCACTCATTTTTTCTGGGTTTGTGTCGATTTTGATCTCATCTGGAAAACGAAACTTTTTTTTTGTTCACGCTGGAAAACGAAACTTCATGTGTGTTTTTTTATACATTAATTTGTGAGATAATTACACCTATAGGCACTTTGACACTTACAAATATCACTCAAAGGCACTTATAACAACTAGGGACTTTCCACAAAAAACTGGATAGCAAAAATTCAGATATGCCCTTACTTTATTTTTGTAATTACATCTACAGATTTTCTTTTACCATGTGCACGCAGTAACTTTCTGTTTTTTACAGATGAATTCGCCGGAATAACAGAAGAACGGTTGTGGAATCTGAGATTTGCAGCCGACGAATTCGCCGGAATAACTCGCCGGAGTAATTCAAGAACGATTATTGGATCTAAAAGATTTGTCTTCATAACTGAAAACAAGTACACTATGAGATTTCATCGTCGAATTCTGTTTCGATAATCGATTTGGAAGATTTCGTCGGAAAAAATTATGTTGGCTATGGGATCTGGAAAAATTTCAGTTTGGAGAAGTTTCGTTGAAGTTTGGAGAAGATGAATCTGGGTTAACTCGCGATCTTGTCCACATCTACATGTCCACGCAGTCGTGTACACATACGCCCATCTGAACATCTTTGTTTAGATAATTAAATTTTTGGAAATTAAATAATATGTGTGTGTGGACATGTTTCCGTGTACATGATTTTGTGAACACAAAGATAATTAACAACTGAGTGAGTGTTTGTTGAGCTATTGTTTATCGCCTAGACTATTGCGTAGAACCATATCCATATTCTTGTGTCCATACTTCGTATCCATATGGATATATAACACCTATGTTCATATCAATGTGTAAATATGGTTCTGAAATTGGTTCTCAGTCTATCCAAAACTCAACATACACGTGGACACGACTGCATGATCAAGATAATCGGGTGTTTGGATAATTAAATTTTGGAGTTTGAATGAGATGTGTGTGTGAACATGTTTCCGTGTACATGATTTTGTGAACACAAAGATTATTAACAACTGATATAAATGGGATGGATTGTTGTATATAAGTGAGTAGATATTTGGACATCCGAGATGACCTAAAAATGGATATATGTACACACAACAATTGTGCAGAGCCATATGGATGGATCCGTTTGATGAAAAAATAATTAACTAATATTAATTCAATAGGTCTATGAGATCCATTAAAAATACTAAGATCAGGAAGAGATCCATGACTTCGTGTTTATAAAGTCATGTACACGTAGACATGTCTTGATTGCCATCCATTTATCAAATATCATAGACATGTTAACTATTAATACAAATATATCTGTAGACAGATTTGAAGAGTTCTTTTTGTCCTCATCTTATATCCACAGTGTTCTTGGATACAAACTATTGTTTGTCCATGATTATTTATCCAACAATTAGTATTTGTTTGCTTGTTTGCTATCTTGGTTTCATCAACTAATTCCTTCATAAACATATCATAACCATTAGGTTTCTGTGAACGGGGGTTCTGTACAATTAGGCTAACCAACGACATCAACTTTAGGTAGTTCGCCGTCCATAGACTACTGTCCATCAAAGTCACAGTTCCCATCCACACCATTCGGTCCACCACTGACCATGTTTGTGTTATAGCTGCCAGATACAATACTATCTACGGCCGGCATTGCAGCATGTATGCCTCCCACCTCTTATCCTCCTTGGGTGGGCAACTTTGCACTGGCTAGTTTCTCCGTGCAGGTAATCATGGGTGGCTCGTCCTCATCTATGAATTGTTGCCTGTCGGATTCATGCACACCATCCACATCTTCCTGTACAGATGTACCAAAATATCCTGCTTCTTGAATAGATCACAAGTAGACACGACTGCGTGGACTTCTATATGTGGACATGATCGCGAGTTAACCCAGATTCATCGACTCCAAACTTCAGCGAATCTGAAATCAGTTATATTCATCTTCCCCTTCACTCCAAGAAAATAAACCCAGAAAAAGGTGAAACTGGACAATGAAAAATTGAACGATGGAGTGAGAGATAAAATTCAGAAACAAGGATGGAGGGAGAAATGGCGGCGGTGATGAACGACGGAGTTAATGATTTCTAGTAACTGACTGAAATTCTAATTCAAGGACAGAAGGAGAAGCGGTGGAGAACGACAGAGTTTAGGGGTTTACAATCTTCAATGGTTCAATTGATTTTGGGTAAAATAAAAAGCGTGAGATAAAAAGAAAGGTGAAACGTGGATGTTGGGTAAAAAGAAAAGAGAACTCAGATTTTAGTAAAAAGGGTTTTTTGGTCATTAAAACACTCCAAAGTCCCTTAGGAGCACAAAGTGCCTTTAAATGTAAAAAATAACTCAAAAGTGCCTTTGAGTGTAAACGACTCTTAATTTGTTGAGTGAATGCTGAAAGAAAAGTGAATTTGGGTGTGGTGATAAAGCGGAGGCTCCGGTCGCGGAGGGAAAAAGCATCGGTTCTCTGAAATACAAAAGTTTTACAACTATTTCGTACTCCGTAGATGAATACAAAATCATGTGTAATAATGTGTATTCAGTTGGTAATTGTTTTGTATTGTTTTGAATCGAACTGAATTTTAATTTTTTGTCTAAAAATAAAAACTTGAAATTAATGTGGATATGTTAGTATGGATAGATATCATTGGGAGTATGTTGGTCATAAGAAACTAGACTGTATCAACAAAAATTAATATTATGATTAATACTTAAATTGCCTTTGTAAGGTTGGACAGTTCCAACATGAACATTGGTAGTATGATGCGAGAATGTATGTTTGTGGACAACGAAAATATCCATTAAGAAATATATATATGCAAATACATAGTAATGGATACAATTATCCACATGGATGTGAACAAATGGATAGTTTGAGTATGGACATTTGACATTGGAAGAATATCATAGATATATGTTCGTGGACAATGCAAATATAGATAAGATACTTATTAATGGATACAACTATCGGTATGGATGTGAATGAGTGGACAGTTTGAACATATGTTGAGCATGGACAAATCCTCTCATGCAAGAATGCCGGAGCAATATATGATAAACACACAGGGTGGACATACATAAATGGTCAGGCATTTTGGGTCATACAAATAGAGAATGGTATATGATTTGTGGACGATATATACAAAATGGATAAAACATGTATCCACATGGATGGGAGTGCGTGGACATGAACATCATGGACATACATGGTATATGATTTTGTTACCTTTTTCTCTTTTCACAAAGATCAAAGATTTTATTATACATGAGAAAGAAGAGTACCAAGTATTGAATCCCCTTAACATTCATCTTCGTCTTCTTCTTCTGTCTTGAACTTGAACACAGAACACTTCATTGTCGAAATAATAATTAAAAAAAACTTGAGATTTTAGGTCGAACACAAAAATAAAGTAATTATTTTGTTACCTTTTTCTATTTTCACAGAAATCAAAGATTTTAATATACATGAGAAAGAAGGCGTACTAAGTCGTGGAAAACATCTATTTGTAAATTTATTAATCCACCTAAAAACAACAAATACACTTATATGAAACATGATTTAAGAGTAAGAAATAATATTCATAAGGTTTAGACGAATATGGAGTGTCAAGCATTGAAGCAACTTATAAAAAAACTGTTAATCCATCACAAAAAGCCGCAAAATTGAAAATGAGAGACTCAATGAGTCCAAACCAGGCACCAAATACAAATTCTCAATTTGAATAACACAAACCAAATTCAGATTAATTAAGACAAATTCAGCACTGTAAACAAATCTAAAGGCAAGGATATCGATTGCACTTAGTTATCATGATAGTATTTAACCACGTGGATGCATTTGTGTGGATGGAAAGTGGGTTTGGATATTAATCAGATGGACAATCATTTAATAAAAGTTATATTGCACCAAGAATCAGTACATTCAGCATAAATTATAATAATGCACCATATGGATATAATACAATGTATGGGTTGATTGTACATTGGTGCCACAATACAATGGATGAGTTGATAGTACATATATATATATATATATATATATATATGAGAAATTATGTGTTTAGGAAGTTATGGATGAATAATATGTTCATGGATGATTACTTGTGGATGCTATAGTTGATCAAGTATATTTGTGGAATGTAAGTATATTTGTGGAATGTAATTCGAAAAAATCCGTCCATAAAAAGAGAATTTAGTATTGCGTATTTTGGTAGGAACCATCCATGATAACAAAAGTGTGTGGATACAAATTTGTGGATTATTTATGATGGACAACCTATTCTGGACAATTGGTTTGCAATGATGAATCGAAATCTCTCTTTCTAGAGTTTGATGACGATTATGATCTGCTTTAAAAAAAAATTAGATCATAAGCTTATGGTGATGTGTTTGCAGATCTGGGTTTTAGTTGTATTTTTGAATAAGATGATGTTTTTCGAAAAGCCACAAACTGTAAACGAAAAAAAAAAAAAAGAAAGGTCGGAAGAGAAAGTAATCGGAAGAGAAAGATTGAAGATGGTAAAAAGAGTGGGTTCTATGGTAGAAAAGATTTTAACAAAATTATTAAAAGGGAAAATTTGAGATTTCTCTTGCCTAAAACTCATCAAAGTCACCAAGGAGCTGAAAGTGCCTTTGGCTATTATAACACTTTGGAAAAGTGCCTTTGTGTATAATTTTTCTCTTTATGAAAGTGGTGGACTTTCACAAAGTGAGTTTACAGTGTTACCCTTTTTCCTATCTTTCTCTTAATTTTTGAAACCATCCATAATCAAGCGTTCGCAGTTAAAGTATCCGCACTTGGATGCTTTTATATGCCTGTTTGGATGTTTTCGTTGTGGATACTTTTATGCTAACACGCTTGGACACTTTGAGCTGTTTTAAATATTTTATTTTGGATATTTTTATTATGCACAACCTCACTTTGAAATTTTGAATAACTAGCTTGCAGATAATTTTGTACTGAACGAATATCATTCTCAATTTTCCTCCACTTAACCTTAAACATCAATACATAACTATATGGATACTCAGCTTGACAAAAATAAAACTATATGGATACTCATGCTATGACTGCCTTTTATAATAACACACTTGGATAGTTTAAGCGTGGATATTTTTATATAACATAGGAGAATATGGTTTTCCATTTGGCTTCCCTTCATCCTAAACTTAAAATGTACACATATATGGATGCTTTTTGTTTCATCCATTACAAATCAAAACTGTTATGTGGATAGTTTATTTGGGTATAACTGTCCATTGGATCCGATTTTATTGTCCAAACAAAGTCTAGATGTAGATAATAGTTGAACATTACTACTACATATTACAATTTCAACAACTCTTTCCGTAATTCATAAACAAAATTCCAAAGGCCATAGTATATTCACAAGATGGCCTTTTGGAATCTGGTTTTTGTTGTTTCAATTTCAACAACTTTCTCTCCCGATTTGGCTACTTCCGGAATCCGGAACATAACAAAATGGGTTGGACGAGATTTAAATCGTACAAGTCTAACGATGTAAGTGTACAAAATTCAATTGTACATATCCAACGATGTAAGTGTACAAATCCGTCAAATACCATCCACCACCAACCATCCAAGGTAATCCTATTTTTCACTCCTTTTATAGTAATGGTAAATTCGAACTTTTAACACACTAAGCTCCATAAAAAAGTTCACCAGTTTTAATAAGTCCCTCTTTTTGTAAAGAGAACTCAAAAAGTCACCTATACTGTAAATCACTCAGGATTTAACCCGTGTGGGGCAAACAGTTGTTCTTGTTGGTATATTGCAGAGTGATTTACACTTACACACACTTTTGTGAGTTTCATAACACCAATAGGCACTTATTGACAGAAGTGGACTTTCTTTTGTTTGCTTGTGACTTGGTTTTCCAAATACACCTTTAATGAATTATGGTGGATAATTTTTACCTTGTGATATCTATTTTTAAGTTGGTTTGATATATATTTCATTCTTCGTATGTGATGCCTTTTGTGGCCGGAGAAAAATAAATCGGAAAATTTATGTCACCGGACCTGAAAGCTTTTTCTTGGCTGTCTTTTAGTTTGTTTCCAATTTTTTCTTGGTTAATCAACACCTGAGAGAGGAACAGAAGGAAGATGATTTGAGGAGGTGGAGAGATAGAAAGAGTGTTTCGAGGTTGAGAGGTAGCGAGAGAAAGAGAAGAAGAGGTGATGATGAAACAGAGCAGTAGAAACAATATTGGAGAATCGCCGAGCACTCGTTTTTATATGACCTGCCTTTTGTCATCAATTTCGGACATATATATATATATATATATATATATATATATATATATATAGTTTGATTCAGATTTTAAATTATGAACATTTGTTTATGTTTTGAGAAGACTCATTGATCTTGGTTTCTTAGTTTAATTTGAGTGAAATGTGTTTTTGGACAATTGAATAGCGCGTACGGTTCGTTATGGTTTTTAAGAAGCTTTATTGGATAGTATACGCATGTACAAATGGATGCGTGGATGGTTGATTATGAGTGAGAACCCATCGATAAATTGGATTCTTTTTATGTTATTTCTATGGCTTTTAAGTTTATGTGTTCAGAAATGGCTGCAAAAATGAAAGAGCAAACAGAGCAAACAAAATCAAACAAATTATCACACATGTGATAGGATGTCGAGTGCCGACGTAAGCGTGGAGAAGGAAAAGCTTAGCTCGTGAAGTGAAAATTGGTAACTTTAGATTAGGTCACGAAGAAAAGGAAAGTCTTTTATATTGCTTTAGTATAAATCTGTGTTCAAAAATACGCTAGGCGGTACTCGGGCGGTGAACGACCTTCTAGCGCCTAATCAATTAAGCGAAAATTAAACGGGAGTACTCGGAGATTAATTTCTCATCATTTTATCTAGTAATATGATTATATATTAAATAATTTAAGATATACCGTAAAAACTACTTTGTCTAGTGGTTTCCTATGACAACTGCAGTGTTACTGGTCTCTGGTTCGAGCCTTGTCATTGTGTAATTGCCTTATTTTTCTTCTTTTTCATTTAACAAAAAAAGAAAACTTACCGAATTGATCTTGTCTTCATCCTTTCCTCTGCGACACCAAACCTAATTTCCGCCGTCTGTAATTTTTTTTCGCGATTGTTGTCTATTTTGCTTGTTTTCCATGCGATTTCCACACTAAAATGATAGATCTACAACCCAAAACTCAATTGCAACTTCGATTCTTACAGAAATTGGTTTTCAGCCTAAATGATTTTCTTATAAATCGACTTTTTCCACAGTTAGTCTGAGAACTCAGTTAAAGAACGGTTTCTGTCCAACTCGGGACGGTGACCCTCCTTCCAGCGATTTTCGACCCGATTACTCGCCTGGAAGGCCGAGTTTTCGAACACAGGTATAAATACATTGCTTTGCCTCTTTACTTATCATGCTGAATATTCTAGTTGTGATTTGACCTAGACGTTATGAGTCTATCAACGAGATTGCTATGAGATCTTGAGAGTGCTTGAATGAGATCGCTATGAGATCTTGAGTGCTTTCTATCTATCTATCTATCTAGTGCTTTCTATCTATCTATCTATTGTAACCGGTGTTATTCTAATAAAGAAGAGGAGTTAAGGTTTGGGTTCTTAAAAAATTGGTGCGGTGAGCGTGGATCGGACAGATACGCGGTTGGAGCTTCAGATTTGCAACAATCATGACTGTTAAGGAGTGTGAAGAGCGAATTACACAGCTCGATAGTTCGTTGGGAGAACTCCGTGGAGAAGTCGCAGCAATCAAGGTGGGCTGTCAGGAGATGTCGACACGATTAGGGTTTATGGAGAAGCAGATGACTGGAATTACAAATATTCTCTTGCGACTCGAAGCTCTTGCCTTCTCGGGTCAGGATCGTGGCAAAGGCACTACTTCATCATCGTTTGATTCACCTAAGGTATCTATTCCTCTTCTCGACCATGGAACTTCATCACTAGGTTCTTCCGGAATTTCTAGTTCTGTGGAAACTCATGATAGTATGTTGAAGAAGATTGATATGCCTGTTTTCGATGGTCGTTTACCTTTTGCGTGGATCTCTAGAGCTGAAAGATTTTTTAGATTGGTAAATTGTAATACTGATGAGGAGAAGCTAGACATTGTTTCGTTGAGTTTAGCTGGTGATTGTCTCACTTGGTACAAAGAGGAGTTGCCCAAGAGCTACTTCACGAATTGGCTAGAGTTTAAAAAAGTCTCCTTGCTCGATTTGCACCAGTCAAGAGTCAATCTAGAGCAGAAGTGATTCTGAAGAAGAAACCATATATTGAGATTGTTCAGGAGATATAATTGGTGCAGAATGTTGAATCACCATATATGGATGAATTTCCTTTGAAATCAGAATTGAAGGGGTTGGAGGAAAAATTAAGTAAGGAGACAGAATCAATGCATAAACATGAATCAATGGAGGGCTGGCAATTAGAACTTAGATTTGTTTTCGAGAATTCACACTCTAATTTTCGCAGCGATAATGTGTTTGTTCAGCAACAAGAAGAATTATTCAGGTTACATGTTGAAAAGAAGAATGCATTGAAACTAAATTCAACAACTGTGAAGACAACACCTTGGGCATACGACATGTTTCATAGAATAATCCTCGATGGAATATGAGAGAAGAAACAGAGAGAAGTTAGAAAATCATGGAAGTTCAAGTTCAAACAATGATTAAAGACACAAGAGAACCTCCTCATCAATGGCAGATCAACATCAAAATTTATGAGACACAAGAAGATTAAATTTTCCAAACTATGGCATTTCAAGTTCAAATGGTTCTCTCATTACAGCCTGGGGACAAGCTGTCTTAGCGAGGGGGGGGGGGGGTAATGATAGGATGTTGAGTGCCGACATAAGCGTGGAGAAGGAGAAGCTTAGCTCGTGAAGTGCAAATTGGTAACTTTAGATTAGGTCACGAAGAAAAGGAAAGTCTTTTATATTGCTTTAGTATAAATACATTGCTTTGCCTCTTTACTTATCATGCTGAATATTCTAGTTGTGAATTGACCTAGACGCTATGAGTCTATCAATGAGATCGCTATGAGATCTTGAGAGTGCTTGAATGAGGTCGCTATGAGATCTTGAGTGCTTTCTATCTATCTATCTATTGTAATTGGTGTTATTCTAATAAAGAAGAGGAGTTAAGGTTTGGGTTCTTAACAACATGAAAGATCTTAAGAGTCTTTTGGACAATTTAAAGGCTGTACGAATAGTTATGTGTTAGTTATGTGTTTGTACAATCTTCTCGTGGACACTTTATGGTTATATGATTTCAGTGTTATATAATTCTGTTTCATAATCACTGCCATTGAACATTTTGTTTCAGTCCACTTATTTCATATGATTCACAAAGGTAAGTATGTTGGAAACCGTCCGATAAAACTAAGAAAGAGCAGCTGGAAAGAGAGAACAGACCAGGAGGTTGCAGAAAGACAAAAGCATCACAGCAATAAGAAGCAAAAGACTGTGAAGAAGAGCATACGGAGAAAGACAGTTGCTTAATCTTAGGTGTGAAATCGATACCTTTTAGAAAAGGCTAGGGATAAAAAAAAAACAGACCCACCTTTGCATCTTTTACAGGTGAAGCATTTTTCTTTAGAGAGACTATCAACGGCATCAAGAACTCTTTCTTTTCTATCAACAACATCAAGAACAATAAAACCATTGATCTGAGTCGTTTTGATTCTCTTACAACTAGTCCTACTCCTGTCACCACACGCATCGTCTAAAGCCATCCGCTATTGCCAAACCGAACCGCTCCGGCCACCGGAGAGCTCCCCGCAGCAATCAACTCGGACACAAGCTCTTCCTTCATTGCAACAAATCTGCTCCACAACTAGGGGAAAGAAAACAAACGGAGAAGAAAAACGAGATAAAAAGAGAAGAACTTAGTGATGAATAGATTCAGCAATCAAGTCCAATTAAACATGCTTTAACCAAATCGAGAAAACTAACGGCATTCAAAAAACGGTGGCTTTTCGAGTAAAGGGAATCTGGCATAAGAGAAAAAACGAAAGCGAATGATATGAGAGGGTTGACGATCTATTTCCCCACCAGAAGTATACGGGGGTCGCACCAGATGCAGCCCAAAGTATGACCTCGTTCCACAACCCACATATAAACTTTAAGAAGCCACAACCACACAAGGTAAACTTTGAGAAGCCAGAACCACACGAACCCAAGTTTAAATAGCCGTAGCACCACGGAGCTCTGGTTTAGTTGGTTTACTGTTCCGAAAACATGGTTTACTGTTTCCGAATAGTTTAACCGAACTAAACCCGTTTTATCCGATTTCAGACCCGCTTAAAACATTTTAGACCCAATTTCATCTTCTAAACCAAATTGTAACTCGAAAATCCCCAAATTCACAAATTCTGAAACCCTAGAATTTGAAATCAAGAGAGAGAGTTCGAAATCCAGTTTGAATCTCGATAGTGTGATAGATATTCGAGTTTAGCATGGCTTTAGCTCCTCCAAATGATGGAGAGAGACTGGAATTTGACGATGAAGAAGTCGAGCGAGAGGAGTTTCAACTCGATGAACTATTGCGCGAATTTCAAAACGAGCCGTCGATTCAGCACCGCCAGTTGCCTGAGACTGATGACGAAGCAGAAGATGATGGCGAAGCTAGAGCTGAAGCAGGCGGTGAAGGTCGAGAGAGAATGGTCACGAGAATAAGTCGTGGTGATGGGCATTTGTACAAAGACCAGACTTTCTTCAACGGAGTAGCTTTCAAAGAGAGTGTCCTCGACTACGCCCTTAGAACAAGGTGGAATATCAGCCAATACAGGTACGATAAGGATAAGATTGGATTTGAATGTGCTGGTAGAGGTTTGAACGATTCAGAGTGTAAGTGGCAAATTTATGCCTCGATTCTTCCAAAAGATAAAATTTGGAAAGTTAGGAAGTTTGTAGAGACGCATACATGTCAAAAGACTGGACATGTTGAGTTGGTTAAAGTCCCTGTGATAGCTAGGTTGTTTAAGGAGAAGATTCGTAGAGAACCTGAATACTATATGCCTATGAAGATTGAAGAATTGGTTATGTCAGAATGGGGAATTGTTGTGTCTAGGCCTCAATGTCAAGCTGGTAGGAACAAAGCTTTGAAGTGGATTAGTAGTGAATATGATCAGCAGTTTGCAAGACTAAGATTATGCAGCCGAGATAGTAGATTCAAATCCGGGTTCGTCTGTGGAAGTTTGCACAACTCGGAATGATAAAGGTGAAGATGTGTTCTCGAGATTCTATGTTTGCTTTGACGTGCTCAGAAAAACATGGAAGGATAGTTGTAGGCCACTAATAGGACTTGATGGTTGCTTCCTTAAAGAGAGAATCAAGGGACAGCTATTGGTTGCTTTAGGTCGAGATGCAGACAATGCCATTTATCCAATAGCCTGGGGTGTTGTAGAGGTGGAAAACAATGAGAACTGGCAGTGGTTTGTGCAGAAGCTGAAGGTTGATTTGGATCTAAAAGATGGTGACGGGTTCATTGCTGTTTCAGACCGCCATAAGGTAATTTAGCTTCTGTTTTGTCAAATGACTTTTTTAGACTTACATGCATATCTCTTTTTTGCTTTGTTTTGTAACTAACTTTTACGGTTTTGTTTTGTTTTGTCAGGGATTAGTCAGAGCTATTAAGATTGAGTTACCAAAGATGGAGCATCGTAAGTGTGTAAGACACATCTACGGGAATCTGAAGAAGAAACATGGGAGCAAAAAACAGATGAAGCAACACATATGGAGGCTAGCTTGGAGTTACAATGAAGCCAAGTTTCAGGTGAACTTGGACAGGTTAAGATGCTACAATACAGGGTTTACAATGATGTTATGGCTACAAGTCCGAGGAGTTGGTGCAGGGCTTTTTACAAGCTAGGCAATTACTGTGAAGACGTTGAAAACAACTCGACAGAGTCTTTTAACAGCTCAATAAACAAGGCCAGAGAGAAGCCATTCATCCCTATGCTTGAAGCAATAGCAAGGCTTGCCATGGCACGTATTGCCGTAAGATCGAGAATATCTCATGACCATACAGGTAATCCACGTAATCCTCATTGTCTTTAATTGATTGTTATGTTGTCTCTATATTTAGTTTAGTCATAACATAATCCACTTTAATTGTCAGGAAAATGTACACCATATGTGATTGAAAAGCTAGCAAAGGCGCTTGTAGATAAAGAAAAGAAAGATGGAGCCAAAAAATGTGTTGTGACTAGAAGTGTTAAAGGGTTCTTTTCTTCAATGTTGAATGGACAAACTCACCGTGTAAGCTTGGAGAATAGGACATGTTCTTGCAGGAAGTGGGACATAACTGGAATACCATGTAAGCATGCTCATGGTGTGATGTTGAAGCTGAAGATTGACCCTGAAGCAGTGGCGGAGCAAGAAAAAATATTTACATGGGTCATAATATTTTTAAATCTAAAAAAACTGCATAAACTTTATTAATAACAAAAAACATAATTGTTCTTAAACATCAAAGATGTACTCTACGCTCATGCATATCTTGAAATCGTTTAATCACAACTTCGTTTTTCACTGTCTCAAGCACCTGTTTTTCAATGAAACAAACTAGACAATCGCTTAAAAAAGCATCGCCAATACTATTACGCGAAGCCGTCTTCACAATATTCATTGAAGAAAAGCACCTCTCGACGGTTGCGGTCGCAACAAGAAGAATCAAACAAAGCTTCAAAAGTCGATAAACCAAAGGATGAGAAAAATGCTTCCTTGTCTCAACCATTACACGAGCAAGATCACCAAGACTTTCTAACTTAGAAAACCTTTCATCTCTTTGCACATTATCAAGATAGATATCAAGTTGATGATCAAGAGATCTTAGCTCCAACAGACTAAAATCATCTGGATAAAACTCAGCTAATCTAACCAGCTTTGATTTATCAAACTGGTGAAATGAATCTATCGGACTTAATGATGCCATAGAAACAAGTAGTTCAGAGTTTACCTCGTCAAAACGGTCGTTAAACTCTACAAGCTGCATATCCAAGACACTATAAAAACAATCTATCTTGTAGTGACGCAAATTGGTTTTTCCGCTTTTCTTCCTTGGCCTTATTGAATCAACAAATTCCTCCTCCATAGTGAGCACTTCTGTATTATTTTTCTCACCAAAAGAACAAATTTGAGCCACAAAATCATCGCATCCATCATTTCTAAGCTTATTCAACTGCCGCTTAGTAGATTCCACTAGTGAAATAGCATTCAAGATCTCTTGATCTTTCTTCTGCAGAGCCTTTGATAAGCTATTAGTGAGTCCCAGAACAGCAAGCATCAGTTGTAGATAAAAAACAAAATCAAAGGTGTGAAAGTATTTGAGAAGGCCATATGCTTGCTGTCTTTTGGTGCTATATGTGCCTTCAATCTGAATGAGCTCAAGAACTTCTATAATACATGGAAACATCTCGGCAAGACGTAGTAAAGTCTTATAATGCGAACCCCATCGAGTATATCCAGGTCTTGTAAGTGAAAGGTCTTGATTCAGCCCAGTTCCTGTCTTGATTTCACCACTATCAATCCCTTTTTCTATTCTCTTGCGATTATTTTCAAGGAGCACCTTTTTTCTCTTGCAAGAAGCTCCAACCACATTCAACAAAACATGAACCATCTCAAAAAATTCTCCAATTTCACAATGTTTCTTTGCAACAGCCACAACAACCAGCTGAAGTTGATGAGCAAAGCAATGAACATAATATGCTGATCCATTTCCTTCAAAATCAATGCTTTCAATCCATTGAATTCTCCACTCATATTGCTAGCTCCATCATAACCTTGTCCTCTCACCTTTTTCAAACTCAATCCATGTTTTGCAAACAAAGAATCAATGGCATGCTTTAGAGTTAAATAAGATGTCTCTTTCACATGACTAATCCCAAAAATATTTCCTTTACCAACCCGAATTTATCAACAAAGCGCAAAACCACAGCCATTTGCTCTTTATCTGAAACATCAGCAGATTCATCTACCAACAAACCAAAGAAATCATTATCCATTTCATGGATAAGAGATCTAGGTACTTCTTCTGCAAAACAATGAACAATGTCTTTCTGAATTGGAGGAGGTGTCATTTGATTATTTTTAGGAACATTGTTCAACACAACCTTGCTTACAACCTCATTCTGACTAGCTGTATATTTCAGAAGCTCTATGAAGTTACCTTTGTTTGTTGAGTCTTCTTTCTCATAATGAGCACGAAAAGACAAGCCTTGGTGTAACAAGTGTCTACAAACATCAATCGAAGCACTCAAACGGATCCGATACTCATTTTTCACAACATCAGTTTGCTTATTTAAAGCATGTTTGATAGACTGACCTTGTCTCATCAAATCATCACCTTTACTCTTGGCATTGCTGTGAAAGCTTGTATGATCACCCATGTGTTTGTCAAAGCTATCAGCCTTATTCCAGCTAGAAAAACCTGTCGATACAAAAGCATCACATCCACTTTGTTTTCCAACTTGAACTCTGAACAAGTAACAATACAAGCAAAAAGATTTTTTCTTCTTCCTCACTATACTCTAACCAATCACGATACTGATCAAACCACTGCGGATTGAAGCGTCGCGGTACGTTTCCTATTAGCCTTTGTTTGAAAGGGTGATCACGAGGTTGATGAGGACCTCTATTCAAGTATTTGCGTCTACCTCGTCTCTTTCATTAGGATGATAATCTTGAATGTTTTTTCGCTTTGCTGGATCATATGGTAAATCATCTAAGTTGATAGTAGAGGGTGGAGGTGGAGCTGGAGAATCTGATTCTGACCGTGCTTTTTTGTAATATCGTTCCATTATCTACACAAAGAATTTAACAAACATATGTATGAGAATAAGAGATTTCTAACAATTAGGGAAAAAAAGAAAAGAATATCATAGAAGAATGCAAATTATATAAGTTTTACCTTGTCAATAACCTTATTTTGGCTTGATTTTGAAAACCCTAAATCTCTGTAATTTTGGTGAATGTCGTTATTTGGAGAAGACAACGAATTACCTTTTCTGTTTTTCAATTTTTCTTTAGTTAACTAAATGACTATGTTTAGTTAATTAATGCGCTTCTTCTTCTTATTTAAAAATGATTTGAGATAGTTATTGGGCTAAAATCTCAAAATTTAATATATTTATTGGACTATGATTAAACTAAAAATCTAGATGGGTCAATAATTATTTTGGACATGGGTCAGCCACTATTTTAGACATGGAATAAATTAAAATACATGATACAATTTTTGTTTTTTCAATTTCACGTGGGTCAGCTGACCCACGTCACAACGTGCTGCCTCCGCCACTGCCCTGAAGACTACGTCTGTTATGGTTCCGGTACACCTATGTGGAGAAGAAACTACACTGACGGACTTATTCCAGTTAGGGGTTCGAGGTTTTGGCCAGCAACAGATGCTCCGGATGTACATGTACCTCCTCCTAAAGAGAAACCAGCTGAAGAAGAAACCGGGACTGAAGCAGCAACAGAACCAGGAAAAGAAGCAGGGAAGAAGAAGCTCACCAAGGCTGACAAGACAAGAAAAAAAGGTGTTAATGAGTCTCCAACTAAGAAGCAACGAAAGGAGAAGCAAAGGATTATGCATTGTGGAGTTTGTGGTGAGGCTAATCACAACGCTAGGCATCACAAGGCGAATTCTTCACAGGTTTGTCTTCTCTTGTTGCTGTTTAAAGTCTTTTGTTCCTTACAAACATGTTTTTAGACTTACATGGAGATCTCTATTTTGCTTTGTAGACATTGTTGTTGGAGGGTCCTCAAAGTCACGTTGAATCCTCTCAAGGAACCCTTACTCAAGATTGAGTTGAATGAAGTCTTTGGTTTTGTAATGACATCTACACTTTTGGTTTTGGATTTAGATGTCTCGGATATGTAGGATTATGTGACATTGGCTTTTGGTTTTCTTTTTAAGATCTCGGATTATGTTAAGCTTTTGGACATCTTGTTGTTTACTCATGTTAATGTTATGTTAAGCTTTTGGAAATGTTATTGTTAGTATTGCGCACAAAACATAAGCAACAATGCTTGTTAAAATAGACAAATTCAAAGCATTAATTCAAAGAATACATATCAAGTCCACAATCTTCTTAACAACCACAAATACTTTCAATGCATACAAGATCATACTTCTAAAAACTTTTCAACCTAATTGCTTACTAAACCCAACCATCACCATACACAAAGCAATTACACCAATCATCATTTTCTTTGAAGTAGATGATGCTTCAATCAATGTCTCTTCTACTCTCTCAAATATCTCCTTCTCAAGCTTCATTTGCACATTCTCAAACACAATCCTCTCAAACTCTGTCCTCTCTGCTGCAATTGCTTCAAGCTTTTCCTCAAGTCTTACATTTTTTGTTTTCAATGCCTCTATCTCCTCTAAGTGAGCCTCATCAACCCACTTGAACATGTGGTTATCATTCGCAAGCTACATCCATTGACAATAATACTTATCACAATCAACATTCAATAAAACAATGAATCAGAAGCAAGAATTATGGTGGATTTACCTTCCTAGCCACAGCATAGCCACAACGATAGTAACGCCGGTAAGGATTGTTGTTGGATTTGGAAATCAATTCCATGATTTGTTCCCCACACGGACAGGTTTTTGGCACCCCATAAAATCTGCCTCTTGAACGATGGATTGACGATCCACTAGAAGCTCCAGAGGCGTTACTCATGGCTTAAGATCTGCAGGTAAACCCAAAGACAAAAGAAATTAAGAACAAAGAAGAAGAACTCGAGTATAAGAAAAGGGGGAAGAAGATGAGATCCGAAATCGATATCCTAAAGTAAACAACTGAGAAGATTATCCGAAATCAACACACTAACAGTTAATTTCAGAAATTAGTGTTCAGCAGGATCGATTCGAGATTTTTTGCAAAATTCGATTTTAGGGTTCTTCAGTTTCTGAGTTTCTGATTTGGGATTTTTCGACCGTTGTTGAGTCGGGTTATAACGAGATTTTTCGACCGTTGTTGAGTCGGGTTAAAACGTGGACTAACGGGTCTGATTTTTTGAGATTCGGGTTTCTGTTTGGTTTACTACCGGTTTTGGATGGTTTCATATCCGGGTTCAGACATTAAACCATCGCACTTGGGTTCGTGTGGTTCTGGCTTCTCAAAGTTTATCTTGTGTGGTTGTGGCTTCTTAAAGTTTATATGGTGGTTGTGGAACGAGGTCATACTTTGGGCCGCATCTGGTGCGACCCCCTACTTCTGGTGGGGAAATAGATCGTCAAACCGAAATAAGAGGGGTCACAAGGAGTAACCAAATGGAGGGTCCAGATTTGGAGTGATGAATCAAGGGCTGAGATCAAAAGCTACTTCTATTGATGGTTTAAGTAAACAAGACAAAGGAACAATCGATAAAATCAGAAAAATATTGTTATTGAGATTGTTCTCTCTTCTTCTGTGTAATTCTTCTCTGTAACTCAGATTTTGTTCATCAATGTTTGAAGATCTATTCTTCTTTTTGATCTTTTTCAGTGAACTAGAAATTGTTGTTTTAGGAACATCAATTTCTGTATCAAAGGTATCAGAGCCAAACGGTTCTCGAAATCAATGGCCGATGATGCTCGACATCAATTTGTGCTCCAGGAAGCTGCTGTGCAGAAAGGATCACTCATGGAACGCTTGTTGGAAAAATGTCAATCCCTCAAAGCAGCAATAGACGCGAGAAACGCAACAATCAACAAGCAATTGGCTGATACGCTCGGAGATATTCAATTACTTGCTAAGTTTGTTCACGACACAAAAACGATGGTGGACACCACTAACGACCGTGAATCTTCACTTGGTAAGTTGCCGGAACAAATTAAGACGAAGCTTGAGGTCCTTAAAACCCAACCAAAGAAGCCAGAAGAACCAAAAGTGATAAATAACCCAGAAAATTCTCTTGGGAATTTCGTGGAGCTAGTGGCGGGTCAGAAACAGCAGGGTCCAGATCGTGTTGACAACCAGAGTCAGCAGACGGGAACGACGATCCAACACAACAAAGACTATCTCATATCCAAAGCATTGACAAAGCCCTTTGCTGGCCCTGAACCAAGTAGAAACTTCAATATCTCTCTATAGGAAACGGTCGAACAGTTGGTGGGCGTTCAACCAGGATAGGCATCGACCGATTTCGAGACTTCCGAGGTTTTAATCACACGCCAAAACTGCAGAGTAAGGAGGATCCATGTTGTACGAAGGTACCACAAGGCAAGGAAGAAAATCTCAGGTACAATTTCAAAGATGGAGGGTGTGACAGATTTACATAAGATTACCTCCGACTCCGAGATTGAGCTTATCAATTCTGCAAAGGCAAAACAAATGACGAGTGTTACAAATGGAAAACGAGCTCCAGCTTTAGGACAAGCTAGTCGTGTATGGGAGCGTGGTCGATTACGAGTTGGGAAAGTTTATAGTGGTGATAATGTTCTGAAATTAAGTGAAGATGTTGGTAGAGCTGATCAAGGGTGGAAACCAGGAGGATTATTGTGGCATGCGAGAATGATTTTGGAGTTTATGCTATTCAAGTACAAAGAACCACATGCAATTGTTTTCTTATCATTTCAAGGGTTAAATCAAACAGATATAGAGGAGATAGTGTGGTTGTTAATAAGGGAAAATGACAAAGTGAATGGTTCTGATTGTGAGATACAAGCTGTGTTCGAGGTTCTTATAATGGTGAATCACTTCAGTTTGGGAGTTGAATTTCGTATGGATAACGTTGTGCTCATCGAAAATCCTGTCAAGATTATGTATTCAGTTTGGGAGCAGCATGAACTCTCTATACTAGAGAACCTAAAGTTGGACTTAATGCAGAGTTTCAGTTACATGTTAGGTGAATTTGTGAGACTCGTAGTGACAGTGTTTTCTGCAGTTATCATTGCTGGCATGAAGCCTCACACGAAGCACAAATGGAGGTCTAAGCAATTACAAACAATTTTTGATGATTATGAAAAGGGATCAGGGACAAGAAAGAAGACTCTTTAAGAGAATAGCAAGAGTATTGGCAGCAGTGGGGAGTTTTGTTCCAGCAGTTTTTGAAATATTGAACAAAAGTATTGCTGTTGGAAAGTGTATGAAGCATAACTCTCTCAAAAGGAGTGAGATAGTCGTTCTTATGTTCCTGGCGCATATAATTGACATGGAACAGAATTTTCCAGGTGATTTGAACCGAGATCAAGAATGGCAAGCTACATACAAGTGGTCTCTATTTCTGCAAATGCTACAAGCTATCGTGAATTGCAAAGATAGAGGTTGTGTGAATGGAGAGCCTGATTTCCACATAAGACTCAGAATAGAGATGCCTCTTTCTTTGACAAAAGAACATAGTAGTGTGTGGAGACATCTAATCAGGTCTGACATTTTTCCTTGTAATGTTTTGACCATACAAGTCATGGTTCTAAGTTAGTGGGAGAGTGTTTTGACGATGTTGGTTTCTAGTGCTGAGCGCTTAACTTTGTTGGGTTACACACACATGCTGGTGGGCAGAGACGAATGGGATAGCGATCTCCAATAGTTGTTGTTATGGATCACGTTCTGGTTTGGGTTTTACTAATGTCATCACCGCTGGTACATTTATGGATGAGTGCGCTGGATTTGTTGGATGCAAACACCAAGGAGAAAAAAAGAAACAACATCTGGAAGACGGTGGAGGTGTTTCTTTTTTGGAGTTCTTGATGGAAGGGAAGGTAGAGTTGATGCTCTCAAAGGAGCTTATCCTGTCACAATCAAAGTGGAGCTCCCTGCCAATCATTTGGCTCCATTTCTCATGTATGAGATGTTTCATTCTCCTAGGCCATCGGAGCTGGTTATCACTATATATTTTCTTCTCAAACCAGCTGGTCGAACAATATTGTGGTTAGGTGCTATCTTGACTGGAGATACTACGTCGAAAGGCATGATGGAAGGAAGAGATATCCCTATGCTGCTTAATTCTTTGTGGTTATTTGATGGAAGAACACAGCAACGGTTTGACAAGACGAAGAGAACGATCTGTTGGAGTGGTTTATTTAGGTCTCTACAAGGCTGCCTATGAGCTTATAAACCTTGAGGTCAAGGTTTTTCGATCAGGGAGGATTTGATATAGGAAATAAGAGGGTCCCAAAGAGTAACCAAATGGAGGGTCCATATTAAGAGTGATGAATCAAGTGTTGAGATCAAAAGCTACTTCTATTGATGGTTTAAGTAAACAAGACAAAGGAACAATCAATAAAATCAGAAAAAATATTGTTATTGAGATTGTTCTCTCTTCTTCTCTGTAACTCAGATTTTGTTCATCAATGTTTGAAGATCTATTCTTCCTTTTGGATCTTCTTCAGTGAACTAGAAATTGTTGTTTTAGGAACATCAATTTCTGTATCAGCGAACCTTAAAGAGTTTTAATACCAGTTGATTACGTTGGAACTCAGAGTTGAATCGCCGAAACACAGATTTAGTCGCCGCCGTGAGAGTGGAAGTGAGAAACAACACCGAGGTTTCTGCAGCGGAAAATAGGTCATCGTTGTTTGTGTGTTTGTCAGAAAGGAAAGAAGCGGAAGGTAATAATTGTCCGTGAATGTGAAAAGAGCGATTTACAGCAAGAGAAAAGGAGAGTAACACTGTAAACTCACTTTACCAAAGTGCACCACTTTCACAAAGTCACTCTTTGTGTATTGTGAAAGTGGAAAAGTGTGTATAAGTGTAATATTCTCGTATATTGCATATTTGACATTGTAATTTAAAGTATGGAAGTTATATAGGGTAACTGATATCTTTGAAAAAGGGTGAAAAAAGAAGAAAAATCATAAATAAATATCTATCAGTTAGAAAAACAATTGTAAGCACACTTATACTCATGTGTGTGGACTGTAAACAGAATCAGAGAGGTTTAAAAAGGAGCAAACATTAAAACGGGTACGAAAAACAAAGTGTTCATGGGGCAACATGATCCTCTTAGTCTTTTGATATACTGAAGCACTTCCTCCTCATCGAATGAGATTGCGATTATGAGTAATGAAGTGTGCTTCGGCAGTGTTAACTGTGTGTGATGGAGATTTCCTATACTGAGACGTCATCATAAACCTGTTACATGATATTAGTAAGGATTTTTGGTATCTATATAATGTAGTAAGCGTAATGTAAATAGAGCCCTTACTTCTCCTTCAGTTCTTGAGCAATGAGGAAACGTGGATCAAATTCGAATCTTGAAATACCACCTCCATCAACAACATGATTTCATCCTAGTCATTAAATAGGATCCCATTATTAACTATACAAAGTATGGTAACATCGATTAAACAGTTTAAAACGTTTAATACACATTACCTTTATTAGAGATAGCTCTCCAATCTGTTACCTCACATACAACCACATCATTTGGGATACTATGGTGCAAATCATTGAAATCGTTACCGACTTTTGCACTTGCAGAACATAGTATTTCTCGATTCATAGGAAAAGTAAATGAACATTTAAGTGATGTAATATGTACTATATCATTACATAAAAACACATATTTTCTTGTTAGAGTACTTACTAGAGATCACGGATCCGGAAATTGACTTTGTTTTTCCTTTTGTTTCGTCCACCAAAAATCTCATCTCTCACCGTGTGAAGATCTCCAAAATAAGAGACTACACCTACCAAATCTGTATTTATATTAACTCATCATTTATGGAGAAATTGATGTATTAAAAGAATGAAATTTTAAAATGGAGGGCTTACTAATAAGAAATGCATAATCAGCACGCAATATCATCACAAATGTGAAAGAACGGCGTTCAGTAACATAACTCGATGCTTTTGGTGGTATTTTTTGTATCTTAGTGTTAGAATCCATGATAATGCACCATCCGTGAATAATTGTTCGGTTTTTGAAGAGGAGAATTTGACGACATAAAAGTTGGATAGACTATACCATAATCCTTCCTCGAGTTGGTCATCAAACATGCCAACGTATTCATTCCTTGTTACAGATGCCTGAATAAGGGTTCCCTAAAAGAGAAATCATAGAATCAACTAATAATTAGTTTCTTCAATCAAAGTTACTATCATGTAGTATAGTACTATATTTTAAATAACTTACTGCTTCGTCGACCACCATTGCATCTAACCCATCGACACCTCTGGGACCAGCGTTAACCCACTTCTTTAAGACCTTCACAACCAACATCGTGTTTGTGACCATTGAGTGCAAATCGGCTACCATCGCGTAAGACGCCATGTTCTAGGGATGTGTGGTCGAAAGACAAAGTTAAAAATGGGAGAGATGATATGTGAAAAGGCACCGTACAATGAAACACAACTGCAAGTGTTTGAGATATTTATAGGGTTGTACACCTTTTAGGGTTTATATCGTTGCAAGTAATCGTATCCCTTGATACCCGGTTATTTTGTATAATGTTTTTCTTTAATTGATACAATACAAATAAATGGAAATCAGGAAATATCTCTACTATATGGATGTATCTCCTAAATTTGGAGTGTAATGTTTAATATCGTGGAAAAATGCAAGAATCTTCATTTTGTGGTTAATATTGATTGATCTCATTAAAAACGAACTATAAAGAAAGTAATAATATGGTAAGATATTATACACATAGGATCTTACTGAATTAATTCTCTTATTACTATTGTTACTGATTCTGTGTTCCAGTTTATTGAATGTGCCATAATTTTATCTTCTGTATTCCTTCATATGGTATTCTTAACTTAAGTACATATATTTTTGAATTAAACAATATAAACTTCATCCCTCATAATGTAGAGAGGAACGCAAAATAAGAGAAATAATTTCTTTAGATTAAAAGCGGTAATTGTTATCATTCGTGGAAATTGAAATTTGACAAAACACCATAAAAAAGAAGAACACAATATGTTCACAAATTTTGGAAAATTTCTTTGAATACAACATTGTTGTTTGCTTCTGTGGTTTCCCTTCTTTGTCGACGATTAGTTTTAAGACCCTTCTTCGATGTCACTCTAGAAAGTGCGACGTACAGTTGGCCATGAGAGAATACCGGTCGTGGAAGGTAAAGACCAACTTGCTTGAGACTGACCTTGGCTCTTGTTAATGGTCATAGCAAAAGCAACTGCCAGCGGAAACTGTCTCCGTCTCATTCTAAAAGGTAATTTCAGGTCAGATGGAGATATAACAATTTTAGGGATCAAAACTTTGGCCCAACACGATCTCCGGTAATAACCCGTGCTTCCAAAACATGATCAGCCATCTGAGAACTTGCAGTCTTGTACATTGCATAAGCCACCCTTTGAGTCTATGTTTCTTAGCAACATAACTGGAGTTCCTATTTTAAGACAAAGTAAATGTCTTGGTAGACCTGGTACCTTGATAGAGTTCAAAAAATCGGGTGTGAAAATTGGATTGTTCCTTGCAGCTATATCCATTGGATCTATGCTATCAGCACTCAAATACGTTTCGTTCTTCACCTGATTCAAAAAATAGAACATAAGATGAATGGCGAAATAGCTTTATATAACCTTTATGAAGAAATATTCAAACTTGAATAATTAAAGAGTCATTAGAGCTTACCGGGTATTTTACGTAGCATGAACTGATTTATCATGTCGACGTCGTCGTTAGTTGGACATAATATGGCCCGATCTTGAAAATAACGTGGATCCTTATCGACTTCAAACATATCAGGATCAGAATATATCTCATTGGATATAACTTCCATTGGATCGTTTGGCTGTGATAAGTAATTGCGGAATATCTATTTCGCCTCACCATCGTTAGGCTCAGAAAGCTTCCCATCTCCAACATCAAGCAACCAATCTGAGAAATCACTTATTTCTTTGGCCTCTTCAGCATTCAAACTGCTATTAAACAGCCTCATATTCTTCGTTAACTTCAATACTTTGCAATGTTCCCATAGATAAGAAGAATTCAATGAAGCAAGTACAATCTCCGCACGACCGGCATTTACAATCACGAAGAACTTGTCTGAAATCACCACCAAATACATAACCTTCCCCACAAAAGGCTTGTTGTCAACATTACCAATAACGTCTCGTAAAGACCTATCCAGAGCCTCGAAACAATACTTGCTCATCATAGGCGCTTCATCCCAAATAATAAGCGATGCTTGCTTAGCAAGATTCCCAAGATCGGAGCCTGGTGCGAATTTACACATTGTGAAATCATCAGGATTTATTGGAATGGCAAACCTTGAATGAGCAGTACGTCCACCTTCTAACAACAAAGAAGCTATCCCGCTAGAAGCAACGTTCAGAACAATCTCCCTCTAGATCGTATAGCAGCTGATAGTGTTTTCCACATGAATGTTTTGCCCGTCCCTCCGAAACCATAAACGAAAAATATTCCTCCCTTTTTATCCAAGACCGCTCCAGTGATCTCATCGTAAACACCCTTCTGCTCGGTAGTCATCATCTTTATCCATTCATCATGTTTAACCTTCAGCAAGTCTTTGTCGTAGCTTAGCTCGTCAGTTAACAATCGATTTGAATAGGCGAAGTCATCTTTCTGTGGTTGGGGCATTGATGTATAATTAGACAACGATGTCCCATTCCTTAACATCACCATTTGAATCTCCTGAAGAACGAAATTCCTCTTCTGTTTCTCGTCCAGAATAAGAGCTACAAAGAAATACACGGAATATCTTAGGCGTGTTTTAAAACAACAGGTGCATCTGATATGGAAATTATTATGTTTGGACGATATTTTACCTGGATTTTCATTTTCAATCCTCTTCTTCTCCTCCATGTCTTCCGCTAGGATGTGCCATGTTCTTTCCCAAACATCCTCCGGTGTTGTAAAGCAATCACTGGCAAGCATAACCGCAAAAAGATTTCGAAGATGATCACCGAAACACCATTCGCTTGCACTTTTGATACTATCAACCCACACCTCATCATCATCTAGCAGTCCTCTTGCATAGCATGCTTCCTTAAACTTTTCATAAACGACACCTCGGTAGGTTCTGATCTCTTCAAACGATCTGGGACCCGTTACAATATTAAGAAGGACTCGGAGATAATAACCCTCTTCTATCTTGCGCGGCACGTAATTGATTCTTCCTTACTCGCCTGTTTCCTTGGTCTAAATTCCCGATCTTTCTTGTTGTAAGTGAAGTAGTTAGGGATCTGTGCAAATGTCAGTGTTCTTGCAAACTCATTTGTCTCGTTCAATCTAAACCACGCGATCATTTGAGAGATCTCAGCGGATTTGCGACTCAAAATATTTTGGACATCATCATCTGCTTTAAAATAGAGGAGTTGTTTGCCTTCGAGATGGAAAGCTAGCTTCTCAACAGGTGTTGATCTCCAGTGCATTGGAAATTTAAGAATCCGCCAAACCGCCTCGGAGGCTGAGACATATCTATTGTAAAAAAAAAAGGTAGTATTAGTAAAGTTTAAATTGAGTTACAATTGGAAACAGTTAAAACGTGGAATACTTTTAGAATCATCTTGAATATACCTGCAATCGAAAAAATCTTTGATCTCATTCTTCGGCTTCTCAGGATCATCGTTGTCTTTGTTCGTATTGCTCTGTGCTGACTATTTTCTGGAGGTTCAACTGCAACAGTAAGATGATCCTGACCTTTGTTGATATACTTGAATAAATACTTTATGGACCCAGATTGGTTGCACCACTCAACTTTATGTGAGATTTATAACGAACAGATAGTTCCTTGTTATATGGGCACCACGTATCTGTTGTCACACTTGAAACCATTCTTCTCAACAAATGCTCCGGTATCTCTTCTCCTGTATACAGGATATCCATCTTTGTCAACCGTAGTGTTCTCGACGTAACTCTTGGGAAAGAATTTAGAGCATTTTCCGTTGACCATGCATGGTGATTTGGTGTTTACAGCCCCACACGGTCCATGTATCATACACACTACAAGAAAAAAGACATATTGTGACTAAATTTTGTTATGAAAATTAGTTATTACACATGGTGGCATTTTGGATACGATATTGTGACCACTTTTTTATGTCACAAATTAGTAGCTATTCCATATCAATATTGTGACCATCTAAACCGTAACCGATATTTGTCACAATTAGAGACAAAATTGTGATGAAGTTAGTAGTCATAACAATTGTGACCAAATATATAGTCACAACTTGGTTACAAACGTGTGATGAAGTGAAAAGTATTAATTTGTAACGATATAATGACTTAACATCAGTTAATATTTGGTATAAATGAAAACCAAAACATATCGTAATGAATTAAAACTGAAATGTATAACAAATTCTTTACATTTGTAGATTAATTTACTAACATTTTATTCATTTACAATGAATTTGTTGTGAATTTTTTTGTTCTCCCTAGAAATCAAGGATACTGAGATACGAGCCTATGGAACAGATCCTGTTTTTTTTTTTTTTCATTACTAGTTTATAAAATAAGCTCTTTTATTTTATATCTTTTTGGGTCAAACATGAAACTAGTTCTATTTATAATTTTATGATTATAAGTTAATATACATATAACTATAGGTGCATGTTAACAAAAAAAAATATAGGTGTATATACGTTTCTTTTGTAGGTTTATATATGTAAATATTAAATAATAAGAGAGGAATATTCATAGATAATAAAAATGTATCCATGATTAACTTCTAAAATGTCGCTTTCTTCTCTCTCTAACATATTTGAGAGAGAGAGAGCGAAGTTCATCTTCCAGTTTAGACCGGATTTTTTGTTGTACTATAGTTCCGTTTAAAGGATTTTTTTTCCGATCTAAATCGGTTTTCTTTCTTAGCTGTCTAATAAATTTCCGTTTAACGGATGTCGTCCCTATTTCCTTTTGCATGCTCATAAAGCTTTTCCAATTTCTGGTAGAGCCAAAATCCAGAGGTTTGTGTGGACACCATTTTCATCGTTGTATGCTTAATTTTCTTTCAAGAGAGAGTAATTCTTCACAAATTCCGATGTCAGACAAGTAGTTGTGAAGTTGCTCTTACTGATTGAAGAATTCAGATTTTGGGAATCAGTTCATTGGATTTGGGTCAGAATAAGTAGAGATGACATTTTCTCGGCAGCTAGGAAACGGTTCGACGAATATTCTGTTTTCCGATCCAGCTGAAGATTCTCGGGTTATATTCTCTGATGTCTATGTAAAGATCCGGCCAATTTCCTCCGGCGACTAGTGCATAAGGAAGAAGCAGTAGTACACATACAAGCCAATGTGGTGGTAGATGGAAAGCTAAGCCAGCGATTGTAGCCGAGAGACTGGCCATCGGCGGTGGAGGCTCGAACGGTGATTTTCGCAGTCAAGTCCAAATAATGCCATGTATCAAAGGCTGCTCCAAATAGCCAACACGTGTAAACAACGTGTTTCGTTTGCAACATGATAGATCTTCTTTTGGCTATTAGTGGACTTATGTAGAATGATATCTAACTTGTGTACTTCTGTTATGGCCCATTGGGCTTCAAATTAATGAAATGGTTGACCAAAAAAAAAAAAAAAAAATGTAGGGTACATCTTTACTAAATTATAACAGCTATTTAGGACCTATCAAGGTATTCACGTCAGCATTTTTCAGTATCTTTTTAGAGTGCCATGTGTCATAGTCTAAAACTCATTCTCATCTTTGTTACTTCGACAAGAAACTCTCCGTCTTCCAACTTCGTAGGCCTCAAGGAAAATCAATGCCCTACGCATCAAACCCTCTCCAAAAAAGAGACAAGGCATGGGGGAAAACCCTAAATCTCTCACTCTCTCTTCACAACTCCCTCGTAATGAGGTGTTTCCCTCTGCTCTGAGCAAGAATTCTTCTGCTGTTTTAGGTTCGGTGGTGTCCCAGAAACCACCCAGTAAGAAGATATGAACACAATTGCTTGGAATTGTCAAGGTGCAGGAGCTTATCTCACCAAGAAACATCTTCAGGAGTTGCACCGTTTGTTTTTTCCTTCTTTTCTTTTCATTTCAGAAACAAAAAACAATTTTCGCTTTATGCAAGATTTACAGTTTTCTTTTGGTTATAATAAATTGTTCACCGTGGATCCAGAGGAACTAAGCGGTGGACTAGCTTTGTTTTATTTTGATTATTTTGATGTTAATATTATCTCCTCTAATAACCGGTTGATTGACATTGAAGCAACTACTGAAGGGCATCAAGTCTTTATGTCTTTTATTTATGGTGATCCGGTTTATGAACGCCGTGAAAGAGTGTGGGATCAACTTAGCCAACTCAGCCTGACTCGACAAGGACCATGGTTCATGATCGGAGATTTTAATGAGATGATAGGAAACAATGAAAAACGAGGAGGGGGGAAGAAGAGCAGAATCATCGTTCTTACCATTCCGATCCATGTTAGATAATTGTGGAATGATAGACTTCCCATACAAGGGTAATTTTCTATCATGGGTTGGCTATCGGAGTTCAGGTAAAGTGCAATGTTGATTTCATCGCGCATTGGGAAATGAGGATTGGCACCACTGTTTTTCACACACAAGTGTAGAGTACCTAAAGCTATGGGGCTCTGATCATTGGCCCGTCTTAGCTAGAATCTCCTCTACTGTCATCAAAACCAAACACAACTTTAAATTTGACAAAAGATGGCTCGGCCAAGAAGGGTTCAGAACGTCAATAGAAAGAGGATGGGGCTTACCTCTCGACTCGGAACATGGGAACATCCATGTAAAAATCAATACATGTTGTCGTGCTATCTCTACATAAATCGAAAATCTTAAGGAGAAGATGGAAAGAGCACAAACACACGACAACATAACAAGTGAAGAGATTCTAAAGCTAAAATGGGAATTGTGTGAAGCCTTTAGAGAGGAAGAACTCTTCTGGAAACAAAAAAAGCAGAGCAACATGGCTCAAGGAAGGGGACCGAAACACCAAATTCTTCCATGCCACCACTAAACAAAGACGAGCACGAAACCGGGTTACAAAACTAAGATGAAATGACGGAACATGGGCAGAGACAGAGGAGGGAATGGAAAAGGTAGCGACGGAGTATTTTCAAAACTTATTTACATCTTCCCAACCATGGGATTTCGAAGACGCACTCCATTATGTACCAACTCAAGTCACTGCCAATATAAACCAACCCTTAACAAAGTTCCCTACCACGGAGGAGATCCAGCAGGCTATAAAGGAGATTAATCCCGACAAAGCTTTCGGTCCTGACGGTGATTACCATTTGGGGCTAACAGATAATGAATGTGATTATAGACTCTTCTGGTGGCCGCCATACGGGGAAAATACGCCGAGTTTCTATCACCATCCTTTAGCCATGCGATCCTCGACTTTTGGCGCAGAAAAGTTTCCTTTCGCTAGGATCACCCATTTTTTCTGTGCCTCATGGTCTTGATTTGCATTGTAAACAAATGGGCATCTAAGATTCTCCTTTGACTATCCAGCATAGCCTTATGAGCTTCAAATGTTCTCTTTTCCAAACCCGAGTAGTTAACCATACTGAAATCCCTGATGACTCTCTTCAGACCCTTGAGTTTTGATGAAACTCTGTACATAGCGGATCCCACCACACTTGTACTGAACCAATGGTTTCCAATCAATGGCAACAAGCTTTCGTTTTGAAGTAGATAGTTACAGAATTTAAAAGGCCGTTTCTGCTTCAAACTACCATGGTCTAGAATGACTTGACACGAAGCATGGTCTGCGAAATCCGGTTCTCCAAACTGAGCATATGACTCTGAAAAAAGTGTAGACCAAAGATCATTAGTGATGGAACATGTTAGTATTGTTAATTAACAAAAATATTTAGTGCAGGTGAGATTTTAAGATAGAGCCAGTCCTGCGCTGCCTTATATGAGACTGAGTTGCATTGCATTGCATTATGACGCAAATATCAAAATGATAGGATTTGCTCAAATCAGTGAATTTCGATTGAAATCTTGAATATTTTGTCTCTCATATATATGTATCTGTGGAACTGAGTATTGCTCTAAGTTTATGGAGTAAAATAATACTCTCTTTGTTTCATAATAAATGTTATTTTAGAAGGTTTTTTTTTTTGGTAAAATTTTAGAAGTTTTTTTTGTTACAAATAAGTGTCATTTTCTGATTTTAATACACTTTTTGATATTAATTTATCTTTTATACTCCTAATTAAATAAGAAAAGTATTAAATTCAAACAAAGATAAAACTAAACTTTGACCTAGTTTCTTAATTTGTGTAAAAAGTGGCAAAGTGACACTTAATATAAAAGGGAGGGAGTATGCTTTTGCTACACTGCTTTGAGGTCTTTCAGTGTCGAGTTGCTGTTGTATATTTTAGAAACGCATGCTTGCCACTTAGAATTCAGTGTTAGACTGAAAATGACAGTAATCAACTTAAAATGAATCCATTTTAGGTTATTAACCAACGAAGAAGTAAACATTAAACTACAAATACCATAACTCTCATTCGTTTATGATCTTCACATTTTAATAAAATTGGCTTACTGTCATAATCTAGATCAGATATTTTAATAAAATCTTCTCCTATTTTCTTCATCTTGGCAAAAGATATAATATGCACATAGAGAAAGAAGAATGATGAACTTGCATACAATTCTGCCCATGGTGCATTTTCTTCAATTGTGCTTGACGACAGATAGTTCATAATAGCTAGGAGAGCCCATCATAGTGATGCCTTCATGGTCGGTGTCATTTCCCAATGATGGGTGTGGTGACTTCACACATCTTGAAGTTCCAAAAGGATAATAATCCTCCAAAGACCAATGTGAGATTACACTGAAGAGTCAAACAAATTTGGGCGCTCATTGTAAAATTCCTCAAACCAAACCCACAACGGGAACTATCTTCCTATTTAGTTTGGGATAAAACATATCCCAGACATCACAAAAGTAGTTGAGGAGCTATATGTGGGATAAGAAGTTTGAATTAGTGCATAGTTTGTGTATTGGACAATCTGTGATTACAGAACCAAATATTACCAACAGACAAGTTTCATAGAGTCGTTGGACATCAACCCACGAGGAACCTAAAAGGCTATAGGGTTGCTGTTTAGACTTGAATTCCCAAACAAATCACCATGTTAATTATGTTCGTTAAGAACATGTGAAACGAGAGATTTAGAGAGCAAAACTAAACCTTGTTCGATTAGGATTAAAGGAACGAAACATGATATCTTTTAACCAAACCCATTTCTCATATTCTTTGATGGTATCTTCTGCTTCCATGATATCTTTTCACATGCAGAAATTTAAATATTATCAGTCACAGCTCTTTTCTCTGTTTTGGTCTTCTTCATCGAATAATTTGTGGAGAACCCATGCAAATTGCTTCATTAACATCTTTCAGAAAACAAATATCATCCCTTAGAAACTCTATAAATTAATATATAGAGTTTTGACTAAAAAATAAAAAATTCAAAAAAATATAATAATACTTATAATGTTTTAAATTTTCATTCAAATTAAATAAAAAATTTCATTTATAATATATTCTTAAAGTATTTGATATTTCTATATTTATTTTATTGTTTACATTTTTTCATTTGCCATATTGTTTTAAATTCAATTTTTCTTTTCATTTCCATATATGTTTGGTGTGTGAGAGATCATATTTTAGTAGTTAAATATTTTAATGATATATATATATATATATATTTTTTATATGATGATTATTAATTTATGATATTATTGGGACCATATTTTACATAGGAGTTTCAAAAACATTATTATCTTATTATCTTATCGAATTATGTCATATTTTACACCGGCCCAACTCAGGACCGGAAGATTTTATTAATTTATCGTGTTTATTAATTTATCGAGTATTAATTTATAGAGTTTCTACTGTATATTAAAAGAGAAAACAAATATAAAAGAAACATTTATGTCATGTGTTATTTTCAAAAATGCCATGCTGATGTGTCATCATATGCCTCACTCTCAAGGTCTTTGAACCTAAGACTCACTTCACTAGAATATTTACAAAATATGCCATTGGACTGGTTTTGTCTTAATTATTTATTTATACTTAAAATGTCACGAGGATAACATAACCAACAACATTAGTTACACTTTAAATCACATTAGTCCAATCAAAGGTTTCTTATGTTGTGGCGTGATGGAATTATTTTTACAAACTATCTTTCATGTCTTTAGTTACAACGTTATGTTCAAAAAAAATTGATTGGTTTTCGCAAACCGTTAATCCTCAGTTTCATTTTTTATATTCTGAACTATAGTCTATAGTCTCGATGGGATTTGTGGAATACTTAGAGATTGAAGAAAATTGTTATTAAGTTTCATGTTGTAACCTCTGACGCATCTTATGTTATTAAGTTTCATGTTGTAACACGTATATTCCCACCATGTATACGATGATTACGATTGTACTTACAGAAGAGATATAATATATGAAAGCTATTAATTAATTTAAACGTATCTTAAATTAGTATGGACCCGCGATGGTGTATGTTGTCAATTATATATGTTTTAATTATAGGGATACATAGACAATAAGTTATATTGTAATATAATTTAAAATATAAATAATGAAAATATAAAAAAGGCATCACGATTATGATATTGTTATATGGTAATATAAATGAAAAGTCCGATTAAGGAATTACATATATCTCTCTCAAAATGAAATATTTCAAAGTACAACCAATATGGTATTCTTCTTAATCGTTCTTCCCAAATCATAACATTGCGTAATTAAGACACGCGTGATTGAGTAAGATAGTTATGTGGGCTTGCATGATTTATGTTCAAAATCAGGAACCGTGATCAAGAGGAGGATATTCTTCCCTTGCAAATTACGGCTAAATTTAACAAGAACTTCAAAACTAGCCTCTTATTAGGCCTTGATTGGTAGAACTTTTAGAAGAGCATTAAGCTCTTTTTCATCCAATTAACTTTTTTTAAAACAGCATTTTTTTTTTAACACTGGATTGACTAATCTAATACACAAATATGAGAACTGTTACTCACCAAAAAAAAAATGAGAACTGTTACAAGATAATTCTACAACGGACGATTCTATCATCTTGAAAGGCTCCCCGGCCGACGGCTCCTCGTGCACCATTCTGTAGACCTCCTATAAGCTTGTCTCCAATAATCTGCATAAATTATTACCAAACCGCATCTGTCGGGATTCGAAACCCAGACCTCCTGCTGTAAAAGTATTAAATCCCTTCAACCACTAGGCTAAGGGGCATTTAGGAGAGCATTTAAAAACTGCTACTGCTCCCAAACTGCTCCTTCCCTCCCTGCTCTGAAAGAGAGCATTTCCAAAGCATTGAGCTCAAAAATATTTAAAAAATCTTAAATAAATTATAATAAATTATAAATTTATTTATTTTGGTAAAAAAATGAAACTATATTTATATCAAATTTACAATTTTATAATTTCGTAAATTAACATTAACAATAATGTATTATTCATAAAATAAATATTTAATGACATAAAAATTAAATAAATATAATTTAAATATGAAATAGTTACTAAATATTTTTTAAAAAATAAAAAACAATCTTATGTTATTAATGAAAATATATATGATGTATTAAAATAAATATCAATATACATATTAAATAATTTCACAAAAAAAATAATAAAAAGGCTCACAGCTCTACCAATCATATAAATTAAGAACATGCAGTTTCAAGAGCTTAATGCTCTTCTAAATACTCACCCTGCTTATGCTCCTTAAGCCTAATGCTCTTCTAACTGCTTTGCCAATCAAGGCCCAAATCTTCCATGTAGATCTGTTCAATGAAACCAATCTACTAAACATTCCATGTAGATCTGTTCAATGAAGAAACTAAGAATAAGATAGGTGTTTCTTATAGTGGAAATAATTAGGTTCCCTTCAATCGATTATAACGTGAGGGATTATGGGCCAACTTATGGCTCAAGTAAAACTGTTAAAGCAATACGGGATTGTTAAGTTTAATAAAAATATTTAGTAATTTAATTAAATGATATGACATTGTGATAAGAGGATTTTATTAAGGGTAATTTAGATATTTTAATCTCAGAGTGAATGAGAGAGCTCCGTTTCCCAAAATTACTTCGCAAGCAAATAATAGTATAGATAATCAAAGCGTCATTATAGTTAGAAATATTTCTTCAATAGCTCTCTTCATAACATTACTATCATTGATATAGTTTTTCTCATATTCTAGAAATTTAGGGCATCTCAATGTATTGCCTCATATTTGACTCCAAAATGAAGAAATCTCAAAATGGAGTTGGATTTTGCTCCAATGTATTGCCTCATTTTTTACTTCAAAACTTTTTATTAATTACTAAATTTACATTATATATTTATATATATTACAAATTGCCCCATAATTTTTTTTCTTCAAAACTTTCACAATTTATTATAATTATTTAAATTAATTATGAAAATATTAATAATACATTATTACAAGACTAAAAATAACAACACAAACTGATTTTATTTTTAATTAGAACCATTTGAATATTTTTTCTCATAATTTTTCCTTTCTTTTTAAATTTATTATTAGCTTAAATAATTAAATTTCTATTAAATATGTGTTATTTGTATTTTAGGGTAAAAATAAACATCAAAATAATTAATTATATATAAACTGAAATAATTTAAAACTTCAAGGACTGTTATATAATTTAAAAACTTCAACTCCAAAATGGAAATGAAAATGGGATCAACCTCAATTTGGGAAAAAATATGGCATTTTGCCATTTTGAGATTGAAAATGAGGTTGGGTTGGAGCAAAATTGACTCCAAAATAGCAATAAAGGTGAAATATGGGGCTGGTTGGAGATGCTCTTATTGGTCATACATCCATTACTAAAAAGCTATATTTTACTTTTGGTATTGAATATAAGGTTTGTGTGTTTACAGCGTGAGCAGTTTCTATCTTGATTTTAGAAGAACTCATTGTTATATCTCTGTCTTGGATCTTGTATTTATCACAAGGTCTCTAGTTTTATGAAGTATAAGTATCTTGGAGTCTCGTAAAGATATTTTTTTTGAATGCATGTAAGACACATGTATCTTATGATAGCAGTTTCTTTGAATCTCGTTACTTCAATGTTTTGCGTTACGCCTATTAACCTTTGGTGATCATTTTAAGCACAAAAATTTTAATCCTTGAAATTCTATCTTCAATATTTTGCATTACGCTATTAACCTTTGGCAGTGCCGTGCTTAGGTTTATAGAGGCTTAGGGAAAAGTTTAAATTAGTGGCCTTTTTGCAATATATTCATGATTAAATTAAAGAATTCAACATTGTTATGACAAAAAAACATAAGGGTTCAAAGGATAAAGGTCTAAAGGATAAAGGTCTAAGAAGAAAAATTAAATATAAGGGCCCTTTTGCAATGAACAAAAATTAAAATAAGAGCCTTTTAAAAATATTTTAATGATTAAACTAAACAACAAATTAATATTGTCATAGAAAAATAGAAGAGTTAAGAGAAAGAGAAAAGAGTTCTATCATCATATGGTAGCAGTTTCTTTGAATGTCGTTACTTCAGTGTTTTGCATTACGCTATTAACCTTTGATAGTGTCGTGCTTAGGTTTAGGGAAAAATTTAAATTAGGGTCCTTTTGCAATATATTCATGATTAAATTAAATAATTAATCAACATTGTTATGACAAAAAAAACATAAGGGTTCAAAGGATAATAAATGTTTAAGAAGAAAAGTTAAATATAAGGGCCCTTTTGCAATGAAAAAATAAATAAAATAAGAGCCTTTTAAAAATATTTTAATGATTAAACTAAATAATAAATTAATATTGTCATAAAAATAGAAGATTTCAGAAAAAAAAAAAGATAGCTTATCAAAGACTCGAACTCTTGTTATACAAGTTGAAGTTGAGTACCTGCTTCCACTTTGCCAAACCACAATTTTAAAATTGGGAGCCTTTATAGATTTATATAATTAAGGGTTCCAATGCAAATACACTTTTTGAAACAAGGTAAACACGACTCTGACCTTTGGTGATCATTTTAAAAACAAAAATTTAAATCCTTGAAATTCTATCATCACATCACATGATCTTCATCATCAAGAAAAATCGTTTATTGTTGATTGTGTAGTTAAAACGGACAATTTGAATTCAATGTTAGTTATGTTGGTGTGTTGGATTATAACTCTGTCTGTATTAAGTTACATGGGCTTCCAACTCAAAACCAATTGGCTATTAGTGGAGAGGTCCACATCCCTTATATACCAATTGAGATCCCTTTCAAATATTCGATGTGGGATATTATTCCTAATATGCCCCCTCGAGACGATGGCTCTTTGGCCATCGATCTTGGTATGTTCGAGCTTGGATCGACAACACTAGTTTTGGGCCTCATCGATGATTGGACCAGCTATGGGTCGGATCGGGTTGGATTGTGTGGATCGGGGCTCTGATACCATGTTAAGTTACATGGGCTTCCAACTCAAAACCAATTGGCTATGAGTGGAGAGGTCCACATCCCTTACATACTATTTGAGATCCCTTCCAATTTCCGATGTGGGATATTTATCCCTAATATGCCCCCTCGAGACGATGGCTCTTTGGCCATCGATCTTGGTATGTTCGGGTTTGGATCGCCAGCACAAATTTTGGGCATGGTCGATAATTGGACCAACTATGGGTCGGATCGGGTTGGAATGTATGGATCGGGGCTCTGATACCATGTTAAGTTACATGGGCTTCCAACTCAAAACCAATTGGCAATTTGTGGAGAGGCCCACATCCCTTATATACCACTTGAGATCCCTTCCAATTTCCGATGTGGGATATTATTCCCTAATATAGTGAACACATTTATTGCTTTTAGGTTGGTTGGTTGTGTGATTGTTTGTTCTTTGGTAACACCAATTGTGATCCTTGCAATTTTTTTTATATCATCTGAATTAGGAACAAACAAGTTACAATACAAAAGCCGAAGGTAGACTGATAAATCCCCGGAAATAAAGCCCATACAAAGAGAAATAAAGCCCACACAAGGGAAGCATAAGCCTATACTAAGGGAAAACAGAGAAAAACAAAACTAAAATCTTCAAACTAAATAAAAAAAACTAAAATTCAAACGATAAGAGCAAAAGCCTCACTAATCTTTAAATGCAGCTGGAGCAATCGACTGGAGAACCGACCAACAAACGAACCACTGTAACTTACCTGAGCTCTCCAAGATGACAGAGCCAGAACCACATCGACAGACAAACCTAGCAACCTCGGACCAGCACCGGACCGAAACACAAACTGAGAAGAGCAAAGACACCTGGGCTAAACCCCTAATCAAACGCCCGTCTTCCGACAGGAAAGGAAGAGACAACTGCTTCAAAGACGCGAGAGAAGCTCCTTCCGTGCAAGGAAAGGTGACCAGAAACCAAATTCTTTACCACACGCCGCCACCGCGTCACTGCTATAACCGAAACTGAAACAAGGACCAGAGAAACAGAAGTTAGAACCAAATGAGATTTAGAAATATTCAACCACTCTGAAACGACCAAACAACAACTGATGGACTAAACAAGAGAAAGCAGCCTCCCAGTAGCAGGATCTATGCCAAAAGGAAGGCAAACAAATCGCGTATCTTGATCTAAAGATCTGGAAGGCCAAATGAAATGGAGCTCTTCAAAGAAGCTGGGAAACAGAGAGGAGAAAGAGGAAGGAACCTAGACGACAACAAACAAACTAGAAAACGAAAAAATCAGCTCTATGCTATCTAAGCCATCGGAGCCGACGGATGGCGGCCAGAACCCTAGATCTGTTTTTAGAGAGAAGGTGGAGAGAAAAGGAAGAGAGAGAGAGAGAGAGAGAGAGAGAGAGAGAGAAGGTTTTAGTCTTTTCTTGTGATCCTTGCTGTAAGACCAGGAATTTCTACTATAAGGCAACAATTCTTAATATAATAATACAAAACATAATAAAATATAAAGATATAATACCAATGAAAGGTAATGAAGAATGGGGTTGTGCGGAAGTGAGACACTCTTTCCTTAATTCTTTAATTGTCTGTAGTGTGATGGTGTTTGTGCAATCATAATCCCAAGATACACCCACACTCGACTATTCCGCAATACTCGGAATAGAAGTTAACGAACCAATATTCTGTGCTATACTCTCAGACACAAAAACAGAATAAAGGAAAAATAAAAGAGACTTGTGAGTGATTGTTTTTTCTATTAAGCTCAAGAGCCTTTATATAGAAAAATAATGAGATCAAGTGTCATAATTGCATGGTCATCGAAATGATGTCTTGAACCTCTCGGGCTTTGATGTAAATCAAGACAACAGTTATAACACATCTTCATTTTCTCACAGAACTAGGTTCTCTGTTGAGTTCATTTTGGCCATGAACTTGCTTGGATAATCATGAGTGAAGTTGGAGAATATAGCCTTGCATTTATTCTCCTAGAAACGGCCCCATTTCACACTCACAAGGTGATTCGCCATTAATTATGTTTAAAAGAGTATCATGTACTACTCCATATATATTTCAAAGTTATGGACCCAAATCATTAAAAGCTAATGCTTATCCTCATACCATACATGTAACACTGTTTATCATCTAGGAACTGGGAAGAGACATAATCTCACAGTGTTTTGGGCAGATTCAGTTTAACTTAGTTTTTCCCTTGAACCTATTTCTTGGGATCTCCAGTCATTTAGGTAGGGTTACCGTCAAACATCCTCTTAAGTCATAGGCTTTTAATCCATTCTTCTTGATGATTTTACAATTTAATCTCATGACACACCTTTAAGATTCTAGGTTATCATTCACTTGAATATAATCTATTAATATTATTTCATATGAGACCAATTGTTTTAAATGTTTAGAAGGTAGCATTTCGTTTCTGTTATGCACCCTCACATTTTCAAGCTTCTTTACAAATGTACTTTGCTTTTCTTTTCTTTTTTCCTTTCTCAAAGTTCATAAGACATTTTGTCAAATGACTATGTGGTAAGCAAAACTTTTCCCCCACATTTCTCATAACTTGATTTGCATTTTGAAAATAAGTATGAATTAATCAATATTTTATAGATATATTAATTTCATGCCTTAACCATTTATAACAAATTTAGAAAGATTTGATCAAAAAGAAACATCATTATTCCTAGGCCTGGGCATAATGGGTACTCGGGTCGGTTCCGGGTCGGTTCTCTCGGTTCCGGGTCTTTCGGTTATCTTTTGTTTTTATCCAAATAGGACCCGTACGTGTTTCGGGTCGGTTCCGGGTCGGTTCCCTTCGGTTCCGGGTCTAACGGGTCCTAAAACAAAATAACTGTAATTTATCCGCGAAACTGCGGGTACTATTCGGGTTTGGGTATTACACGGGTCTTTTTACCCATTTAGACCCGTTTAGACCCGTTTTATCCGTTTATAACCGAATTCTCTGAAAATACCCGAAACAGAATCACATGAATACATGTATTTAACAATCAAAATAAGGACAATGTATCAGTCAAATACCAAATGACATAGTTCCAAAGACCAGAATAACAAAGACATGTCTAAAGCATTCATGTCAATCGGACCAATAGAAATTATGAATCACACACTAAGTTAAAGACATAAAGAGATAAAACAAAATAACACATTACTTACCAAGGACTCAAGGTGCGCTGAAGGTAAATGCCGGTTCAAACTCTGAAAAGAAAAAAAAAATCAATGCATGAAGTTATAAGTATCAATGCATAAGTATCATGAATATAATTTACCTCTCATAAGATTATCTTGAACCTCAACATCCGCAAGCAGCTGTTCCTTTTTCACCAATTTGTCATTCAGTCTAAGTTCACACTTCATCCATTGCTCAAGACACATCAAAACTTCAATTGTGTAATGAGTCAAGCAGCTTCTACTTGGTTCTAAAACTCTTCCTGAGGTACTAAAGGCAGATTCTGAAGCAACTGAAGACACTTGCATTGCAAGTATATCTCTAGCTATCACGGAGAGAACCGGAAATCTTGAAATGTTCACCTTCCACCAAGAAAGCACATCGTAATCTGTCCCATCAAAAGTAGCTGGATTCTCAAGCTTCTCTTTCAAATATAAATCTAACTCATTCTGTTTCTCTTGAAAACCTCCAGTGTCAACAAGCTCCCTGTAAATGTCATTCATGCTTTCATAATGTAGACCACTTCCAAGAACCGTTTGAGAAGCTTCTTCTCTAGACCTAGCAGAACTAGTAGACACTTCGTTTGACTGCTGTGATAATGAACCTGATTCACCACCTAAATTCTTCTCTACTGCGCTACTATACTCTTCAAACAGACTCTTCAAAATATCTCTCACTTCCTCCTTCAGATCATCAGATTTGGTACCTTTACCATAGAGCTTGTCAAAACTGTTCTCAACAAACACCATTTTCTTGCTTGGGTCAAAAACGGCTGCTACAAATATCAACTTGTTCATCTCTACTCTATTATCAAGTGGATCCCAATACTTGCTTAGTTTCATATGCATTGAGAAAGCTTTCTCACGTAGAGCTTCATCAGAACCAGGACTACTATGTAGCTGAGAGATGTTTGTACTCATAGTCACTATTGCATGATATAACTTGTGAGAGGAGACAGTGTTTGAAGCCGAGAGAACCAAAGTCGCTTTATAGAAGATAATGAGAAATTTGACTAACCTGTCAACCGAATCAAAATCATCTTTCACTGGTGGCCCAACCCTCTTTTTTCCCTCCACGGTATCTTTGAAATACTTGATATAAGGAAAATCGACCTCATGCATCTTGTCAAATGCCGTTCTGAACTTTAAAGCTTGCTCTAACATCAAGTAAGTCGAGTTCCATCTTGTCTTCACATCTAGAGGCAAACTTCCTCTTAGAATCCTTCTTGACTCCACATGATTCTCAAATGCCTTGAGCCTAGGCGTGGAAGATCTGACAAAGTAGATGCCATTGCGGATGGCATTAACACTGTCAACTATCTCCATCAGACCTTCTTTCACTATCAAATTAATGATATGAGTAGAGCATCTTAAATGGAGAAAGTCACCGTTCATAATCAAAGCATCATCTCCTATCTGCTTGAAGTCCTTCTTGAATGTCTCCATGGCATTGCTATTAGCTGTGGCGTTATCAACAGTGATGCTGAATATCCGCTTGATGTCCCACTCCGCCAAACAATCAATTAGAACCTTACTTATAGTCGCAGCTTTATGGTCATAGACGTTTTTGAATCCAATGATAAGCTTCCTTAATTGCCACCAAGCATCGACGAAATGAGCTGTTATAACCATGTAACTAGCTCCTGTATGAGGTGCGACCCAAATGTCTGTAGTCAGAGACAGTCTCTGCTTATTCTCATCCAAAATCTTCTTCATCACAGCTTTCCTCTGAACAAACATTTCCACAATGTCTCTAGTAGCTGTTCTCCTTGAATGCGGATTTGGCAACTTTGCTTTAAAGCAGAAATGTTTCCATCCCAAGCCCTCAATGAACGACAGAGGCAGCTCTGCTATCACCATCATCTCATTAGAAGCTTCCCTGATCAGCTTCTCAATCAAAATACAAACAAGAAGCTAATTAGTTATTACGTTCGAGTGAAATAAGATAACAAAAAAACTCAAGTGAAAGCAGAAAACTATTTTACCTTCTCAGACATTTTACAAAGTCGACTATTAGAACCTTCAGGAGACAACATGGTTTGGTCTTTCTTTCCACTGTTAGCAGCCTTCCATACATTGTAAGCCTTACAAGAGACCATGTAGTGTTTCTTCAGGTTGGATGTGCCATTGCCTGATGGAGCTGAAAAGATCTTCTTGCAATAATTGCAAATTGCTTTTGTCTTGTTATTATCAGGTCTCGAGAAGTGATCCCATACTTCAGACCATGTACCCTGTTTCTTAGCGCTATCTTCTTCTGGTTTCTTTCTCTTCCCTTTGCCTTTGTTACTTGTACTTGTAGTCACTGGTGGTGTTGGTGACGTTTCAGTAACATCATCCTCAGTCTCTGATCCACTACCGTCATGTAAACGTGGTCCTTCATTTGAAGCCATCTGGAAAAACAAGCAAACAGAGAGATGAGATATGATTCAAGTTTCAGGAACAAGAAAACAACAACAAATCATCGAGATGAGAAGGATTGAGAAACTCATGTTTCAGGTAAATGAGAACAAGAGAAAAAGCATCAAGACCAAGGACAAGGACAAAGTTTCAGGAACAAAAAAACAAGCCAAAAGCATCGACACCTGAGAAGGAGTAAGGAAATTTATTTGATCAAGACAAAAAAGCACCAAGAAACTGCAGGAAAGTTAAAGAGAAACCAAAATGAAAAACAGAAAACATGAACGAAGAGATATACTTGATTCTGATAAGCAAACACATGAACGAAGAGATATACTTGCTTATAACTAAATAGACGAATCAAAGTGTATCAAGAAAATGCATCGAGTGATAAGCCAACACTTCCCTAGCTTATAACTAAAGGGACGAAACATAATGTGTTCAATTCACTATTGGAAGTGACCAAACCAAAAGCTTGACTGCTTGAGCATGAGTCTTATTGCCTTAAAGTAAAATCAACAACTAGATCAATTCTCGGACAAGACAAGTCTCATTTTTCCATAGAAAAGTCTCAAAATTCCATCTTTTTTAACAAACAGAAACAGAATTGAAGAGAAATTGGAGACATGCAACATATAATTCGATATATCCTTGACCAACCAATAATTGGAGACATGCAACATGAAACAGAATTGAAGAACAACAATATAACATCGAAACAGAACATCGAAACAGAAACAGCAGAAACAGAACATAAACATAATCGATTGTGTACCTTAGATCGATTCGCAGACGTCTCTGATGGAGGAGACGCTAAGAATCCGTTGGGTGAAGATTCCAGTTTGTGTAAATTGAATATTAATTTGAAGTGTAAAGTGAAAAAGGGATTTCTCGACTGTCGGAGGCTGGGGAATCGGAACGGACGATGAAGAAAAGCGAAATGGCCGAAGTCGAAGTCTCGAAGAAGTCTGTCGGAGCAAAACGATGTCGTATCGCTAAAGACACATCTCGGTTCTAAAAAAAATACCCACGGGTAAACGGTTAATATCCGACCCGACCCGAGAACCGTGGTTACAACAGATAAATAACCGGGCAGTTGATTTTAGCCAAACCAGTTATAACCAGAACCGATTTTTTCGGGTCGGGTCCGGGTCGGGTCCCGCGGGTCGGATTTTATGCCCAGGCCTAATTATTCCTATTGATTGAAAAAACTGAAACAAAAATAGGAGTTACAACTCAGTTTCGGATGACTGGCATTACACACATTTTGACAAGTCTATCTTTAACATACCCTTTCCCCAAGTAAACCCCATGTTTCTTGAGCACAAGCATGTCAGACTCGAAATTGGTAGCAAATCCGGCCTTGCTCATAAGCGTATCAGAAAACCAGATTCTTCTCATGTATGTCACATGCTTCACATTTTGGAGAGTTATCTCCTTTCCCAAGGTCATCTTCAGCACAGCTTATAGTAGAATTCTTGGTCCTATATTCTTAATTCTTTAATTGTTTGTAGTGTGATAATGTTTGTGCAATCAGAATCTCAAGGTACAATTGCACTCGACTACTCTGCAACACTAGGAATAGAAGCTAAAGAACCAATATTCTGTGTTATACTCTTAGACACAAAAACAGATAAAAAAAAAAATAAAAGAAACTTGTAAATGAATGTTACTATGTTGGATGAATGATTTTCTATTAAACTCAAAAGCCTTTATATAAAAAAATAATGAGATCAAATGTCATAATTGCATGGTCTTCGAAATGACCTAAACATATCACACCGTATTATGGAGAGTATCATAAAGCCACAAACCCACAATCAACATTAAGTCACACTATGACTTTTGACCACGTTACTATAGCACGAACATATTTTGCTTGACCAAAACTTGAAAGCAATAATATTTTAACATATTGATTTCTTTTTGGTGTGATATTAAATCTTAACACCAAAAATAAATTTTAATTTGGTCCACAATAATAAATTAATGGACTTGATATCCAGTTAACAATTATAAACCCAATTTAAATCCAAATATCTAATATGACCTATTTGGTAATGTTTTACATTTAGCTAAATATAAAGTTTTATAAGCTTTTTTAAACACCATTTAAAACCTGCATTTTTTATTCAAATCAACTTGGATTTTGACATATAAATACACTATTCTATAGTGTTCATGACGACGTTTCTTTCGTGCCTAACATATAGTTTTTGTACAAACATTGAACTAAGACCATTTTGTCATAAACGAATTCCAACACTTGCTTCTAGGTCATGGGATGAAACCATCTTGACTTTTGCGTCTTGATTCTTAAAAATAGTTAATGTCAGTGGCGGAGCCAGCCTTCCACGAGGTAGTCCTTGTAGTTTTTAAGAATTTTGTTTTTTTACCTATAATAATCTGATGAAATATTACAAAGTTAGCTTATTGACCCTTCTAACATATGTTTTCTTTTAATTTGACCCCGGTAATGTTTTTATCTAGCTCTGCCAATGGTTAGTATGGTAAATTTATATTAAAGGGTTGATTGGTTCACCCGCTGCTACCCGCAAACGCTGCGTTTGCGGGTAGTAGCGGTTATTGGCGTTTGACAACAATCACCACAAACGCTTTATACCGCTTCAAACCGCTCAAGATCCCTCAACATCCCTCAAAATCAAAAGCTCCTTCCCAGCAGCGTTTGCGGTTGCGGGCGATAATTAAAAAAAAAAAAAAACACAAACTTATATAAAATCCGAAAATAAATAATAATTTTATTAAAAAATAAGATTTGGATAATAAAATCACAATATAAATAAAAAATTAGTACTTTTAGTCAATATTCATTAAAATCATATCATACTTATATATTTATAAGTTCTACAAATCAAAATTCTCTTGATAAATATTCTTTTCATACTAATACATATATATCTAATAAATAAAATTGTAATATAAATTTAATTTTCACATTAAATATATATTTTGAAAATAAAATCACATTTTTTATTTAAATTATAGAAATTAAAAGATAGACGTAAGTATTATACACATATTATTCTTTATAAAATTTTTTTAATTATGTTGAACCATAAATTTAAAATTTTCATTATAATATAGTTTTGATATTTTTATAATTATATAATGTGTTTATATTATTAATTTATTGTTTAACCGCTATTGCATCCGCAAGTGAACCAGTCATAAGTAACCCGCAAACGCATCCATTTTCAATTGTTATGCCAGTCGTACAAACCGCTTAATAACGCTACTAATCACAACCGCCCGCTTCCGCAAACTCCCGCACCCGCAACCGCAACCGCAGCGGTTAAACCAGTCAGGTCCTAAATGTCTTTCAGTCTATGATTGGTACATTCATTGATAATCTTTTTAAACATGTGAAATAACATCTTTGCAATTATGGAATTCGGAATTATACATTGTTGTGCTAGGTTATAAATGATTCTACCGCTGACTTCAGGTTTTTTCAGTAACAATGATTGAATATCTCTCTTATGGTACTAGTGACTAATTTGTATGTTCCTTTTTTTTCTCGCATAGCAAAACAAACTTGGTATTTTGGTGTTTCTTTTGCTTCTGAAACTAGAGAAAGAGCAAAACCAAACTTTGTCTTTTGCGGTTTGTTTTGCTTTTGTTTAATTAATACTTTGTTTGTACGTTCGCTTGTTTTGTCTTGTACAAATCATTTTTTAATACCTGATTTTGAATTGTTTTGACGCTATTTCGAATTTAGTAGATTCAGTGCCGTGCGAAGACTTATAGGGAGCCTAGGCCAAAAGAATCATTTGTAGAAGGATGTTTAGTTTACCTGGTAAACAGGACATGTTCCCTCGTAGTTATGTGCGTGGACATAGATTGCAATGTCGACTTTGTACTTCTGCCATAGCTTCTGAAGACTACCTCTTCCCATTGGTTCACCGAAAGAGCCTTCTTCTGCATAGAACGATGTCGAGGAATAACCAAGCACGCGGTGAGCTAAGAATATAAGCCAAGGCTGTGTTTTTCTGTCGACAGATGCTAAGCAGTGCTCAATGAACTTGTATTGGTCTGTTCCTTCTCTCCAGTCATGTTCTGTGTCAGCCACTGATGTACTTGCATTTTACATAGTTTTAGCACATCTTTTATGCATCTTTTGCATAGTTTTAGCTTTCATTTGCATCATATCTTGTTCCTTTTCTCTTCTTATGCATTCATGTTAGTTTTAGGTTGCATTTGCATACATATGCATGTTTGGTCCTTTGAAATAGGTCTTTTGGAGCATTCTGGAGCATATGGGACATAAGGAGCATGGAGGGACTTGGCGCATGGAAGCAGCTCAACTGGATACGCAAAGGAAGAAGGGAGAAGCCATCTTGAAGACCAGCTCGACCGTCTACTCGACCGGCCAAGCTTCAACTCGATCGAGCTGGGGAAGTCAAAGTCAAACCCGAAAAATGTTGCTTCCCCCTTGACTTCCTTTGACCCTAAACCTAATCCTCTTTGTATTTAAAGGCTCTAGCCACGAAAAAACCACCAAGCTTTAGATTATTTTGTTTTAGTTTCTTTTAATTTATTGTCTTTTACTTTTTAGAGATCTAATCCCATCTTTGTGTTCTTGAAGCTCTTGCTTCTTGAATCTTAGATCCTGGATAATCTCTTTGTATTTGCACTTGCTTATTTCAATAAAAGTTGTTTATTTCATCTCCTCTTTCTTATGATGTCTCTTTTATTGCATTTGCTTGTGTTTACATTCATGTGTAGTGAGTAGTTACCCATTGGGGTTTGAGATGGGATAGATTAGAGGTTTCATATGCTTAATCCTTCTAGCTTATGGTCTTAATCTAGATTCTCTCTCTTTTGGATAGATCTTAAGGCTACATGACCACTACCCCTGGCTTGTAAGTCCTTAGGCGACTCCCCACACGAAAGTGATGGCATTCGCTGGAAAAGATCCACTAAGAGCTCCAATATCTCTTGCTCTAGACAATAGAGGTCTAAGGGGTTGGATGGATTAGTTTGGGCAATGATCCTATAGCCTCCAAGGTTTGATTCTCACTGGCTAACCCCCTGTTTCTGAGATCATTCCTTGGTTGATAGCCTCCACCTTGGGAAAGGGTTGGCTAGGCATTGAGAAGCCCAATATCAAGAGAAGCCTTGATACAAGGAGTTTTAAGAGCTAGATTGATTAAGTGTAGATTCCTTTGATTGCAAAACCCTGTCTTGAACCCTAATTCTCTCTTTATCTTGTTAAAGTCGTCACCTTTAGCTTTGTTTGTCTCAACTCGTCCCTAAACTCGATCGAGCTGGTACTTTGCTCTGACTCGACTCGAGCTCTTGGTCGAGCTGACACTTCACTGCTTTGTTTACTTTTATTGCACTGCTTTTCATTTTATTTAGGTTGTTAGTGTTACTTCAAATCTTTAACTGCTTGCTTGACTTCCTGGTTGTTTCATATTCTCATAGAGTGACAAGTTTCCCATTTTGGATTGATAACCCTTTGTACTACATCAACTATCATGGTTAAAGGGAATTGTTGACTGTGTTTGTGTTTGCATCTTACCACCTCATCATATACCACTGATTGCATTCCACTCATCTCATTTCATATCTTTTCACATCCACACACAAATCCTATCATCAGCCACACAGAACCTAAACATTCCATAGTCACTCAAGTACCAGAACTTAGCTCTGTTTTGAGCAGGAACATAGAACATTGTCTCTGCTGGTACACCACACTCTCCTCCAGAGTCTAGACCTTGATAGAAAGATCCCGAGTTAGGCCAGTCACGCTCATGGTTTCCACTGCACAGAGTCAGTTTCCGGGGGGATTGGTAAACAAGAAAAGCCAACAAGTTTGTGTCAGAAAAGAACAAAAAAAAGGCAGACCTTGCAATCATGTATGGAACAGTGGAAGCAATTGGCTCAATCTGAGCTGTGAATTGGTCCCACTGTGAAAGGTATCCATTTCCATAACAGATATCTCCAATGTGGAAAACTAAGCCTGTCTTCTTCAGATCTCTAGAGAAAGAGCAAAACCAAACTTTGTCTTTTGCGGTTTGTTTTGCTTTTGTTTAATTAATATTTTGTTTGTACGTTCGCTTGTTTTGTCTTGTACAAATCATTTTTTAATACCTGATTTTGAATTGTTTTGACGCTACATCGAATTTAGTAGATTCAGTGCCGTGCGAAGACTTATAGGGAGCCTAGGCCAAATATATATATATAAAGTTCATGTAATTCTATTATGGTGCTGCCACATCAGCAAAAAAAAACTCTTTCTAAATTCTTCAGTTCGCCACGTCATCCATTTATTTAATTTATTATATTTTCTCTTTTTAATATTTTAATTTCATAATAATTAGCATTCATTACTATAATAAATTTAACAAGAATATGAAAAGTCATTTTTAAAAAAGGAGAAAGATTATATATATACAAAAACTATATTTAGTAAATTTATTTTTGTTAGATTATATAATTTACGTTGATGTCAAGATATTATATAAAGAACACTGATTTTTTAACTATTTTGAGATGAAATGAGACAAGACCAGACAAGATGAGACATAAAAAACGTAACGAGAGAATAAATAATTTTTGTCCATTTCTTATTATATTAAATGACGAGATGAGATGTAAAGGAACGGAAAGGAATGAGATAGCACATAATTTTGCCTACTTCAAATTATATTTAGAGACGGAATAGAAAAAAACGAAAGAAACATGATGAGACAGGACTAAGACGGAAAGAAACATAATGAAACGGCGTAAGAGTGAACGGGACGATACAAACAAATTAGACATGACGAGATGAAAAAACGGAATGAGACGGGATTGGACAGGACAGGATGAAAGGGACATAATGGGACGAGAAGGGACGGGACATAAATTTCACCTACCCCTAATTATATTTAGGGACATGATACAGACACGACAAAACGAAAAAAAAAAAACATAACAGGATAGGATGGGACACGATAGGGCGGACATGACGGAACAGGACGGAGAAAGAACGGGAACAGATGAGAAGGAATGAAATGGGATGGGATGGGACATTACGGGAATTTGCATATCCTTAGTTATATTTAGGGAACGAGACGAGAAGAAACGGAAGGAACATGATGAAACTTAACAAATGGAAAGGAACATAATGTGATAGGACGGAACGGGACAGGCAGAACGGATGGGACGGGAAAGAATGAACATGATGAAAATGAACGAAATGGGATACGATGGGACAAGACGGTATGTTAATTTTGCCTAACCCTAATTATTTTTAATTAATATGTGTAATATTTTTGAAACAATAATAAACTACATAAATAAATTAATTTGCGGAAAAACAATCAAATTAACACAATAATATAAATTCTCGCGTGAAGCGCGGGTCACCTCCTAGTTTAAAGTATAAATTTTCATATATTTATAAAATTAATTGTAACAATATATTTTAAAAAATAATCGGTTACTTTGGTAAAGTAGGAGGATTCAAACTTGGGATGTGATCCAAGAAGTGTCTACAAAACTTCCTTTAACCACTAGACTACCAAGTGCCATTATTCACGGCTTTAAACAAAAATTCGAGAGAAAAGTTTCTCTCCCAGGCACGAAGTTCGAGAGAAGTTTTTAACCAACTAAGAGTCACTTTCGACCCCCTTTTACCCAACGGAAATTGCCTAAAGTAGAGCGGTTTTCCAAAACGTCAACGACCTTGGTTTAGAGAGCCCGGGTTCCACCCCCGACTTGGAGTCGGAGGATCCTCGACATCACCGGTAAGCAGCCTCCTCCCCTCAAAACCCTGGCTCAACCACCATACGCCTCCATCAATCTTCGAAACCCACAAACACGCATTCCGCAAAAACTTCATTCCAACCGACTGACTTTTCCCTCAAGCAAGTCCACCGCAAAAATGACTACGAGAATACCCTACGCTGACAAAGGAAAAGGGATAGCGTACCAGGCCGACTCCAGCCAACGGAAGCGTATCAGAGCTCCGGAACTGGACACCTTAGACCTGGTAAGAGAGAACAGGCTCACGCTCATAGGACGCCTAACTAACCCTACAGAGCAGAGAATGAGAGCTATGTTTGCTTTCTTCACGGACCGGTGGGAACTCAAACGAGGCTTTGAAGGATCTGACTTGGGCCACGACAGTTTCCAACTCCGCTTCAATCTGGAAGAAGACCTACAGAAGGTCCTCAAGAAGAGACCATACCAGTTCGGCAGATGGATGGTCATTATACAAAGATGGGAACCGGTCATCTCCCCACTCTTTCCGTCGCAGATCCCGTTCTGGATCCGACTTAAGGGACTCCCACTCCACTACTGGAAAGAAGAGCTTCTACGCAAAATAGGCAGGGAAGTGGGAAGCCTCATCAACCAAGAAGTCACAAAGGCTGAAGCAAAAATTCACGTCTTTATAAACGCGCTCAAGCCTCTGGTGAAGGAGACGGTCATCGAGTTCGCATCTGGCGAGGAAGCGCTGGTGATGCTGGAATACGAAAGACTAGGCTTCCACTGCTCAATATGCAATAAACTGTCGCACGTCTCAAGGGACTGCAAAACCATCGAGAATACAACAAAAAAGACGAAAAACCACGACCATGAGGGACCGGATAGAGAACCGGAAAGGAGAGACGAAGAAACAAGGCCGAATAGGGAACATACCCGAGACTTTAGCCACAGAAGGGACAGACATGGCCACTCTTTCGGAGAAAGAGGCAGATACAGCAACCCTACGAGAGAGGAAGGCAGAGAAAAATCCGTGGAATCAAGAACCCGCCAAAATGAGCGAACAAGCGGAGGAACTCGGGAGAGAGAGCAACACCATATAAACCGGGAACCTGTGAGTTCCAACGGGTATGGAAGAAGAGACATGCGTGAGTTCCTGAATCAAAGAGAATCAAGAGGGAGAAGGCGTAACACAGAGGAACTCCAATGGAGGGAAAAAACACAAACGGGAGAGTCAAGACACGGATCGCTACAAACAAGAGAGGCGCAACCCACTTACCGCACTCCTCCGAGACAAGAAGCATCCCACCAAATCCCAGGAATCCCCACCACTGAAGAAGTAATGGAAGAGCTGAGAGAAGTCACCGTCCAGTACGTAAACTGTCCCGACCCTGGGGAAAGCGCTGCGAGACAACAGAGAGTAAATCAGTCAGAGGAGCAAGGGCTCTTGGCTACCACAGCTGAAAATATCATAGCGGCGGCGACAGATACATACTACAAAACCCTAAGTTTTGGTCAAGAGGAACAGAACCTAGTGCAAGAAGATAGTGAGGAAACTGAAGACCAAGTTCACAGAGCACAACCTATCCCAAAGAAGAGAAGGGGCAGACCCCCAAAGAATAAGAGAAACAGCCCTATGGTGGGAACAAGTTTAAGAATGAGAATGTTTACACAGAACCAGAACTCACCTCATCCCAGAAACAAGCAGACGCGAGTGTCAAACTCCAACGTGGCAGGACCATCCAGGCGAAACACATCGGGACAACGAGATGAAACGCAGGATCCAAGCAGACAACAACCAGTGGGCACGATCATACCGGCTACTACAAGAGCGACGGGGGATTTTCGGTGTCCACCAAGTCAAATTCCTTAAAAATAGCGAGCTGGAATTGTTGTGGGTTGGGGAACCCTACGACAATCCAGCGACTTAGGGGAATACAGTCAAGTATTCGACCCGATATTCTATTCCTCATGGAAACCAAAAACCCGGATGACGTTGTTCTACAAAAACTGCAAGAAATGGAGTATGAAGAACACGTGTTAGTATCGCCCCATAGCCCAGGAGGTGGAGGGCTAGCTCTACTTTGGAAACAACATTTAGAAGTGGAAATTCTGTTTACCTGCCAAAACCTCATCGACACGCGGATAAAAGCAGAAGGAAGATCGTTCTATGTCAGTTTTGTCTACGGAGAACCGGAACAATTGAAGAGACAAGAGGTCTGGGAAATTATAATGGAAAGAACGCAGAACAGAACAGAACCCTAGCTGTTGACCGGAGACTTCAATGAAATAATCGAATCATCGGAGAAGAAAGGAGGCCCAGTGAGACGGGAAAGCTCTTTCACAAACTTCCGAACCTTCATGTCCGAGTGCGACTTATACGACCTTCGCTTCTCGGGGAACTCTCTATCCTGGAGAGGAATAAGAAACAAGCATCTTGTCATATGTAGATTAGACAGAGCTATGTCTAATAGCGCATGGGCTGAAGAATACCCTTCACGAAGAAGTGAATACCTGAGTTTCGAGGGGTCGGACCACAGACCGATAATAACGAACTTTGACACCACCAGAAAGAAGAGGAAAGGGATCTTTCGCTATGACCGAAGACTCAAAGAGAACGTGGAGGTGAAACAACTGATAACCGAAGCCTGGAATACAAAGGAGCTAAACACTGTAGAAGGCAAGATAAGTAGATGCAGACGAGAAATAATCCTCTGGAATAAAAAAAGGCATCTCAATAGCCAAGAGCAAATTGAGAAATACCGTCAAAAGTTGGAGGATGCAATGACGGAGGAGCTAAACAATGCCGTACTCATCGAAGAAGTAAACGCCCTCCTGAAAAAAGCATACGATGAAGAAGAAGCTTTTTGGAAACAAAGAAGCAAGCAACTATGGCTAGCGCTAAGGGAAAGCAACACAAGCTATTTTCATGCAGTCACGAAAGGGAGAAAATCAATCAACAAATTCTCCGTCATAGAAAATGAAGCAAATCAGGCAGTGTACAGAGAGAGCGAAATAACGAAAGTAATCACTGACTATTACCAACAGCTATTCACATCACAGGACGGCGAAAGAGAAGCAATAGTGACACAAGCGCTGAAGCCATGTATCTCGGACAAGACTAACAAGGAGTTAATAAAGATACCTTCCCCGACGGAGATAAAGCAAGCACTATTCTCCATCCACCCAGACAAAGCGCCAGGTCCCGATGGTTTCTCGGCATGCTTCTTTCAGTCAAACTGGAACACAGTGAGAGTTAAGCTTATCTCAGAGATTCAACAATTCTTCGCTACAGGCAATCTGCCAAAAAACATCAGTGCAACACATGTCAGGCTCATACCGAAGATCACAAGTCCAAAGAAAGTCTCCGACTACCGACCAATAGCGTTATGTAACGTATATTTCAAAGTGATATCAAAAATCCTCACCCTAAGGCTACAACCAATCCTCCACGACATGGTCTCGGAAAATCAATCAGCCTTCGTGCCACAGCGAGCAATCTCGGACAACGTCCTCATCACGCACGAGACACTGCATTACCTGAAGACGTCAAAAGCAAAGAAGGAAGTTTATATGGCGGTAAAATCGGACATGACAAAAGCGTATGACAGGATCGAGTGGGAGTTTGTCAGATTGGTCCTAAAACGGCTCGGTTTCCACTCTAAGTGGATATAATGGATTATGGAATGCCTAACTACGGTCTCATACACATACCTGATAAATGGATCCGCTCAAGGAATGGTGAAGCCAACAAGAGGATTGCGCCAAGGAGACCCGCTTTCGCCTTATATCTTCATACTCTGTAGCGAGGTCCTCTCAGGCCTGTGCCACAGATCACAAGAGGAGGGGAGGCTGCTGGGGATAAGAGTATCGCAGAGAAGCCCTAGAGTGAACCATCTGCTCTCTGCAGATGATACGATGATCTTCTGTCAGGCGAACCAAAAAAGCGGTAACGAGCTATTGACGATCCTCAAGAAGTACGAGAGTGCATCGGGACAACAGATAAATCGACAAAATTCAGCCATCACGTTCTCGGCAAAAACGAATAATACAGTGAAGCAGCAGGTAAAAAATGCCCTGGGAATACAACAAGAAGGAGGAAATGGGAAGTATCTAGGCCTTCCAGAGCATTTTGGCAGAAAGAAGAAAGACCTCTTCAGTCGCATAGTGGATAGAATCAAACAGAAGGCGCGGAGCTGGTCAACAAAGCGCCTCTCTTCAGCTGGAAAGCTTACCATGCTCAAATCCGTCCTAGCCGCGATGCCAACTTACACTATGACCTGTTTCAAACTACCTGTATCGTTGACAAAGCGGATACAGTCAGCTTTGACCAGGTTTTGGTGGGATGGGAACGATGAACAAAGGAAAACTAGCTGGATAGCGTGGACAAAATTGGTTAAATCAAGAAAAGAGGGAGGGCTAGGCTTCAAAGACTTACAATGTTTCAACAATGCGCTTTTGGCAAAGGTGAGCTGGCGGATCCTCACAAAACCGGATTGTCTTCTCGCACGAATCCTACTGAGCAAATATAGCCACGACACCACATTCCTGGAAAGTAGAACCCCGGCAATGGCATCCCATGGTTGGAGAGGGATCTGTCTGGGTAGAGACCTGCTCAAACCACATGTGGGAAAGGCAATTGGAGATGGGAGAGAAACCAGGATATGGAATGATGCCTGGCTCTCACTGGAAGAGCAACAGAGACCAATAGGACCACCTCCTGAAGCGTCAACAGATATGTTAGTGGCGGATCTAATGACATCAAACACAAAGAGGTGGGACATAGAGAAGATACGAAATATCGTCCCGAGAGCAGAAGCAGACATCAGGGAATTAAAGACAAGCAAAAGGGGAGCAGCAAGAGATTCTTACATCTGGCTGCCAACGGAGACAGGAGAGTACACAGCAAAGTCCGGCTACTATGAATGTCTGAAACAAAACCCGGAAGAGAAAATCAACGAGCAGGAAGCCCAAGGAGAAAGATTCAACTGGCTAAAATCCATTTGGAACATAAGAAGCTCACCAAAAACGAAGATGTTCATGTGGAAAGCAATGAACGGAGCACTGCCGGTGGGTGAAACTCTCAAAGCGAGAAACATCAACACTACGGTCCGGTGCCCATATTGTGGAGAGGAGGAAACAACAATGCACCTGTTTTTCCACTGCAGCTTTGTAGAACAAGTATGGAGGTTAGTGCCCTGCAAAGACCAAATTGATCCAATGAGCGTACAAGACATACAAGCAGGGATCGAATTGGCACCACATATCATTTGCTTACCACCTACGGGTATTGGTGAGGGCCCTCTCCTTCCTTGGCTAGTGTGGAGGATCTGGATCGTGAGAAATCTGCTTATCTTCAAAAGAAAGAGCCAATCGGCAGAGGAGATTGTGACCCAAGCAGTGAGCTATGCGAGAGAATGGCAAGCGGCACAACAAAGGAAGAGCAAGCAAGAAACGAAGACACCCAACCAATTCCGCTCCATCAGACAGATCCCAAGAGGAAACTGGACGACATTCAAATCGGATGTGGCATGGAAAGAGGAGAATAAGGTAGCGGGACTGGGATGGATCATCTACAATGGAATCAACACCAACAGAGAGGAGATTTTGCTCCAGGGATCGAGCACACAACGATTTGTCAAATCGCCGTTATCAGCTGAGGGGTTGGCTCTACTCACGGCGCTTCACAAGGCAAAGGACCTTGGAATCAAAAACCTCATCGTCGCCTCAGATTCGCAGCAGCTAATCAAGGCTATCAACAAGGAGATCTCCACAAAAGAACTCCACGGGATTCTTCACGACATCCTGGATTTGGCTTTAGTTTTTGAGAAAGTACTTTTCGTTTATGTTCCACGAGAGGAGAATCGTCAAGCAGATGTTTTGGCAAAACAAGCTTTGATCGATTTTGTAATCTGAACCGGTTAACTATTTGGAATGAGAAAACCAAGTATTTGCATCCAAAAAAAAAAAAAACCACTAGACTATTTGTGGATATTGAGGGCCTCAAAAATATATATTATAAATGGGAAGCCTAAGACTAATGCCTTTTTCATAACACACTAAGCACGGCTCTCAGTCGATTACACATTAACTACTTGATCATTCAAGAACACGAAGAATTACAATCCTTTTATAATTTTTTGGATGTTCGTAATATAAATAAGATAATATATATTTTTATTGTATATCTTGTGAGTGGAACTATTTATTGTAGTTTGTATTAGATAATCTAAAATGTTCAACTTGTGAGTGGAACTATTATTTATTTTATACTATTTGTTGTATAAAATGTTCATCTTTATCATCATTTGATAATCTAATTGCATATTGATGTATTTCTATAAAAAAATAGAAAATGGTTAATAACATTTAAATGTGGTAAAAGTTATTCTTTGAGTGATGTCTGATTTATATCCGATTTTTCGAAAATTGTTAGACCAAACACCCGATTAACATTAACATTAACATTAACATTAACATTAACATCGACCAATTTTTTGAACACAGTGTATAGCTAAAGGGGATTATCTCAAATGGTTAATTCCATGTGATCTAACATATTTTATAAACGACAAATGTTTTCCAAATTTCGAGAAGCTTAACCCGATACATCTAAATTCAGGAAAGACAAATGTTTTCCAAATTTCCAGAAGCTTAACCCGATACATCTAAATTCCGGAAGAATTCTTGGTTTGCACTTTGTAGTTGTAGTAACATATTCCCAGTACATCTAAACCATGAGCTACTAAACCAAACAGAGAGCGAGAAGAACAAGAACCGAAAACACAAACCCAAAACCAGCTCCGATTCTCTTCGACCCGGAAAACCAAACTCTAACGTCATCGATCACAGGTCCGCACAAGGAGCTCATATCATCCATCCTCGTGTTGTAATAAACACTGTAGAACGCAACTCTGGTTCGGTCAGCCTTGGCCGTAAAATTCAGACCGGCCTTTTCGAAACTGGAGTTCGCTTGCGCCATGTAATGAAAGTTCTGTGCCTGATCGCCTGCGAATGCCATTATAGCCAACGGCTCCTTGCATTTATCACCAGCGTGGCCAAGCGAGAAAGACAATGTGTACGGACGATTCGCTTTAGTCTCCACCATTTGTGAAATAATTCCTTCTTTGCCGGAGAGAAGCTCGACCGCTCGTTTTCCCCCAGGAACCGAAAAGTGGTCAGAGTCCACAAACCGGACCGCCCGGTTAGATTCAACAGTCCAACCCGGAAGAGACGAGGTTTCTTCGTCGAGATTCGTCGGAAGCAGGACACCAAGTGACGTGTTCCTAAACATCCATGGACCGTCTTCGAAATCTCCATTTATCACCGCGTTATCTAAAAATGTAAAATATTAAGGTGAAATTGGAAAATTTTAGAACTTTGATGTACAAAAACAAAAAATAGAAAAAATAGAGGGCTTGTTCGGGGAAAGAAAGAGCAACCTTTGGGTCTATCAGGAGTGAAGAGCTTCTTGATAGCGATGTCGTCAATAATGGGCCCACAAGTGGGGTCATCCTCCATGCCAGGGTTCTTGAAAACCAACCGAATATGATCCTCTTCCGCTTCAAACGCCCACGCGTATGGGTCCCACCCCTGAACGCTGTACAGCGTCTGCAAATCCACGTTTCTCGACGCGACTGTGTCTTCCGCGTCTTTGTTCACGAACGCCACCGACACGTTTATCGATTCGAGCTGGGCGCACGTGCGAGCAGCGCTGAACGTGACGGAGTAGACAAACCCTTTCTCCACCGTCAGATCTTGGCTGATCTCTGCGTCGTTGCCTAATCGGACGGCGTGTCGGCCTTGTGGGACGATGAGGATCATTCCGCCTTGTTTCTGACCGGAATTTACTAGCTCCACCGTGCCGTTGGATTTCCAGCTTGGAATTTCGCTGGGACCGTCAACCACTCCGTCGTCAGGGAAGCCATTCGACGGTGACGTCTCGAAATCGCCGTTTATCACCAGACCTGCAAGAACAAAACAAAAGGTTCCAGCAAATTTAATGTGAAATTGCAATATCTACAATGGATTTTTTGGATAGATAAAATCCAAGGAAATGCCAAATTGTCACGTCCAAGTTGGTCATTAAATAAGCTAGCTGTGTGAAAAGGAATATCTTTGATCTTTCTCAAATTACTTAATAATGGTGTGAACGTGAAAAAACAAAAAACTAGAAGGACACACATAAAAGCTCGAAACGTCTTATATATGGGCCCGATCATACGGCCCTTGCCTTCTCGCTAAATGCTACGACTTAGTGGGACCACATATGTCTGACTTGGGCCCACTTTTTTCAAGAATCTTTTTGACTATTATTACCAGCATTTCTAAGTCTACACTCTACAGTTACAAATTTACAGCTTACAAAAAGTTTCTCCTAATAGACAAAGAGAATTGTATTTTCGGTGGAAAAATGGGAAACGTGAAATCGTGTTGAAAAACTCAGAACAAGTGTTAGGTTAGATGTCGTTAGCGGGAGTCTTTGTCGTTTAACACTACAATCCAAAAAGTCTACCTTTTTATTTGGCGGGAAGCCACCCTTCTCAATTTTTGTTTATTTTTGGTGTTATTTATGAAATTTACCACACAGATAAAAAAATCAAAGACTTGTAAATCAACTACCTAAACAACCTTTTCGATAATTATATCTCAAAAAAAGTTAAAAGCAACATTCACATATAATACACGCACAAGAAAGAGTATCCAAGAAAGAGTTTATTTGTGCGTGTGAATTTAAATAAATTATTGTTCTTTAAATTAAAAATGGATTTGCGAATTAGTTGAAGCTCAAGGGCTTCCTTATTAATTTTGCCACCGCCGAAAGCATGAAGGCATTACTTTACTCTTTTGTTAGTTACAAAGAGACCCATCAACTTTTATTTTCTTTTACACTTTGGATTAAATTATAATTGTCAGATTTCCCCTACCTCCTAATATAAATCTATAGTAGTATTACTGGCTTGATTCGAATTTAAAACTGATGGTACACTAGATAATAAATGGAACTATTTACTGCCTATACTAGACATCTTAAGCTCAATTTGACTTTAAATCTTTACTTAAGGCTCCAGCGATAGTAAAGTAAAATTGGGACAAAACCCTAAAACCTAATTAGATTATAACTTCTTGTTCATTAGCTCCATACATGGTTTTGCCCGTAAATCAATACTCTGAAAGTAATCTCTATTTTACCTCAAATCCTCTGTTTCTTAGAAAAGACAGATGGATGGGAATCAAGAAATCAAAGATTAATAACTCAAGATTTTAATTTAGTAAGTCATTCTTTAACAACCCATTAACGATGTAAAACAGAAAATCATTCCATAAATACTAAAGAAAAAGACCAAGAAACTTGATTAAGTTAAAGAAAAGCGTACCATCCTCAACCGGTGGAGCCTTGTCGTCGGCGGAGACCGCGATTGAGGCGGCGACGGAGAGACTAATCAGAAACAAGTAAATCGAACTCCATTGGCATCTTCTCGGAGCCATTCTCTCCCCCTTCTTCTCCTTGTTCTTCCTCACTACCCAATGTTTTCTCTCTCTCTCTCTCTCTCTCTCTCTCTCTGTAAGTGTGAAATGTGGAAGTGTTTTCTGTATGTTCTTTTCGGGCAGCGAGCAAAGACAGGGAAGGGTAGTGTCCTTTTATCCAAGATTCCGCACTCGTTGTCTTTGTTTCAATTATTTTTTATTTCACATTTAATTTTCCTATATTAAAAGCTGTTTACAGATATTTATTAGACAAACTCCATGCACGCATAACAAAAAAAAAGTAAAAGAAAAGAGTAAGAAATGTTGTTTTTTTTTTTCTGTAACTCGTTACTAGTAAGTTAACATATTTAATTGTTATAAATAGAAGAGACACGATGGGATAAGTCTAGCCCTGGGCACGGAGCGGATATCCGGAAAAAACCTGGTATCCGTGATCCGCTCCGCCCCGACCAAATATTTGATTTTTCGATTCGATCCGATCCGAAAATTTTCGGATATCCGTTGATCCGGATATCCAAAACTTTTTTAAATATCCGCGGATTATCCGCTCCGATCCATTTATCCGGATATCCGTAACTTTTTTGATATATCCGCTCCGATCCGTTGAATATATAATACTAAAAACTAAAAACATACAATAATGCATATAATACAAAAGTAAATAGGCATACATCCAAAATATTGTTGCGGTTTCATGATATGCCTTCAAAAATAAGTTCCTAAGACAAATTACCTGATTAGGGTGCCACTAAGTACAACATAAAGCAAAAGACATCTTCTCCGAGTAGAACTTTTCCAAGTTAGATTCTACGTTTTCCCAAAAGGTTTCACCAAAATCCACATATACATTCCCATCAGGCCATCACTAATCACTATATACATTCTCATCGTTGGCATTAAAAACCTGCAGCAAACATAACATATTCAAATCAAGAACAAAACAAAAGTCAACATAAGCACAAGCTTCAAACGTAGCGTAAGTTTTTAACCAAACCTAAATAAGTTATCAATCATCAACAACCATAGGACCAAAAGTATTTTCTGCCTCCATCTCTAAAAAAAAGAAAATTAGAAGTAAATATTAGAATCAGATCACAGAAAATTGCAAAAACTGATTGAAAACTAAATATCAAAAAGTAAATCATACCAGATTCGAATTCTAGTATATCCGCCATTGTTTCTTCTACCACAAGAGGTTGATTGTCACGCCGTATCCAATCTTGAGTGCAAATGAGAGCTTCGACCATTGTTGGAGTGAGTGAGCTTCGGAAAGAATCAAGCACACGACCTCCCGCACTAAAAGCAGATTCCGATGCAACTGTCGATACGGGAACAACAAGTATATCTTTCGCCATCAGAGAGATTATCTTATACTTTGATCCTGTAGTCTTCCACCAATACAAGATATCAAAACTCTGATCCTCATCGTTTTCACAATCATCCAACAAATACCTTTCCAGCTCTGTTTCAGGTTGTGCATATCCTTTACTCTCCTTGTGTTTCTTGTACATAGAACTCATCCAAGAACCAATCTTTCCAATTTTTTGAACATCATCTTCTCCAACATTGTCGTTTCTTTCACTAGAAGACACCGTACTTTCCGGAACCATAGTCTTGTAGTAGTCAAACATCTTATCTAAAGCAGCACGAACCTTTGACAGTAAATCAGAAGCATCTTGTGCCGAGTATATTTCATCAATCAACCATTTAACCCACTGCATCTTGTACCTTGGATCAAGTACAGTAGCAACAAAGATAAGCATGTTCATGTTATCAAAATTTCCCCAATACTTGTCGTACTTTTCTCTCATCCGGACTGACATCTCTCTTATGGATCTAGACTCATCCATACCCATCTTCATTATAAGTAAAGATAAGCCAAAGATCTCTTTCATATAAACATTTGATGTGATGTAAAGAGACCCAGATATCTTCACGGTTGTCTCATAAAATGACTCCAAGAATGGAACAAGACCTTCAGCATAAGACCAGTCAGTATCACTCGGCAAATCATCAGCCATCTCAACTCTATAGGCTCTGTCTTTTACTTCCAGCAAATCAAAAGCTTTCCTTACCTTAAGAGCAGAATCTAACATTAAATAGGTTGAGTTCCATCTGGTTTCCACATCCAAGCAAACACCACAGTTCGTAGGAAGTTTCAATTGTTCAAGACACTCTTTAAATTTCACCAACCTATTTGGAGAAGATCTTATATAACGAACAGCCAAACGAATCCGAGTTATCGCAGCCTCTACATCCTTTAAGCCGTCTTTAACAATCAAACCTAAGATATGAGCACCACACCGCATATGAAGAAACTCGCCATTTAACATACAGCCTCCTCTTGATTGTAGACTTTTTCGCATGTAACGCACTCCTAAATCATTTGAACTTGCGTTGTCTACCGTGATTGTAAAAACTTTGTCAATTCCCCAAAACAGCAAACACTTCTCCATCGTTCTTCCCATCATCTCACCTGAATGACTTGAGACTTGGCAAAAGTTTATTATCTTCTTGTGTAGATTCCATTCAGAATCTATGAAATGAGCCGTCAAGCACATATAAGTCAGATTTTGACAAGAAGTCCATGTGTCTGTGGTGAGACTAACGCTTCCAGAAAACTTTTTAAACCATGTCCTTAGCTGTTCTCTTTCTCCCTCAAACATAGCTAAGCAACCCCTCGTCACAGTCCTACGTGACGGCATTTGAAAACGTGGCTGCAGCACCATACAAAACTCTATAAAACCTTCTCGTTCCAAATATCAGTGGCTACACCTTCGATCTCATGGATGTTGTGACAGCATATTTATATTGATCTCTTGAAAATGAGATATATATGAAAATCCCAGAAGGATTAAAAATGCCTGAGAATTTGAAATCAAAGGCTAAAGAGATCTGTTCGGTCAGATTACAGCGATCACTTTATGGACTAAAACACTTTTATAATCCTGAAATCGGAGGTGTAGCCACTGATATTTGGCTTTGGGCAAATCTATATATTTTTGATGGTCAAATCTTTCTTTCAAAGATTGCAAAAGATCCGCAAGATCTTCTTTAGTGATGTATTCATCTTTTAAACCATCGTGGATATGATGAAGGAAAAAGATCATGGCCTTTGTTTTTCGTTCATCGGATGTTTCTTTCGACTTGTCAATGGAACCAAGAAGCCCTTTTCCTTTTAAGTGCAATTTTGCACCTACTTCTCATGTCATATAATTGTTTCCAGAAATATCAAGGGCGAAAATTTCGAGTTTTGCCAAATTTGACATGATATCTGCATAGATCATATACCAGTTCATTAATTATAATTTAATTAATTTCAAATTTGCATGATTAAAAAATTGAGCATTATAACAACATGAATTTAGTAAAAATTAAGGTGCTGAATTTAAATCGCAAGAAAATAAATAGCAGGAAATTAAATGGCAATAAAGTAAATAGCGAAAAAAGTAAATTACAGAAAAGTAACTATTCATGAGGAGGTAAAGTCTCAACTCCAAGAGGAGATTTTTACCATCAACTCTTATATGATATAAGGTGACATAGTCTACCATATGATCATTTGCTCGGAGTAGGTACAACCTAGCATCCCGGCATATCATATAAACAATAAAATTGAATAGACAGAATATAAGAGCATTTCGTGCTGATAATGTGATATAAATAAATTGAAGCTGTATCACTATATATGATATAGTGGATTGATATTACCAGTGTTTTTAAAACCGGACTGACCCGGTGGTCGGACCGGGTTCAACCATGAACCGGAAGTATCTCCGTGTTGGGTTACTAATAAAACCCATAGATAGTTAGACCGGTTAAAACCCGGGTTCGACCAACAAAAAGTCAAAAACCGATGACCCATTAAACCATATTAAACCCGATTTTCTAATTAAACAATAAAATTTTCTACTTTATTTGATAATTTTAACTTTTTCAGAATGTTTGGTTAAAATATATTATTCAAATATTATGAATTTTTATGAATTATTTGATATCAAAATTTATATATATTTATAAACTGTTTAAATATCATAGATATATTCATATATAACATCTATAAAATTATATGTATTATTTTAAAAAATCATTGAACCTGGTCGAACCGGGTTGAACCATATTAACCCATGATCCAAAATATTTCCGGTTTGGTCACCGGTCCGGTTTTAAAAACATTGGATATTACTGTTAATAAGGAAAGGAAAAACTGAAGTATAAAGGAGAGAGAGATATACGTGAGGAATAGGGAGAGAAGTGTAGTGAGGGTTTCTGCGTGAGGGAGATAGGAGAGAGAGAAGGAGTGGTTTCGTATGAGAGAAGAAGGAGTAGTGAAATGTTTTGAGGCATCATCTTGTCTGTCCCTCAATCTCTAAAGCTAATCACATTTATCCCAAGTTAATCTTCAATATCCTTAAACTTGTAATACCGAAAATAACCTTTCTCTCTTTTATTTTAAATATTAAAAATATAAAAATTAAATTAATAATAAAAAAACGTAATTTTAAAACAGAACGCAAAAATAAAGCGATTGGCGTTTGGCTTTCTTCTTCCCAGATCTGGTTCTCTGAAATCTCTCTCAAATTTTCTCTTCGATCTTCTCTCTTCATTCGTTTTCACTATGAACTCGAATCAACTTCGTTTCTTCCATCATCAAGTTCTTCATCACTGACATTACAAACGAAAGTAAATTAGAAAGAATTGAACCCAAAATCATCTGATTTAGATTTTCTCGAAATAATCTGATTTTGGATTTTCGCGATAGGATTACTAGTATAACTAGTATTACTGATAAATGAGATATAACTAGTAAAACTAGTATTACTGAATGAAATTGCATCTTTAAATCATTGTTTTGCAATACATATTGTGTATTTTTACCATAATTTCCTAAATCGATTAGGACTTTGAATAGATAATAAATGGAGTATAATGGTTGATACTAGTATTAGTGATCTGATTTTTATATTTTTACATATGATCAAATACAAAAATTGCATATATATAGCTTATTGCTGAAAACATCACACATTAGTAAATAAACATATTATTGCTTGTAAACTTAACAAAAAAAATGATATAAACATGTATTTAGTAGCCAATTACAAAAATATAGCAAAATGATTTCTTATAAAATATTTTACACAACATTACCTTATACTTTTAAGGTCACTTTGTTAAGAATAACATTTTTAGAATGAAAAAGTTACATAAATCAATTTTTACATATTAAAAACGGATAAACAATAGTAATCATATGTTAATTAACTAAAATCAAATGTAAAACTAGAAAATCAAAATTTAAAATCGGGTAATACTAATTATAATCGAAAACGTCGAAAGTACAACTATTTGCAAATTTGGTATAACTACTATATTGGGTATAACTATGTGCAAATTTGGCGGCGTCCATGTGAGTAAAGACGGCGCACGTGCGAGTGAAAAGCGGCACATGTGATTCTCGTGTGCTTTCCACTAGGCCTGGGCATAATGGGTACTCGGGTCGGTTCCGGGTCGGTTCTCTCGGTTCCGGGTCTTTCGGTTATCTTTTGTTTTTATCCAAATAGGACCCGTACGTGTTTCGGGTCGGTTCCGGGTCGGTTCCCTTCGGTTCCGGGTCTAACGGGTCCTAAAACAAAATAACTGTAATTTATCCGCGAAACTGCGGGTACTATTCGGGTTTGGGTATTACACGGGTCTTTTTACCCATTTAGACCCGTTTAGACCCGTTTTATCCGTTTATAACCGAATTCTCTGAAAATACCCGAAACAGAATCACATGAATACATGTATTTAACAATCAAAATAAGGACAATGTATCAGTCAAATACCAAATGACATAGTTCCAAAGACCAGAATAACAAAGACATGTCTAAAGCATTCATGTCAATCGGACCAATAGAAATTATGAATCACACACTAAGTTAAAGACATAAAGAGATAAAACAAAATAACACATTACTTACCAAGGACTCAAGGTGCGCTGAAGGTAAATGCCGGTTCAAACTCTGAAAAGAAAAAAAAAATCAATGCATGAAGTTATAAGTATCAATGCATAAGTATCATGAATATAATTTACCTCTCATAAGATTATCTTGAACCTCAACATCCGCAAGCAGCTGTTCCTTTTTCACCAATTTGTCATTCAGTCTAAGTTCACACTTCATCCATTGCTCAAGACACATCAAAACTTCAATTGTGTAATGAGTCAAGCAGCTTCTACTTGGTTCTAAAACTCTTCCTGAGGTACTAAAGGCAGATTCTGAAGCAACTGAAGACACTTGCATTGCAAGTATATCTCTAGCTATCACGGAGAGAACCGGAAATCTTGAAATGTTCACCTTCCACCAAGAAAGCACATCGTAATCTGTCCCATCAAAAGTAGCTGGATTCTCAAGCTTCTCTTTCAAATATAAATCTAACTCATTCTGTTTCTCTTGAAAACCTCCAGTGTCAACAAGCTCCCTGTAAATGTCATTCATGCTTTCATAATGTAGACCACTTCCAAGAACCGTTTGAGAAGCTTCTTCTCTAGACCTAGCAGAACTAGTAGACACTTCGTTTGACTGCTGTGATAATGAACCTGATTCACCACCTAAATTCTTCTCTACTGCGCTACTATACTCTTCAAACAGACTCTTCAAAATATCTCTCACTTCCTCCTTCAGATCATCAGATTTGGTACCTTTACCATAGAGCTTGTCAAAACTGTTCTCAACAAACACCATTTTCTTGCTTGGGTCAAAAACGGCTGCTACAAATATCAACTTGTTCATCTCTACTCTATTATCAAGTGGATCCCAATACTTGCTTAGTTTCATATGCATTGAGAAAGCTTTCTCACGTAGAGCTTCATCAGAACCAGGACTACTATGTAGCTGAGAGATGTTTGTACTCATAGTCACTATTGCATGATATAACTTGTGAGAGGAGACAGTGTTTGAAGCCGAGAGAACCAAAGTCGCTTTATAGAAGATAATGAGAAATTTGACTAACCTGTCAACCGAATCAAAATCATCTTTCACTGGTGGCCCAACCCTCTTTTTTCCCTCCACGGTATCTTTGAAATACTTGATATAAGGAAAATCGACCTCATGCATCTTGTCAAATGCCGTTCTGAACTTTAAAGCTTGCTCTAACATCAAGTAAGTCGAGTTCCATCTTGTCTTCACATCTAGAGGCAAACTTCCTCTTAGAATCCTTCTTGACTCCACATGATTCTCAAATGCCTTGAGCCTAGGCGTGGAAGATCTGACAAAGTAGATGCCATTGCGGATGGCATTAACACTGTCAACTATCTCCATCAGACCTTCTTTCACTATCAAATTAATGATATGAGTAGAGCATCTTAAATGGAGAAAGTCACCGTTCATAATCAAAGCATCATCTCCTATCTGCTTGAAGTCCTTCTTGAATGTCTCCATGGCATTGCTATTAGCTGTGGCGTTATCAACAGTGATGCTGAATATCCGCTTGATGTCCCACTCCGCCAAACAATCAATTAGAACCTTACTTATAGTCGCAGCTTTATGGTCATAGACGTTTTTGAATCCAATGATAAGCTTCCTTAATTGCCACCAAGCATCGACGAAATGAGCTGTTATAACCATGTAACTAGCTCCTGTATGAGGTGCGACCCAAATGTCTGTAGTCAGAGACAGTCTCTGCTTATTCTCATCCAAAATCTTCTTCATCACAGCTTTCCTCTGAACAAACATTTCCACAATGTCTCTAGTAGCTGTTCTCCTTGAATGCGGATTTGGCAACTTTGCTTTAAAGCAGAAATGTTTCCATCCCAAGCCCTCAATGAACGACAGAGGCAGCTCTGCTATCACCATCATCTCATTAGAAGCTTCCCTGATCAGCTTCTCAATCAAAATACAAACAAGAAGCTAATTAGTTATTACGTTCGAGTGAAATAAGATAACAAAAAAACTCAAGTGAAAGCAGAAAACTATTTTACCTTCTCAGACATTTTACAAAGTCGACTATTAGAACCTTCAGGAGACAACATGGTTTGGTCTTTCTTTCCACTGTTAGCAGCCTTCCATACATTGTAAGCCTTACAAGAGACCATGTAGTGTTTCTTCAGGTTGGATGTGCCATTGCCTGATGGAGCTGAAAAGATCTTCTTGCAATAATTGCAAATTGCTTTTGTCTTGTTATTATCAGGTCTCGAGAAGTGATCCCATACTTCAGACCATGTACCCTGTTTCTTAGCGCTATCTTCTTCTGGTTTCTTTCTCTTCCCTTTGCCTTTGTTACTTGTACTTGTAGTCACTGGTGGTGTTGGTGACGTTTCAGTAACATCATCCTCAGTCTCTGATCCACTACCGTCATGTAAACGTGGTCCTTCATTTGAAGCCATCTGGAAAAACAAGCAAACAGAGAGATGAGATATGATTCAAGTTTCAGGAACAAGAAAACAACAACAAATCATCGAGATGAGAAGGATTGAGAAACTCATGTTTCAGGTAAATGAGAACAAGAGAAAAAGCATCAAGACCAAGGACAAGGACAAAGTTTCAGGAACAAAAAAACAAGCCAAAAGCATCGACACCTGAGAAGGAGTAAGGAAATTTATTTGATCAAGACAAAAAAGCACCAAGAAACTGCAGGAAAGTTAAAGAGAAACCAAAATGAAAAACAGAAAACATGAACGAAGAGATATACTTGATTCTGATAAGCAAACACATGAACGAAGAGATATACTTGCTTATAACTAAATAGACGAATCAAAGTGTATCAAGAAAATGCATCGAGTGATAAGCCAACACTTCCCTAGCTTATAACTAAAGGGACGAAACATAATGTGTTCAATTCACTATTGGAAGTGACCAAACCAAAAGCTTGACTGCTTGAGCATGAGTCTTATTGCCTTAAAGTAAAATCAACAACTAGATCAATTCTCGGACAAGACAAGTCTCATTTTTCCATAGAAAAGTCTCAAAATTCCATCTTTTTTAACAAACAGAAACAGAATTGAAGAGAAATTGGAGACATGCAACATATAATTCGATATATCCTTGACCAACCAATAATTGGAGACATGCAACATGAAACAGAATTGAAGAACAACAATATAACATCGAAACAGAACATCGAAACAGAAACAGCAGAAACAGAACATAAACATAATCGATTGTGTACCTTAGATCGATTCGCAGACGTCTCTGATGGAGGAGACGCTAAGAATCCGTTGGGTGAAGATTCCAGTTTGTGTAAATTGAATATTAATTTGAAGTGTAAAGTGAAAAAGGGATTTCTCGACTGTCGGAGGCTGGGGAATCGGAACGGACGATGAAGAAAAGCGAAATGGCCGAAGTCGAAGTCTCGAAGAAGTCTGTCGGAGCAAAACGATGTCGTATCGCTAAAGACACATCTCGGTTCTAAAAAAAATACCCACGGGTAAACGGTTAATATCCGACCCGACCCGAGAACCGTGGTTACAACAGATAAATAACCGGGCAGTTGATTTTAGCCAAACCAGTTATAACCAGAACCGATTTTTTCGGGTCGGGTCCGGGTCGGGTCCCGCGGGTCGGATTTTATGCCCAGGCCTACTTTCCACCAATATTGACGAATATATTAATTCAAAAATATCCAATTTATTTTTATTATTATTATTTTTTTTTTTTTGCAAAATGAAAAAAAAATCTTCTCCGTTCACCTTTCTCTCTTCTCATAGTTTGTGCATTAGATTCGAGAAACTTCCTATCTATTTCAAATTTCTTGTCATTTTAAAGTTTTGTGAATCAAATCCTATTGATTTCGGATATCTAGGGTTCTTGCGGAAGGTTTTCTGGGTTTGACATTTACTTTTACTTGGTAATATGAATATAGTTTTACGTAGTTATACCACGATGAGTTTTACCGAGTTATACCAGTATTACCATTAGTTTTACCTAGTTATACCAATATTACCCAGAAACGGAAAAAAATCAAGCAAAAAATGTAGAATCAACAAAAAGACGAAATCAAGATCAGAAAGAGCGATAATTATGCCCAGAAACTCCCGATTTGGTGAAGGGAAGATAAAGATAAATTAAAATTTCGTTTTCAAATTCTTTTTCTTAGAATCTCGTTTGATAGAACAGAGAGAACGTGAAAATTTCAGAAACACAATTTTGGTTTAGATCTTGGATATCCGATTTCAGATGGATCTTACCCATTGGGTCTGGATATCAGCTGGTCGGATCTGTAATATTAAAGAAAATTATGAGGATAACTTTGTATTTTACTTGTTTTTCGAATTAAAAATAAATGCTCAGAAAATACAAGAAAATAGAGGGAGAAATGAGATTGTTTTAGAGATATAGGGAGATAAGAGATGATGTCTCAAATGTTTTTCACTTGTATTAATTATGTTCTATTACAATACGAAGATGGCTATATATAAGCAGTAAATAATATAAAAATATTACAGTCGGTAGAACTCGAATGTTCTCAGGTGGTGAAAGGATAATTAATATTCTTTAACATTTGATTAATTTTGAAAGAATTGGTCAATTTCAAATTAAAATACTATTTTAGTATTAGCAGAAACAAAAATGGGTTTTTTGCATATGATTAAAAGTAGCAGATTGGGCCGTTAAAAATTCAAGTAAATTGTTTGGGCTCAGGCCTTTGTTTGAACACTGGGACTTGACGTCTCTACGACACAGCGTTTTGTTCTTCTTCGGTGGATCTGCTAGTTTTTCAATACACCACCGGAGTGAAGAAGACGGAGACGAAGACGAAGACGACGGACGAATATGAGTTCATCGATGGCTCATCGAGATTTGCAGAGAGACCTAGAGAACAAGGCCAACGAGCTTGGAAAATATCAGAAAGGCATGTCTCCGAGATTCTTTGAGGCGGGAAACCCTAGTTAATCTGTGCGGAAGATTCGAGAGAATAGAGATCCTTTTCTAAATTAAGTTCGTAATGTCCATTTTTTTCAGATATCGCCAAGAATCATCAGCTGAGAAAGAAGTATACCATCCAACTCGGTGAGAATGAGCTCGTGCTTAAGGTATAATACATGTCTCACTGTTTTCTCTGTGTTTTGTGTGGCCTATTTGCTGAAATTTTCGACTGAGGTTACAGAGATTCTGTAACAATGGTGGAAATTGCTGATTCTGATTTCGTCTACACTGCTTCGCTTTTTTTTTCTTTTTTCTCTCTATCACTTTTTCCATTGAAGTATTTGTGTGTTGTCTTGTTTCTACAGGAGTTGGATTTACTAGAAGAAGACGCTAACGTCTACAAGTTGATTGGTCCAGTGCTAGTGAAGCAGGATTTAGCAGAAGCAAACGCAAATGTCCGCAAAAGAATTGAATACATCGCTGCTGAATTGTAAGTTCATGTGTTTTACCTTAATTGAACCAAATGCAGCCAAGTTTCTTCTTTCCTCATTCAGAAACCTCTCTGAATCTTGGTAAAGAACATTTTGGATCGATGGATTGTTATCTCAGTTTAAAAATAATCAAATTTTCATTCTAGCCTGCTGTTGAATGCTGCTGACTAATTATCTCATTAGGTTAGAGATGATGATGTTGATAGCTAAAATGGGTATTAATTTTGTTTCCTTGTTTTCTTTGCACGAGTACATGCTGATAGAATATGGAAATGCAATGTAGTAATGTCTATATAGCAACTGTGAGGATGGTGATCAAGTGTTTGAGCTAAAGCCTCATGTCCTCAAGAAACTAAGTATGTTCTTTCGCAGGAAACGGCTTGATGCAACCCTTCAAGATATGGAAGATAAACAAAACAGCAAGAGAGAAGCGGTAAGACGCCTTTCTCATTCATTATAAACTTATTTGAATGCATTTAAGCATCAATTCTAACGCTATTACACCAATAATCGTCATAACATTTATGCTCACTTTACTAAGCATTGAAATTTAATCCTTCTCTGTAAGAAAATACTCGAAAGTGAGAATCTGTTGTTTTGAAAGAATAGGGGACCTATGAACACAACTGAAACTTTGTTTTTTAGCTTATACTGGTGGTGATGGTTTCGAATTATGGTATCAAACTTTTGCAGATAATGAAGGTACAACAAAAGATACAAGCTATCCAAGCAGGAAAAGCAAAGGCTTGATCAAGCTTAGTCAGTTGCAACCACATTTGTTCAAGTCTTCTCTTGTGACGGCCCTGTCTCTTTGATGCAATATTCAGTTTTTTTAAGGGTTCTTGTGGTTTCGGTTTTGTGGTAATTGATGATGACCTTGTGTCGACTTTTTTTGTGTTGACAACTGCCCTCAAGTGTGTGACTTATACAGATATTATCGCCCTTTCTCTAGTTACGAATTTGGAGATCTATACAGATATATCTTGTTGTGAGATGCATACATGTTCCAGATTGATTTTTGTTCCTATGAAAATTGAGCCAGAACGAGTGAACGACCAAACCATCTCAAATAATTTGATCACTGGTGAAAGAAATACACTTTTGCAGTTTGAGGATAATGTATGAAAATATTAAAACATAATTCGTCTCCATGTTGTCTGGTTACAATTTAAGCTCAAAGAGAAGATAGGGCAAGAAACCTACAATTCCAAAACTTTTTTTGAGTTAAATTATGATTTGGATGCGGAAACTTATCTTACATTGAAAAGCCAAATTCTTTTATCCTCTTTCTCAACGGACTATCCTCATCTTCAGTTGGTCTTGTTACTATACATCACTTTTCTTTAAACCTTGTCTTCAATTTGTGTATCTCTGTGCGTGTGTGTGTGTATTTTCTGGAACAGTCTTCCCAAGTAACCTTTCAGGTGTTTCTTATTGCCAATGGATGAGCTTCAGTGTTGAAAACATACTTATCCAATGGTATCACCGAGTCATCTCCAAAGAGCAAGTATAAGTATTTCAATGTTTCACCAAGGAAAAACGTCTCCATCTTATCTCTCCTATGAGGAGGCACTTCAGTTACATCATCTAATGATGTGTATCCACCTGATTTCACCTTCGTGTACTTTTCAAATGCTTCAAATATCTGCCAACCTTGATCTCTGTATCTGCAGTTTTTAGAAATGTGATAGCTTTTAAGAAGGAGTCAGATAGATAAATTTTTTTTATATGAATAGCTTTCATACTTTGTATCTTTTGTGATACGATAGAGGACAAAGAGTGATTCCACAGTTTCAGGGCGAAGTAGATTATGTCGATCAGCGTGCTTTATGATTATGTCTTTTGCATACATTGAACTCTTGTTCCCTCCTTCAAGACCATCCTCAGAGTAATCCTGTTTTTAACAGAATCCAAGAAGAGTAAGGATAAAGCATAAAAGCGACATGGTTGTTGTTTGACGTAAAAAACCATACCTCTGTGTGAAAGTAAGCAATTTCTGGAGCAAGGCCAGTCGCAGTTACATCATACATCTCAAAGCATGTTTTTGCTAATTCTTCTGCAAGTTTCAAATTTTCAAGGTCCTCAAAGGATAAGAGATTCTCCTTCAGGGCTTTTTCCTTTGTGAGTCCCTTGGTAGCACCAAGCGCAAGAGTACCAGGCAAGAAGCACACCTAGACCAAAAAAAAGAAAAAAAAAAGAAGTTGAAATGGATGAGATGGGGTTGATTAATATTTTCAGTACCAAGTAGGGAGTGACGCTTACCAGATGATCCATTTTTGGACTGAATTCTCCTTTAGAGCCATAAGGTAACTCCCCTACGAAAACCAGACCTTTTGGAATTGATTTACGCACAAGCAAATGCCTAACTCCTTTCATTGCCTCCAGGTACATGTCATGCAAATACGTGAAATTACTGTCCAACTTGGCTCCTTGCTGAAGCCACACCTTAATTAAATACTCATAGTAGCTATCCCCACGAGACCCCAACCTGATATTCTCACTACCAAATTCACCTGTTTCAGGGCTGCACCGTGTAGAAACAAAACAACGTGTCAGATCAAAAGAGTCCGTAGTATCAATACTTGAAAGAGCAACAAACTAATTACCTTATGTAGATTGGAACAAGACCTTCTGTCTTTGGAAGAGTTTTTATATGAGCTAAGACCTTCATGGCCTCTGTACTATACTTTGGATCCCCAGAAAGTTCACTGAGGTAGTTAAATTCAAGCTGTACGGAGGCAACCTCGGCTGTACTGCTCATTCCACCTGGAGCTGGATGAGCGGTTGAGTCACGCAGAATGACATCACTATAGGGGACTGGCGTAGGGCTGGAATTAAAAGCTGAGAGTAGACGGTCACCCAAATCCTTAGCAACGTTTAGATAGATAGCTGGTTTGGGTCCATTATGGGTCACGTTCATCGTACCCTGCTCTCCTCCACTCAGATGGTACGCACTTAGAAGCCCACCCATAACACGTATTGTGGTTTCAAACAGATTAACTTGACCTTTGTGACTGATCCTCTCCAAGAGATGAGCCTCAATCCATGATCCTGCTTCAGAAACGATATTATCAAGACCCATTATCATGGCTGTATCAAGAGCATCCACCACAGTGGCACCAAGGCCTCCTAGGCCATCCACGCCTTTCTGGCTAATAGGCATAAGCTCGTCATAACCCATGGCGAACTTTCTATAGCCAGACCATGCATAGTCAAAAGCATCCTTCACACTTTGCTGTCTTGCTGCCCATTTTGGGTCAGAATTTGAGCCATTGCTGCCTTTTAGTAGCCCTTCGTCAGGTGATAATCGAGGTGGAATCCTAGGCGGCTTTCTCAAAAGTCTCCCTAGCCTAAGGCCCCCAACAAAAGTGACCTTTCCTTTTTCATTAGGAGCAGAATCACTTGAACCCCTACTCATCAGCAACAGACATGCTAATCCAAAGAACAATACTAATACTAGGAACTTCCCCGTGCTACAACTTGCGTAGTTGCGTTTAGTGCCAAGAGTGAGCAAGCTTTGAGAAAGAAGCTGAAACCCAAAACAGTAGAGACAATGCAAGCAAAAATGTCAAAAGAAGAGCAACAAAGAGATAATCTGGATCACATTTCATAAACACATCATTACTAGATTCATAACACTTTATCGTTTATTACTCACTTATAACATTGTTTGAGGAGTCTTACACCAACAAGCCTAACACTTTGAGTGAAGATATTCTAAAACTAGAGAATGTATATACTAGAAACACAAACGAGACATGACTGGATTTTGATAAAAATGAGATTGTATTGGTCAAAAAGGTGAAGCTTTTTTACTTATAGACATGTCAAGAGAAAATAAACGACACTAGAAAGATTGATGATTTATTTGAAGGCGATTCTCTATCTTAACCTGAAAGCATACAGCTTATATCTACAAACTGAAGCTTTTCCGGCAATTTCCGAAATCTAGCTCTGTGTAATTCAGAATCCATGGTTCCAAATTGCTTTGGAAAGAAACATAATTTCGTATTTCCCAGGTCAATTTGGACACAAAGCAAATCATGGGAAGCAAAACTTCAAGCCAGAAGCAGTAACAAGTGACATCAAATCCATCTAAACATGTAATATCAAATGCAAAAAGGAGTAAACTTTGACATAACCCATATCACACAGATCAAAGATCTAAACGATGATCGAAGAGGAAGCTCCAACCTGCAAAGGAGACCGATGTCTGAACTTGGCATTGTCGTAATGAACATCTTTCACTGAGTACGGTAGAGATTTCGACATGCTCAGATCCCCTGTAAATAATTGAAGGTCAGCTAGGGATTTGGGTTATTTATGCCGTCGATCTAAAACGCCGAGCTAATGACCGGAGAACAAAGATGCGAATTTCCTCTGGATCAGAATGATAAACTTTTTCACAGGCCACAGCAGACAAGGCACAAGTCTCTGTGAAATCAATCTTAAGCCAACTTGTTAAGAAGCATTGACCCCAACAACACAAGCTTCCTTCCAATTTCTTTCCTCTTGTTGTTTTCTTTTTCGTCAAACATTATTTTTACTCCTTCCCTTTCTAATCAGATTTTTTTTTCGTCTAGAATTATACTCCCTCCGTTTTTTAAAGATAAATTTTCTAGTTTTTTCACACAGATTAAGAAAAAGTTGATTTTCAATCATTAGTGCATAGATTTCTACAATAAAACAACTTTTTATAATTTTAAACCAATAAAAATCCAACAAATATAATCATTGTATCTTGAAAACTGAAAAAGTGCATCAAAAAGGTAAAAATTTTATCTTTATGAAACAACACATAATGGCTAGAAAATTCATTAAAAAAAACGGAGGGAGTATATATTAAAGAAACTAGAGGCTATCCCGCGCTACGCGCGGGGACATATGTCATATATTTGTTTTTCTTAAGAACTTCGTCAATGATTCAATTTATGGTCATCATGACCAGTTTGGACAATACAAAAGGGAACATAGGAATAACATTCAAATGACAATTTTCCTGGTAGAGTTTCCTTACTAATTCATCCGCAAATTTATTGCAATGTTGTCGTAAAAGTTGTTCTTCCAGTATTGTTCAGAACTGAAAATAACTTTGTACACCTCGTTTTGTTTCACTAAAAAAAAAAAAGGATTTGCATAAACATTAAAAATATGGATTTCAGTTTGATAATGGTTTTCTAATATTGTCAGTGATCTAATAGTGTTGTTGTACAGCATATTCATCATAGTCCATCCTCGTTGAGTTTTGATATATAACGTCCATAGGATCCTCATCTTGAAGCCTCCATTATCTCCGATTCATTTAACCTGAAAGGTACAGGACAAGTGGTTAATATAAATGGTGGTGAAGTAAAGATGCAGTTTGGACATGACAATAAAAGAAGTAAATCCAGATTGATAGATGATGACCTTGTCAGGAAGTTTTAACCTTGAAGCCATGTGTGTTTCCTTCTAGAGCTGAATCGATAGACAATCTGGATTTAGCAAACATAAATTATCGAGCTTCTTGTTAGATTATGAAAAAACAAAATATACAAACCCGCTACGTAATCATGGACATATGGTGTGTCCTCCGCTTTAAGCTATGTGTTGATGGAGCTGTGAAAAAAAGAGCAAAAAGGTTCAAGAAGATATATGATTACTTTCCGATCTTTGGATTGAAATCTAAGCTTGGGAAGAAGCATGAACCATCATGCGGTTGTCAGCATCCATATCTGCCACTCCATCACCTTCATTGTAGATGTGTTCCTGGGAAAAAGGGGAGAAAAATGTTGATTCAGCGAAGAAGGTTTACTGTTGTAAAAATTTTGCAGCACCTATTTCGATTGCCCTTCCATCTGGGACCTGATCTCAGCTTTAAAACACAGTTATTAGTTCTTAGGCCTGCAATGGAAAAAATCATCACTATATTGATTATTGGATGACAAATCAAAGAGTGAAAGAACGGAAAAATATGGATTTCAATTTGATAATGGTATTCTCTTTAGAACTGGAAATAGCAAAGCGAACTGAATCCGAACCCAGACAATACGAACTCTTATGAAAGAGAAGTAATCCCTAATGAATAGAACATGATCATGGTCTAGAGTAAATTCCAACAAAAAGACACCGAAAATGGCATATAATTGGTAGACAAATAACAGAAATGTGTAGAAAAGCAGATATATGGTTGTGTGGTTGCAATCTCCAAATATATTTTGATGCTTACATCATCGGCATTGCCACTCTATCCCGTTTGTTGTCGTGATCTTCACCATGTTCCTTCGAAGCAAGTACTTGCTATGAGGGATTAAGGAAAAAACCTCTTGTGAGAAGGCGTTTTAACATTGTAACCTTGAAACGGTTCTGGACCTCTGGTAGATGCTAAAATATTGTAACAAAATCAGAGTCAAAGAGAAAGATATTTATATTGTCCTCTATTCGCATAATCCCATTTGAAGTTTTTAGGAACACGCTATAAACACTCACCCGATGATTCTCCTTTGTTCACCTCTCCTCTTGATATGGGACTACCAGTCGACTACTCCATCACCGCACTGAACCCATATATTGATTTTTTCCTTTATATATATATGTGAAAAACATGATTAAACATACTCATCGATTTCAGAATCGCATAACTTAAAGAGGAACTATACAAAACCAAAGACAAAAACAAAACATGTATACCAATGGGGATTTCGAAGCAATTGATAAAACTGAAGATGAGACTGGAATAACAAAGAATTTGTAAGCAAAGAAAGCTTAAACTAATAGGACTTGCAAATCGCTTACCGGGTAAACTCTCCCTCTGGATTCTGTAGATTCAAATCGTTTATGTCAGACTCTTCTAGCTCTTCAATTTTGGTTGATTTATAAGAACCGCTTTTATAATTCATTCCTTGAATTGTGTTCCTCTGTTGAAGGCTGTGGCGGTTAAGACGATGATTGAGAGGATTAACAAAGGAGAGATACGACGGAGGTGGGGGCGCTTAAAGCTTTACAGGAAATTGGTTTGGGAAGTGGAGAAGGAATCTGATTCGGCGGTGAGAATCAGCGGGAAGGAGAGAAGCGGAGAGCACCGGCGGTGAGAATTTCAAGGCTGATTCGTAGAGAGCGTTGGCAATGAACCGCTTTTATAATTCATATAAACTATTGCCATCTTCGATTCTTTTATTTAGTAACGTTCATGTCAATGGAAGGTTAAAGGTTTTGAACGCGAGTGAAGGAAGAAGATCAGAGGGCGTACCAAAAATCAATTGGAAAATAATTTCAGAATCTGAGTATGCCACGTGGCATTCTGTGGCTGAGAGCTGTGAGGTGCTGTGAGAGGCCCAATTAGCTGCTATCATTTAGTAAAGATACGGTGTAACACACCAACCACATCATACACCAACTGATCACCAAAAACCCCACTTTCAGCCTAACGAATAATGGCCTCTCAACACCTTCAGAAAACCCAAAGATTTGAGGAAGAAAGAGCAACTAAGACTAACAAGCTAATACACCTACACAAAACACATCTCACAAGGGTACAACTTTCTCACAATCGAAAATAAACCGAAGCCAATTTGGAGGACCACTTGCCACATACGACTGCAAACGGGCCTCTTTAACCACACTTTGAGTAATGAGATAAGCCCCTCTATTGGTGCACCGAACTTCCTGCTCAATTCGCCAGCCCCTAAGGTTAGTCAACACATGGTACAGATCAGAAGATTGTAACCTGAATGATGGCTAAGTCATAAGTCTGGACAGAGCTCCCACTAAATCTGAATCTCCAGCCGCAAAAACCACACGCTTTACTCCATGACTAATCAGACTTTCAGCAGCCCATGTTAAGCATCTAAAGCTGCATTCAGACTTCGATTTTATAGCCATCCAAGATCTTCTACTGTGCAGCAGCACCGTACCTTCCTCATCCCGTAATACCCAAGCGAAACCATCCATCTGTTTTTCTTCTGACCATACACTTCCCACATTGCATTTCAACCAAGGTTTTGGTGGTGGTCTCCACCTCTTGACTATCTTAGTGTGATTTTCTGCTAACTCAGCATCACACTCCTCTTCTACTTTCTGTGCAAGAAACCACATCTCCATCTCCTTTGTGATCTTCCCCATTACTTTCCTAGTATCAAAGGATTTATTTTCAAAGAAAAAATTGTTCCTGTTTTTCCAAATAAACCATAAAACCCAAGGAAATTTCTTCTTGATGTCTTGGTGTAGCTTCTCATTCTTGCATTGAGTCAGAAGATGGTCACTGTTGGCATAAACCGATTCTCCAAAACCATTTTCAAGAAAAGGAAAGTCACTCATTGCCCAAATCTGTCTCGGAACAGAGCACGTGAAGAGCATATGGTTGATAGATTCACCTTTCAGTCCCCATGCTTGGCATAAATTGTCCACTGCCATCCCTCTTTATTCTAGTTTGTCTGCCACCGATATCACACCACTCAGAACCTTCCAGATGAAACTTTGGATCTTTGAGGTTGTTTTTAATGACCAGACTTGGTGTTTCAGATCGTTTAGCGAAGGCCTCATACTAGCTTCTGCTATTCTCTCTTCCTTGTTGGTAATGGAGGCTAGCCAGAACCCAGATTTGACCGTATAGTCGCCACTGCGGTTATGATTCCAACTCCAGTAGTCTTCCCCTCTCGTAACTGGTTGGCATTGCAGGATACATGTGACATCTTCTGGAAAGAAAGTAGCTCTAAGTTTACTTTCATCCCATCTTCTCGTTTGAAAGTCAATCAGATCTCTGGCTATCAAGTTCACATCAAATGAAAAGATCATGCGCCAAGGAGCTCTGAGACCCTCATCTAAAATCCATCTATCTGTCCACAGACTCACCGTGTTCCCATTTCCAACTCTTTTCCTCAATCCTTTCTCTAGCAATTCTCTTCCCCAAAGGATACTTTTCCAAGCAAAGGAAGGTCGCGCTCCCAGTTTCGCTGTCAAGAAGGATTCTTCATCGAAGTATCTACGCTTCATCAATCTTGCCATTAAACTCTCTGGTTCTTGTAAGATTCTCCAAGCCTGTTTTGCCATAAGAGCTTGATTGAAATCTCCTATGTCTCTGAAACCCATACCTCCGAGATGTTTTGGCAAGCACATCTTTTCCCAACTTATCCAATGGATTTTCCTCTTGTGTTCCACCGCGCTCCACCAAAAATTGGCCATTGCACTTATTCCCTTTCTAATCAGATATTACAGTATTTTGTTTTCACCCATTTACTATAGGGTCTTTTAGACCAATAATAGTATTGAGATTCAAAATAAACAAATATAGCCATATGAAAATATAATTAAGTTTCATTATATAGTGTCATACGGTTTCATTTGTCATTTGTCACAGATTGCGCAAGCAGAAGTTCTCCTTTTGTTCAATCACACACATCCCACGAGCCAAGAATATGAGAGCGGATAAAGTAGTACGAAGTGCTCGAGATCTTTCCTACAACATATATCATGTAAACTCGCCGGTCTGGATTTCTGAATCGGTCTATAAACTTATATTATTGACAAAAATAAATAAATAATTAAGTAGCTACCTAGTTTAATTAATCTGAGAGCTCCACAATATAGCGGTTCTTTGACATTTTAAACCCTTTAAGAATTCTCATATAGATATTAGTATCTAATGATCCATATAAGTATGTTGTAACAATGTCTACGAGACGTATTTCTAGACTTTCATTATATGCCAGGCTAATGAGGAATCTAAACGTAATTGCATCTAGTTACCATATAATAATCATTGAATGCTTGAGATGTGAACTCACCAGAATTGTCTAATCTAACTCCTTTATTTGGATAATCAGGAAACTGAACTCTTAGTTTGACTATCTGAGTTAGAAATCTCACAAATACCACATTTCAAGATTATAATAGACAAACATGTGACCATCTACTTAATGCGTCATTCATTACCATGAAATAGTAAAATGGTTCACATGATGAATGTATAGGTCCTAATATATCACCTTGGATCAGTTCAAAGAATTTTGGTAACTTTTTATCAATAGCGAGGAAGTTATATATTTAATAATTTACAATGGATATATATATATAGTTATTATGATATTCTCATTCTGTAATTATTTTCATATATGGATTTACATGGTTTTGTATACAGCTGTATCAACGGGGTTACATAAAACTAAATCAACAAATGCAAAGATCAACACTTTGCGAAATGGATTCAGTCATCGATATGTTAGTTACATTACTTACTTGATATTAGAATTAGTTACATGATCATATTACAATCACAAACATTACAAACGTTTTCATTAATATTAGGCTGCTCCTTGCAATGAAGCATATAGAGAGTGGTTTCATGATATATAGGGTAAATATAAATTTTTCTAAACCTTTATTTATCTAATATGCTTTCTTCATCTCTTTGTGTTATTGTTTTGATTATGTATGTGTAATTCACTAGTTAAGTCGTGGGTTTATCAAAGAGTTCATGGATTGTTAGGTTGTTAGAAATCTATTAGGGGTTTATCATATAGATCTTCATCTTCACTTAAACTCATTGCTGCTTACTTTTCTGATCAATTAGCATCAGATCTTAGGTTTCATATTCTTTCCAAAAGCTTGCTATATAACCGGAACTAGTTTCTGGTGAGCAACACTTCATAGACTGCGACGGTTGATCTATGCAGGATTCTTAGCAGTTAGATCTTGAACGAATTAATGCTTGCTTAACAACCTAAGGACATACCAAAAGTTTAGCGATTATGTTAATTAACAAAGGTATTGGAGCAACGACAATGGGATGATTTTACCTTCATGATCTAAGTTCTATACGGCGCAAATTTATCCCCTCGCGAACTATCTTATCAACTTGACACCATTGAATCTCTGCGAGTTTCCCATTGCCTAGCGTTTTCTCCATTTGATTTTACATTCATCCTTACTTGTTTTATTTAGTTTACTAGTTATTAGATCATTCAAAAACCAACTCATATTTTCATCCTAGATAAGTTAGACTTGCAATATTCGTAGTGTATCTATATGTCTTTGTGTTCAATACAATGATTTCACCAGCTTGCACACCTTGTGCTCACTTCCAGGCACAACAAATCCCTCTGGTTGTTCCATATACACCTCTTCTTCCAAGACACCATTTAAAAATGCAGTCTTAACATCCATTTGATGGATCACAAGATCATGAATGGCTGCTAAACCAATCAAGAACCTTATAGAAGAGATTCTGACAACAGGAGCATATGTATCAAAATAATCAATGCCTTCCCTTTGTCTAAAACCTTGTATAACCAATCGAGCTTTGAACTTATCGATTGCACCACCGATCAACATTTTCTTTGTGAAAATCCACTTGCAGCCTAAAGCTTTGCAACCAGGTGGGAGATCAGTCAGGAAATAAGTATTGCTTCCTACTATAGAGTCCATCTCATCATTTACAGCTTCTTTCCAGAAAGCAGCATCAATAGAAGCCATAGCTTCACTGAATGTCCTAGGTTCATCACCAACTAGGTAACAATATGAGTATTGTAGAACAATCTCATCTCTTGAACCTTCTACCAAATAAATTTGGAATTCAGGACCAAATGATTTCTCAATCCTTCCTCTCTTACTTCTACGAAGTACAGGTGACTCGCTGGTTGTTGGAACACAAGCCGAGATGTTGGAACGTACGTTTGTACCATCTCCTTGTCCAGTTCCAAACGAAACCAGATCCTTTGGTCTAGGTATTGATGTGAAACGATTCTCATCAAATATTGCATCTCTTGACTCAATCACAGTGTGAACTGCTATAGAATCATTAGGTTCAATGACATAGAACCTATAAGCCTTGGAATGCTCAGCATAACCAATAAAGATGCAATCAATACCTCTTTCTCCCAAAGTTCTTATCTTTGGTTGGGGTAGTCTTACTACAGCCCTACAGCCCCAAACTCGAAGGTAGTTCAAGTTAGGCTTCTTTTTGTACCAAAGTTCATATGGGGTTATCTTGTTCCTTTTGTTAGGAACTCTGTTCAACAAGTAACATGCTGTTAACATGCCCTCACCCCAGAAACCGTCACTCAATCCAGAGTAGGATAACATGGAATTAACCATTTCTTTAAGGACTCTGTTCTTCCTCTCAGATACACCATTTTGTTGTGGTGTATAAGGAGCTGTGACCTCATGTATTATACCCACAGACTGAAAGTAAGCAGGATCATAATACTCACCACCTCTATCGGTGCGTAACTTTTTAATCAAGTTACTTTGTTGCAATTCAACCTCAGTTTTGTAAACCTTGAATTTCTCTAAGGCTTCATCCTTAGAGTGCAACAAATATACAGAACAATATCTGGAATAATCATCAATGAATGTGACAAAATATTTCTTATTCCCCAGAGATGGTGTAGCATGCAAATCACATAAATCACTATGAATCAGTCCAAGGACTTCCGATACCCTAACAATGCTATCAAATTTCTTCCTAGTTATCTTAGTCAACATACATGTTCTGCATTTCTCTACATTCATGTCAAAACCAGGAATTAAACCTTCCTTCGACATTTCAAGCATCCTAGCATAATGTACATGGCCTAATCTCATATGCCATAAGAAACTATCATTTCCGACTGTTGTTGGAACAGGCGGATCAGTGTTGGAACATGTCATGTAACTAAACCGATAACTTAATCAAGCATCCTACGCCAGTCACTAACCATATCATTCCACGGTTGTGATCATACCTTAGCCAATTTGCAGATTTCGGTCCTCCAATGTGGTGGGCATCAACATGCTTTGAACAGTCACCATATCAAGGGGTGTGAGAAGAAAGTGCATCTTCTTACTATCTTCTGAATTCGACTCCTCCAGACTTCTCTAATTTCCCAAACTTGGTAGTCATATCACGCACAGAAACACCAGCATCGTTCACCAGAAAATACTCTTTAAGATTGTTGGTTTATTTCCTCTGTCACACGGTGTTGGAACAGAGCGCAGGGTGTTGGAACAATGAAAACTGTGTTTCAGAGAGAAAAGTTTGGGTATCTTGGATTGTGATTGAATCCTGTACGAAGCAGTTTCCTTAAAGAGTATTTCGACCCTATACAGCCTTGGGTTACACGAAATCCCTCGCAGGATAAGACAATCACGTCCACTCTTTGTCTAGGCTTAAGATCAAAGAGTAACAAGAAGAGATCTTGTGTGTGTTTACTTTGGTTGCTTTTGTGAATCAGATCTATCTCTGTAGATCTCGAAACTTCTGTCTATGTCTCAGAGAGACAACAGAACTTATAAAATTCTCATAAGGCCTCAACGAAACGTTTGCAACCGTTCGTTTAATGATTGAACCAAAGGTAACTGTTCGCAACATGTTGGAACACCATTGGTCCATGTTGTAACACCTTATTCACTTAAATATCCAACACCTTCTTATGGCCACTGTGGAATATTGAGCCCTTTGCTTGCTAATGTATGTCTTAATCAGCTGGATCGCTTTATGGAAGCGAAGATAGTTGAGTATTTTAGACCTTGTAAAGACGATTCAATATGGAAGGAGTCTATTGAAGATGGTTGTCATAACCCAGCATGGCCAGAGTTTGTTCCATCAAATGGGAGGGAGAAAACTAGGAAAATGGATTACATTAGGTATGGTGGCCATTTTCTGATTGGGATTAGAGGGCCCAGAGAGGATGCAGTAAAGATCCGGAAGGAAATAATTGAGTTTTGCGATAGAGTTTTCGGGTTTGAGACTGGATAACTCGAAGCTAGAGATTGAACATATAAGTAGGGGTGTTCAGTTTCTTGACCACATAATTTGCAGGAGAGTTATTTAACCTACACTCCGTTACACTGGAAGCGGAGGCGGCATTGTGAGCAAAAAGGGCGTGGGAACGTTGCTTTCTGTGTCTGCTGCTAGTTTTAGAACAATGTATCCGTCAATTTAGGCGGCTTGCTTTTGTGAAAGGTGACAAAGATCCCGAGCCTTTACCTTGTAACCCAATGCTTTATTCAAGCCAGTCTCATAGTAACTCTCAGATGAATAAGTTTCTTGAAACAATGGCTGATTGGTACAAATATGCAGACAATCAGAAGAAGGTTGTTGGATTCTGTGCTTATGTCGTTAGAAGCTCTTTGGCTAAACTATATGCCGCAAGATATAGACTTAAATCTCGTGCCAAAGTGTACAGCATAGCCTCACGGGATCTAAGTCATCCATTAAGCGAGAGTAGCAATAGCTCTGCACCTGAATACTCCGATCTTCTGAGAATGGGACTTGTCGATGCTATACAAGGAGTTCAGTTTTCTCGCATGTCTTTGATTCCGTCCTGTGACTATACTCCGTTTCCCAGGAATTGGATACCAAATCATGAGCAAGTTTTGCAGGAGTACATCAGGCTACAAGACCCTAAATTCTTCTGTGAGCTGCATAGGTCAATAAAACGCGAGGGTCTATCCGTGCCTCAGGATGAGATCTCAGAGGTTGTGTGGGATTTTAAGACTGTTGGTGCTTGGAGATCAAAGTATGGAAGTAAAGGAGAGGCAAATGATGGGATAGAGAAATTAGACTCACCACCATGACTATTTACCATTACCTCTTCTAAAGATTTGCTGGTTCGGTACAAGGATCTTGATAAGCTAGAGAAAGCCTGAGATCTTTGGTAGGCAGTTTGTTTGCGATCCTTCTTTGTTCGTCTTCGCATGTGACCCATTCTGGATTCTGGCTTACTTACCCAGCAACAGTGAACCTGGTAATCTAACTCTATACATTGTCTCACTTCATAGATATATTCCCAAATGTTGAGTAATTACTAATTACTAACGTTGCGCAAAAACCTTTGACTGACTTGACTTAGTTGATAGATATGCTAGAGCAGATTTCAAAGTTGTTTCTATAGCTAGAATTCTAGGATGGTGCAAGCTTTTTAAAACCTCTTTTGTTTGTTTTCAGATATATCCATGCCAATTTCCCATAATTTCCATGTCTGAACCTAACATTTCTTTCTTTTTATGCAATCTTTGCATCTGATTAGTTTTAGTTCAGATATACAGTCAATCGTTTCTGTTGGTTGTATGATCCATCTGTTTAGGTTCATTCGTGTCTTTCCTAATTTATATGCAATGATGTAAGAGAACATGGAATGCCTTACTTGAAACTTATTTTTGTTTATTGCTATGATCCATAAACAAATGTAGGAAAGCTTGTCTTTATGCTATTTATTAAACTGTGTTCTATTGATATGGACCAAGTTCTGTTCTTTATTGGTTTCTTGCATCAAGGAAGTTTATTTTCTCCTCTTTCCTTTATCAATCCTCGCAATGAAAAGCTGAAACTTTAAATGTCCGTGACAGACCGGTGGTATTTGCGAAGGTGATCTTCTCAGGATCTCTCTCTTTGATGAAGATATCATTCACAGGAACCCAGATCATGAGCTCCTTGCTTTTGACTCCGGTAAGTCTCCTCATCCTCCGGTCCTCAACAAACGCAGTTATCTCCGTATCATATACCACTTTGCGACCTATCGCACGGAATGTATGCTCAATCTTGCTTCTCATCCTCATCCACACAAACCCTTTTGTTTTGTTGTACCCAACTTCTGTCATATCTTTCAATGGCAACAGTCCTGTGGGAAGATTGATGAGTGCAAGAAGCTCCTTGGCTTTATCCAAACAAAGAGATGGCTCAATATAGCTCTCTATATCATCACTCTCATCTATTACCATCCCTCTTAACGCCATAATAGACTTTTCTAAATCACTTTCTTGATTGACGAATGCTTCTTCTACCCGAGTTTTGGTTTCTTTGCTATATAGTAAGGTTCTATGGGTCTTAGTTCTAATAATGTGTTTGAGTACGTAAATTGGAACATGATAGTTGTGTGATGAGCATTTTTCAGGCCTTACTTTTGGCTGCACCAAAAACCTGTGATTAATTCGAATATATAAGTGAACTAGGTGATTTTTCAAGCGGGATTCAATTCATTTATTAAAAATAGATAATATTGGTTTATTTAGATGTGGAATAATCTTCCCTTATGATCTCTGACTTTGTTGGAAAATCAAGATTACTATGTTTCTTAAAAAAAAAAAAAAAAAAAGGAGCAAGATTTTGTTGTTTACTTGTTTGTATTTTGTTTTCTAATATTTTCTTATATTATCCGATGACTAGTACAGCTCATATTAAAATGACATTACGGATAAATAACTCAAGTATTGTTATGATCCTATTTAGGAGCCGGCCGTGTTTTCCCTTGAATCACCGTCACGCTCATATGATATCTCTTCACTGGTCCTGTTACACTTCGAACTATCAAAGATTAATCTGAAATACACAATTACTGCTAAAGTCTCGCTTATAATGCATATATCTTTAGCCAAAACCATTACGTGGAAGTGCCACAGTTTCTTGTTTCGAGTGCTAGTTGTATACCTTGAGGTCAACAATTTAGCAAGGTTCATAACGTAAGTCCACTCAGGATCTGAGAGTATTGTATGCCACTTCCCAGCACCATGCCCAAACACTCCATCTTTAAGAGCTAATTCGTCTTTCGGAGTTCACTTCTGTTTTGGGAAAACCATCTGAAGTTATCAAAAGAAACTTATGTTTTTCTTTAAGTGGAAATTCCTCCTTTTTCTGCCAAGAGATGAATACATTACAAACCTTTAAAAATAAAAATGTAGACCGGTTCCAAATAAAACGACTATCTATATCTTTATATTATTATTATTAATTGAGAAGTACATTCTAATGTTTGGATACAAGAATTAGAGAAACATCTATTTGGATAGAAGAATAAATGGAAACAAAAGTTGTTTGGATATAAGAATAAGAGAAAAATCTATTTGGATAGAAGAATAAATGGAAAAAATTGTTTGGATACAAGAATAATAACTTAAAATAAACCGATGGTTTAGAAAACTTCCGTTTTCCATCTCTTAAAAATCTGCAAAAAAGAAAACTTAACATAATCTAACGATAATTCCAAATCAATAGAATATGCTTTTTGGATTTTCGGGTTTTTATAGACAAGTTCGGGTTTGGGTGAAAATCTGAGACATAATTTTATAGAGATATATATAGAGATATAGAAATTGTTCGGGTTTCTTTGAAAATTTCTGTTCGGGTTAGGTTCAATTTTTTTTTTCAGTTTAGGGTTTTCCGGATTTTTTAGATTTCTGGTTTTCGGGTTTAGATATATTAAAAAAATTGAGTATTTTAAAATTTTGATTAGGTATTGGGGTCGGGTTCCGGGTGAAAAAGTTTCCAGATTTTTTTTGTTCAGTCAGGGTTTTCGGGATTTTTTTGATTTCGGATTTTCATGTTTAGACCTATTAAAAAAGTTTGGGTTTTTAAATTTTTTGATTAGGGTTTTTTGTCGGGTTCGGATTTAGGGTTTAAATTTTCTACACAAAACAACAACGTCACACCGCACAAACGTGCGGGTACTCTACTAGTCTATATATATAAAGTTGGTGTCATTATATTCTACTGTTGCCAACTCAGCAAAAGAGACCCCTTCTAAATTCAGCAAATTGCAATATCAACACTTTATTTGGTTTATTATATTTTCTCTTATTAATATTTTAATTTCATAATATTTAGCATTCATTACTATAATAAGTTTAACAAGAATATGAAAGGTCATTTAAAAAAAAGGAGAAATATTATATATAGATCTACAAAATCTATTATTTAGTAAATTTATTTCTATTAGATTATATAAATTACGTTGATGTCAACATATTATATAAAGAATACTGAATTTTTTAAGTATTTTGGGATGAAATAAGACGAGACCAGACACGATGAGACGAAAAAAAAACATAAAGAGAGAAGAAATGAATTTTGTCCACTTCTTATTATATTAAATGACGAGATGAGATGTAAAGGAACATAAAGAAATGAGATACCACATAATTTTGGCTACTTAAAATTATATTTAAAGACGGAATAGAAAAAAACGAAAGGAACATATATGATGAGATAGGACAAGACGGAAAGAAACATAACGAAACAGGGTAAGACTGGACGGGACGAGACAGACAAATTAGACATGACGAGATGAAAAAACGGGATTGGACGGGACGGGATGAAAGGGACATATTGGGACGAGAAGGGACGGGACAGAAATTTCACCTACCCCAAATTATATTGACATGACAAAGACACGTCAAAACGGAAAGAAAAAAAAACAACAAGATAGGATGGGACTCAACGGACAAGATGAGAAGAAATGAAATGAGACGGGATGGGACTATACATAAATTTTGCCTATCCTTAGTTATATTTAGGGAACGGGACAAGAAGAAACAGAAGGAACATGATGGGATATAACAAAATAGAAAGGATCATAGTGGGATAGGACACGATGGGACATGACAGACATGACGGGAAAGAACAAACATGATGAAAATGATTGAAATGGGATACGATGGGACAAGACGGTACATTAATTTTGCCTAACCCTAATTATTTTTAATTAATATATGTAATATTTTTGAAACAATAATAAACCACATTATATAAATTAATTTGCGAAAAAACAATAAAATTAACACAATAATATAAATTCCCGCGCAAAGCGCGGATCACCTCCTAGTATATATATAAAGTTCATGTGGTTCTCTTCTCAAGCTGCCACCTCAGCAAAATATGATGTTTCTAAATTCATCATTTCAGCACAAACATTTAATATATCATATATTTTTTTTTTAATTTAAAGTTATCATTCATTAAATAGGCTTAACAAGAATATGAAAAGTCATTTACAAAAAGGAGAAAGATTTTATATAAATCTATAAAAACTAGTATTATTTAATAAGAATAAAAATATATCATACAAAAAACACTGTTTTTTTCTATAGTATTTTTGGATGAAAAGAGACAAGATTGAATATATGACGAGACAAAAAAATAGAATCGGAGAAGAGGGGAATTTTGTTTACTTCTTAAGATATTAAGTGACGAGACGAGATTTAAAGGAACGGAAAAGAATGGAACAGGACAAGACGAAAATTTCGCTTACCTCTAATTATATTTAGGGGTGGAACGGAAAAACTGAAAAAACAGAGAAAATTTGATGTATCAGAATGAACAAACGGGATAAGAAGAAACATGACAAGATGCACTAGCTACAGGGCGGACAAAACGAACGGGATGGGAAAGAACATGACAAGATGAAAAGGAACAGAATGGGATAGAACTATGTTTACCCCTAATTATATTTAGGGACCAAGACAATAATAAACAAAATGGAAAGAACCATAATGAAATATGATTGGACTGGACATACAGGACGAACGGGACGGAAAAAGACGTACAAAATGAAAATGAACAAAATGGGACTACATAGAACAAGATGATACAAAAAATTTGCCCAACTTTAATTATGTGTATAATATCTTTGAAACAATATTAAATTTGCGGAAAAACAATAAAATTAACAGAACCCGCGCGTAGCGCGGGTCACCCTCTAGTAAATCTATAAAGCTTAAGAATTTTCAGAAACTGAAGGAGCATTAGAATGAACAGCCTATGTCTCTAGAACAGCTCGGGAATCCAAACTGGTGAAACAGAGTTTACATAGTACACATCAGTAGGTAGATCTCGAGCACTCCGTGCTAACTTGTCTGCCTTTGTGTTCTCTGTCCTTGGTATTTTCATGATGGTGAAGGAAATGAACCTCTCCTTGCACCTGTCAACCTCGTCCAGTTGGGCACTATTATTATTATTATAGTCAGGAACCTCTCCTTGCACTATTATTATTATTATTATTATTATTATTATTATTATTATTATTAATTTTTTTTATTATTAATTTTTTTTTAAACACTGAAAATAATTGTTTGGTACAAAATGAAAGGAAAATCAGAGAAAATACGCAAAACATAATCTGAAACCAACCAATGCAGAGAAGGCCAAAAGAAGAAAAAAAAAGCAACAAAAAGCTCAATAGAGCCCCAGCCCAGGACTTCCTCCGTGGAAAAGAGCATAAGAATAGATCTAACAAAAAGCAGAGGAAACCAACGGCACACGCTCTAACAGGAAGCTATGATGAAAGAATTTTACTGTCAATGTAGTATAGTCGATTGATATGAAATGAGATGATGTGCAAGTGAAGGTGGAATGATATGATATGACAGGTTTTAATCACAAACAGTCAATTCCTCAAGATATCATAATGTCAATGCAGTATTTGAGGTGTCAATCCATAATGGTATGAATGATGCTCTTTGAAAATATGTGGACACTTGGAAGTCAAACCAAATGGTAAATGAATGATGAATGTAACAACTAATTAAATGAAATGGAAATGCAAGTAAACAGTAAAAGCGAATGCAAATGAAACAGTAAATGCAAGAAACTAAACAGAGACAAACAAATGCAACGAACTCGACCGGAGCTCGATCGAGTTGGTACAGAAACAGAGTATGAAATGAGCTCGATCGAGTTGAGGGTCGAGTTAGGCTTAAAACAGAGTAAAAACAGAGCAGTGCCAATGCAAAGTAATAAAGGTGCGGTTTTTAGACTTGAATGATGAAGATTATGACTAAAGACGGGGTTTTGCAACTAGGAGAAGGCTATACTTAATCGATGGTGCTCTTAAACAACTTGTACTCAAGCTAATCTCTTGGTATTGAACTTTTCAAGCCTAGTTAACCCTTTCCCAAGGTGAAAACTATCAATCAAGGGAAGATCTCAGAAACGGGAGTCAATCAATGAGATCAAGCCTTGAAGG